AGTTTGACATCTTTGATACAAGTAACGAGTTCACTTCCAAGTGAACAACCCGATAGTCTTCTTCTTATCATAGCATACCAACCAGCGAACACCCAGCCAAGTTTAGTTAGCCATTTTGAGTATTCGTTACATAGTAGTAATAAAGTACTAGGCTAAGCGAATACTAATTAAGGCTTATTAGGATATCGAGTAGTAGTATAACGCGGTTTAAGACTTTAATAGTATTACTTTCTTTATAAAAGATAGGGTAGAAGTTTAATTGTTTGTAGGTACTTTAATTTAAGGGATAGGAGGTTTTTATTTAAATAGATAGAGAGATTAGAGAGATTAAACCTTAGAGATCTAATAATATATAGCGTTCGTAAAGTTAATAAATTAAGAAGGTAGCGATAATATATTCGATATAAACGTTATAGAGATAGAAGTAATTAAAGAAGTATTTAAGTAACTAGTAGGCTTTATCCTAGTTAACTAAAAGAGTCTATATTTATATAGATAATACTATAGTATTCGTAGGTTTTAATAAACAATTATTAAAAAAGCCTAGTAAATACGTCTTTACGTCGAATACTCCTTATTATAGTAAAGTACAATATCGAGATTATAGTATATTAGCTCCTAGGAACGGAAAATATATCAGCTAACGTACTTTTAAGATTTAATAGAGTTTTAATTACTAACGTATACCCTTAGTTACTAAGTACGATTACGTAGAACCTCCTATAGTATAGAGTAAGACAATCCTATAGCTACTCTTAAAATTCGTAGCAAAATATATATAGTACGGATTAGCGCTAGGGACTCGAAAGGTATACGAATTAGGCTAAAGAGTATACGAGTTCTTCTGTAAAAATAATAGAGTTTAGCTATACCTAGTATAACTATTTCTACTCGTAAACTATTTAGCGCTTAGAGTAATAGGAGGATTAGGAAGGTTTAAAGGTAAATTAAAAGGCGATAGTTTATAATAATAGATCTTATATATTCGCTCGGTTTATATTAATAGGATACTAGATCTAAAGGTATTCGATAATAAGATAGTAAAGTGTGTAGTAGTAGGAGTAAAGTAGACAAATATCGAAGATAAGAAACGCTAGGTAGAACTAATAACCTACGATATTATAGCGGAATAATAGGATAAGGAGGCTAAAAGGAGTAGTAAAGATATAATACGAAATAACCTTAATTTTATAGTATTCTCGAAACTAGTATACAAAGGATTCTTTCGCTTAGGAGAGCTTATATATACGGCGGAGGAGTACAAGGACAAGGAGAAGTTTAAAAGCGAGAAAGTAATAAGATCTAACGTTACTTTTTGTGACAGACGTGCTTCAGGTAGAACTCAGAACAATTAACACTCTATTCTTAGGACAAAAGACGAGGAAAGAAGGAGAGCTCGAGAGAGCTGGGAACTAAATACAGGTCGTGCGCGCTAGCGCCTCGCTAAGCGAGCATGTGACATCCAGCCCTCGTGACCATAACCGTCACATCACCCCCCCCTTTAAAAAGAGCTCGCCCCGAGCGTTGAAAATCTGAACTAATTGTGAAAAATACCCTTTTGCCAGGCATCTGGATGGTCAGGATCGTCCGAATCTACCTCCGCGCTATCGTAAGCATTGTCGTTCATAGCTGCTATTACTACTCTGCCTGGTCTTGCAATCTGCTTTCGTACTGGCTTTGGGAATGCCTCCCCAGCTGGTAGATCCCCCAAATCTATGGCTGATTTCCTTCCTTGTGGTCCTGGTGAGAAAGGACGGAGTATGCAATCGTTGACCCAGTGTTCCAAGGAGCCACATCGTACACACCTGCCTTCAGCTCTATATTGATCTCTACGCTCAGGGGAAATAGAGCGAGCGCGTGGAGGAGAGGATGGGTCGATGGAATTGATGCTAAAAGCATTTATGTCCATTGGTTCGCTGTGGTGGTTGCCAGAGGAGTAGGACTGTGTAGGTTGTGTAGACGAAGAGAAGCGGCCTGCTAATTGTTGTACGACGCGTATGAATGTAGTATAATCGCGAGGTAGGTTGAGTTGTTGAGAAAGTCGTCCGCGAAGAGTAGAATTAAGGCCATTCCTAAAGGTGGAAATTTTGTTGACATCTGGCCAGTCCTGACCTCTTGCTTCGTAAAGGACACGCTCAAACTTGGCGATATATGTAGGGACTGAGTCAGCACCTTGCTTGAGGGCAAATAGCTTGTCTTCCGCCTCCTGTACCTTGTTTGGATTGTCGTACACGCGCGCGAGCTGTTCGAGGATTGTTTGGTAGTCCCAGCTTTGGGTGTCTTCTGCTTGAGAGAGCTGTGGAAGGACCATGGCTTGGACGTGGGAGTCAAGGTTGAGGTAGACGTAGTAGAACTGCGCAATAGCGTCTCCAATAGCTGTACCGTCGACTCGTAGCTTTGCTTTGATTGAGGGAAGCCAGGTGTCGAATTTATGAGCCTGGCCAGTGAATTTGTCAGGGTCTGGGAGGGAAGGTTTAGGCTTTGCGGATGTTCTTGACCGGAGTAAGTGAATCTCGTCGCGCTGTCGCTGGACTTCAGCTTGCAACTCAGCGATGGCGGACTGAACTTGAAGGGCATCCATTGTAGAGAAGTCGAAAAAAGAAGAGGTTTCGTCGTGTTGTAAAGTGTAGGGTTCTTGCGCACAAGAAAGTGGTAGAAATCGTGAGAATTGAGACGTAAGATCGTGGACCTGAACTTGGACGTGAACGTGAACTTAGACCTGGGATACTTAGCCTCAACTAAGGGTCTTTTGTAATGTGACAGACGTGCTTCAGGTAGAACTCAGAACAATTAACACTCTATTCTTAGGACAAAAGACGAGGAAAGAAGGAGAGCTCGAGAGAGCTGGGAACTAAATACAGGTCGTGCGCGCTAGCGCCTCGCTAAGCGAGCATGTGACATCCAGCCCTCGTGACCATAACCGTCACACTTTTGCAGAAGACGATTCCTTTATATCGATTAGGCTAAAGATAAGTAAAACAGACTATTTAAATAGTAGTATAGATATTATAGTAGTAGCGGAGGAGGACTTAACTTACGTAGTAAAAGCCTTAAGACAACTTTTCGTACTTAATAGATAGAACTATAATATACTACTATTCTAAAGATTAAGTCGTAGCTTAAATACGCCTTTTACAAAACCTACGATAGTAGATAAATTAAGAAGGAGGCTAAAAGTACTAGGATATTCGAATTAGATAAAATTTAGTAGTTATAGTTATTATCGAGGAGCCGTAACGTAAGTAAATAGGAATATGATACTATACAAGTAAATATAACGTCTTAGAAGGTAGACTTTAGATACTTACCTAGGATATATCGACGTATTAATTAAAGATAAATTCTTATTAAGTAGGAGGTTCCTTATAGGTATAATACTATCGATTCTTATTAGAAGGAACTAGATATAATAACTTAATTTAATCTTTAAATATAAATTTAAGTAAATAAAATAAATATAATTATTAATATAAACTTTCTCTATAATTTAATCAAGTTCTATAAATTTAAACTCTTAATATAAAACTCTTAATATAATTTTAAGTTCTACTACTATAAGCTATAATCTAATCTTTACATATAAATTACATATATTATTCAGGTACAGCCTTTGTCTAGTAGCCTAGGCTCTACTTATTAAGGTGTAAATAGCCTTATAAGTGCCCTAGGGGCTGTTTAACCTAAATAATATATCCTCCACCTCCTACGTGAACCTGAGTATTAGCAAATCCCCCTTTGCCAGTGCCGAGGATTGTCACGTGTAGCTAGTCCCATCCGACTGTCCGAGTACGAGTCGGATCCTTTCACTTCTTCAGTACACTTACTTGGACACAATATGAGACGCCTTTTAGCACCATGCGATTTGCCCACTTAGTGATATTCAGGTATGCCCTCTCGTGCTAACAGAAGGTAAACACGGCTTTGTACAATTGCCTTACTATTAGCTGTTGACCTACGAGCTGAAGCAAAGTTATTCTATTCAATTATAAGCGAGTAAGATATACTGACTCATCTTATAGAGATGAAGGTACGTTTATAGGTGGTGCCACGTTACAAACGGCAACCAAAAGCAGTGCTATAGTATAACTTTTAACGTTGAGTAAGGGATTGATTTTCGGTAACAAAAAGCACTTTTGAAGTTGGTTGTGTATTGAAAGAAAGTGTTTAGAAAAGTAAGAATTGCAACAATAAATGTGCCTCCCAAATTTTCTTTCGCTGACCATACACTCTCACCGCTTCCATAGTTCTCTCAAGAAGCTACTCAAACGCCGTTAAAACAACAATCCTCTTCAAGCTCATACTTAAGTAAGGGTCTTCATTTATTTTGATAATTCAGCTCCAGACTCAAGTGCGTGGTCAGATTTGGCTTCCGTTTGCACTGGCTCTTGGACCGTCTTGCTCATTCTATTCTTTCTCCATTCCATTCCTCGCCACCGAAGTAACCACACTGCGATTACCCCAAACCCACCACTCCATAAACCAAGAATGGTAAAATACCAACCTCGCCCAAGCGCATTGAGCAAAGGTTGCAACACGGCAACTCCCGCTGCGGCCATTGCACTTCTAGTGGTACTTGCTGTAGCTGCTGCGGTGCTTGGGCTCTCTGAGTAGACCTAGTTCACAGGCTCTCCAAATCAGTATGCTTCTTTAATTGTGTAAGGGGTAGAAGATGTCTGAATATACGGCGACAGTGAAGGAAACGACTGTGTCTCAGCTCTGGAAACTTCAATAAGAGGGTCTTCGTCTTCGAATAGATGGGGCTTACATCTACCAGGAGTGTGTTGTATATCGTGTGAAAGCAAGTGCCCCAAAACCCTTGTATGAATTCTAATATCAGTAAAACAGAAACATGGGCATGTTTGGCGACCGCCCATCCATATCCCACCAGTGTTGCTGTTGATATCATGAGTAGCCAATAACTCCCTCGAGATCTTGCTCTCTCAATAGGAAATCTTTTCAGATCATCGCCAGTAACATTGTTCACTTTCCAACCAATATCTTTGGCAGTCCTTTTGTAGTTGTAATCCATCATCTTTCCGTTACAGAAACCCCCTACGATAATACCGGCCCGGCGAGGTAAATAAGACAGTCCAATTTACATTTCGTTGAATCGATAGATAGATTTGTATATGTCGGGGGTTGCAGCTACCATCGAATAGTCGACAGTATAGAAAGAACTGTGCATCCAAAGTGCGAGAAAGGTATCGTAGTGAAAGATGATCAATAAACAAGCCAAAGGATTCCGCATCTCAAACCTCCTTCCAATATTGGCACGTCCTTCTTCGGCAACTGAATTTTTCCTTCCAAATTCTGTTTCCACCTGGCACTTTCCTTTCTTAGAGTCGACCCAACACTTGCTCAAACTCCACAAGCTTTTGTCCCACCAATTCAAATATCTTCTTCCATGGCCATTCCCAAATACAGACCTGGCCGTCTCAGGCAATAGACACGCAACACCCACCAGCAAAACAGCACCCACGATAACCAGCGACCAAAATACCCACTCAAAACTGCCACTAATAAACGCGACCCATCCTCCTACCACTGGACCCACACATGCTCCCAGATTCAAAGCCATGCTCACAGGACCCAGCATTCGACCTCTCTCACTCGGGACACACACATCAGCAACCACACCATAACTCACAGCAAACGCTGCACTAGCCTCCATACTCTGCACAGCCCTGAGAGACAGCAATGCCGCATAATTGTGCTTATTCAATGCCAGGCCTATGTTGCCAATGACGTAGAGTGCTAACGTTAAGAGATAGATTGGTCGACGACCCAATGTATCTGAAAGAGGTCCGAAGATTGCGGCTGATAGGGCTTGAAAAATAATGTATATCGTGATTGTAAGATTGATTGCCTGCGATGATGTTTTGAAATTTGCCCTCAAAAGTGGGAGAAGTGGAAAATATATCGTTGCCATGAGAGGGGAAGCGATGGTGGCGAGACCAAGGAGCACTGTTAAGAGCTTTTTTTCTCGAGAAATGAATGTCGTGTAGGGCATTGGGTTCATATTAATAACTTCTTTTTCTTGTCCAGTAGGTAGGATGATATTATGAGGCGACGAAACTTTGGCCATAGTATCGTGCGAAAAGAGATGTGCGATTCGGGTAGTAGGAGAGAGTGTTATTAGATCTAGAGGTGAGTCTATGTTTCAGCGAAATTGTAACGCGCCGTATTGAGTCAACTCAACCAAGTTAGTGATTACAAGCAGGGATATTCTGGAAGTAAAATGACTGGTACATTCGCCACATGGGCATTTTTGAAGGGTTCGGGAAAGCTTGGGTGGCAGAAATATTAAGTGAGATTTGGAATGTTGGTTGGTTCCTGTTGTTATTATTGGAGTCGGATCCGATGCCTCTTTGTTACTCGAGAAAAACATTGAAGCCGATTTTACGTAAAATACAACTTTATAATATTCGCGGCTTTTGTGTTTATCAAATGAAAATCTTTATAATAAACTGGCGCCTCGGAGCCTCCCGGAAAATGTAGTAGTTACTAGTAAGTACGGAGTTAAACAAATGCATATTAGCACATACCTAGCTTAGTAATTTCCTTCATTTACTTCTTCTAAGTTAACGATATTCAATAGATACAGTTTAAATAAATATTGGGTTGAAAGGGTATTGGGTACTGAAGGTCATGGAGAATTGATTGCCTTGTAAAAGGTAGCTATCTAAGGTGTTTATATAAAGAGTGTAAGGTTTAGGCAGACATGAAGCATTTAGGCAGCAGAACTATAAGTGGATCAAATAAGGAAGTGGAGCAAAAGAGAAAGTAGACCCAGCACAACAATAAACTACTTAATCTGTCCAACTTATTACGAGTTCTATAATAATATTTCTCGAAAGGGCTTAAAGAAGATTACCAACATATTCCTTTTAGATAGAGCTATCAATATACACAACTAGGGGTAAGACTATTTCCTCCTCCCATCCCAAACCAAAGCACAAATATCAATATAATCCACCTCCCCCTCAACCCGTGCCCTCACCTTACCTGGCTCCTCAAATCCCGAAGTGCGGTAAAGATCCATCCCTACTTTCCCTCCCATAACGGCCAGGACCACGCCATCACTATCCGCTTTCTCCAAACCCCATTGACACAACGTCGTCCCAAAACCCCTTCGTCTGAAATCAGGATGAACGCCCTGGATAGTCTCAATTACGAAATGATTAACTTGATTATAGCGAGGAAGGTCATAGGAATAGGAGCAAAGAAGTTCAACATACAAGCCATTGTAAAAGTAGCTGTTTATCCCCGTCAACATCATCAAGATACCTCGTTTTACCTTCTATGTAAGCTTCCTTAACTGCAGCATTCCTCGCAGGATGGAGATCCCTCCTCGTCCTCCCACCTCTCTTCTCAACTTCCAAATGCGCTGCATAACCTAATCAGCACCCCCGTTCAACTCCAACACCAACACCAACACCAAAATCAAAACAACCAACTCACGAATCCTAACAAACTTTCCCTCTGTCCCTTCATCCACACACCCATACCCAAAATACCAAACCGCAAATCCCACCATCATCCCAACACCCCCAATCTCACTCTCCACAACCATAGCGCACCAATCTTCAAATTCGGGATCAAGAAAGTACTCAAAGACCATCCTAGTGTACTTTAAGGTATCCTCGGGGAATTGGGCACTGTAAGCGTAGCGATAGGGCCAAGAGGGTTCATCGGGCATTGCGAGGTGGACGACCTCCAAGAGAGCGTTGAGGTCTAAGGGAAGAGCTTGGCGGAGTGTCATATTTCAATTTGGATATTTTGAGATGATGATAGAGATGGGTTGCGAATGAAATATTATAGGTCGTAAGAACCTAGGTAAGAGTTGTTGTAGGTACGTTTGTTGGTGTTGGAGTCTCGTGACCCATAGCTACAAGCACTGACGCGATAGGGGGATAATGGGGTCCAAGAAATTTGCAATGATAAATAACTCGTAGGAAGTTCGAATAATAGAAAAACAAAATAACCATTTCTCGAGTCTTGACCTGGAAGTTAAGAGGCTTACAAGTTTTGATTGGCATAGCCATCTAAACCCCAAATTGATGGGATCCAGATTGTAGCACCAGCAAAATTGGAAAACGTATATCAGCGCGAAAAACCAGGAAGTGTGTGAAAGATACTGGAAAATATTTCGATACTTAGTTGGAGCATATAGCTCATCCTGGACCAACCAACGCCAGGGTCATGGCTTATAAGCCTCAAGGCCCATGATCAACGCCAAAATGTCCCTAGGCATAAAATCCAGGCCTCCTGTAGAAACAATTGCCTGCTTTCGTATTACCATCCTCCCCGTCCTCTCCGCCCTCTGAAATTTCCCCCTCCACGATTTCCTCCCGCACCGCCTTGTTGATCATAGCCATAACCCATTCCTTGGTTTTGACCTTGCCCGAACCCAGCCTGAGCTCCAAATCCTTGGCCTTGAGCACTACCAGCAACACCCGAGGCTGCATTGCCTTGCATCCCAGCAAACATGGCTGCAGAGTCCATTTGACTTGGGTCCATTCCCGAGGCCATCATTTGTTGCATCATAGCTTGCATGTCGGGTGGCATACCCTCCATACCAGCTCCAGCTCCAGCTGGCATTCCGGGCATACCTGGTATACCTCCCATGGCCATCATCATATTCATCTCCTCAAACATCTTCTTGTTACTTTGAGCTATCTTGTCTTGACTGTATTCGGCTCTGAGAGTGTCTTGCTTGCTAGCATACAAGGCCCACGTAAACTCATCGAATCCATAATTGAAGTAGTCGCTAACATCGGTTCCTGGCCTTCGCCATGGCTTGTCGTTTTCGTTTAGATCTATCAATTGTTAGATATGACGTTTATTCTGAGGATCTGACAACCTTACCTTCATCAATATTGACCTGTGTTATGGGCTTTCCAGCAGGTTCGTAAATAGGCTTCGCATTGACATCAATTTTCGAGGTTGCGATGCCAGGCAAATCCTGACCCGCGCCAGATGGAGGTAATTTTGCTGCTTTTGGAGCCTTTTTGATCGTGGTCGGAGAGGGTTCTGGCGCAGCCTCGCTCGTAGAGGTTCTCTGAGGAATGTTTCTGATTTCATTGTATCGTGCTGGGCTAAAGACGACTTAGAATATGTAAAGAAGAGGGTTGAGACTAACATACGGAGCGGCTGGTTTGCTTCCCTCTTTTCTTTCTGTGATGATGTCGATATCCTGGCGCCCAAGTCAGTAATTTTCTCTCCGCCAAAAAACTGGGAGCCATACCGAATCGCTGTCGTCGGATTCTCTATCGTCTTCCTCCTCGCCCTCTTCTAGGTCTTCATTCACTTCTTTTGGCTTATTTTCTGGTTGAGCAGCAGCTTTTGACTCCTCGACCTTGGGCTGAGTCGTCTCCTCCTCGCCGTAAAAATCGTCATCTTCATCGACATCCATATTGAGTTTGGTGGTATTGAATCCTGGAGCTTGTCAAAGTTCAGACGTTGGAGCTTCCAAGTGGTTCAAGGTTGCGCCGGACTAAAGTTAATCCGGCGAAGCTTCACCTGGAATTTTGAGTTTGGGAGGCGGCGCGTCCAAAAACAACGGCGGGCACAAGTGAAGCACAAGCACAATTCGTTCCCTTTCCCCACAATTAAGTTTTAATGCGCTACTGCCCGTGAGCGCAGAGCTCGAGCTTCCATGGCATTCGCGAGATCTGCCAGTGGTCCGGGTGGTTTGAGCATCAATACCAGCTCTGCCAATTCTACTTTGTGAGTCCACCTGAACGGCGCAACGGTTCCCGCGATCGCACTCTCGGTCCCTTGCATAGAAGAACATTGATACTGACGGCAGTCCGCAGCAACGCGCCAGCAGGAGGAATGTTTTCGAACGCCGGGGCGAATAAGCCCGCCGGAGGGCTCTTTGGTGCTGCTGCGACCAGTACACCAGCTCCAGCAGGTGGTCTCTTTGGCACAGCTTCAACTACAACCCAACCTCAATCCAGCGGACTATCTGGAGCAGCGGCAGCACCAGCTTCTCAAGCGCCAGCTACAGGAGGGCTGTTTGGAGCCGCTGCAGCTACTCAGGCCCCGGCAGCAGGAGGATTATTTGGCACTGCGGCGACATCTCAACCACAGACTGGCGGGCTTTTTGGGGCAACCACAGCGACGACTCAACCTCAGACGGGAGGCTTGTTTGGAGGCGCCACTGCTGGCACGCAACCACAGGCTGCCGCTGGAGGACTTTTTGGAGCCGCAGATACGACAGCGCAGCCTCAGACGGGAGGGTTATTCGGTGGAGCAGCAGCTGCTACAACTCAACCACCGGCCGGAGGACTGTTTGGAGGAGCGGCTTCTACAGCTCAGCCTCAAACTGGTGGCCTTTTTGGTGGTTTGAATTCTACCCAGAACAAGCCCGCAGCAACTTCGTTATTGTACGTCTCTCCCCAGTATTTTTCTTTCTTTGGAGCTTGATTTAATAATTTAGTGGTGGTTTTGGTGGCGCGCAAAATCAACAGAATCAGCAGCAAAACACGATGTCTGGACAACAAAATCAAGCCCAGGGCTCAGGTCTCTTAGGTGGTGGATTGTCTTTAGGCCAAGGCGCGCAAAATCCTCAAATGGTGCCAGGAGTTCGCATAGATCTGGCAAACCTACGGGGTACAACACGATTTGAGGATCTTTATCCGGACCTACAGCAACAAATTACCGTGATGGACGATGTCATTCAAAATCAGATCAGCCTCAAAAACCAATGCGATGCTATGTTGCCAAGCCATGACCAACAACTGTCACAAATTCCAAATGATGTGGCTTATTGTAGTCGAAAGCTGACGGGCGTGGAAGGGGCTCTGGTATCGGATGTCAACTCAATTGCTTACGCACGAGAACTCATCAATACGGACGCTGATAACGCAAGGTTAAGCTTTAAAGCAATCGACAACTTGAAACTACCAGCTCAATATCATAATACCGGAATGTGGTCAACAAAGTCTCCGGAAGATCGGTCATCTGGCAATGGTGAAGATAGTCAGGATATTGTGGGACTATTCTCCAAGACAGCCGACGAACTCTCTGCTACTTTGAACAAATACCAAAATAACATCTCGGAAATCGAGCAGCATCTACGAGGCGTGGAGGCAAATAGCGCACAGCAAATTAATGCATTTATTGCTAAGAGAAGCGGTGGTTCTGCAAGTTACGAAAATCCTGTGGCAGAGTTAGGAGCTGCATTGACAGAGTTTGAACACAGTATCTTGGGGGTGGCAAGCAAAATAGGAGGAGCAAGAGAACAAGTGCAGAACCTTAAACTGAGCGGGTTGGCACCTCCAGGTCACAATGCTTCCGTGAATGGTAGAAGAGGCGGTGTATATTAGTGCATATAGAGAGTGTGGGTGGGAAAGGATGTATCATGACTTCAGGATGGTGTTTTTGGAGTTTTGTAAGGCTGGAAGTAGCCATTTATTGCGTAATTGGTCTGGAAAATCAAAGATACCATTGAAGCGTAACCTTTTGTGTATTATCTTTCAACCGTGATTAAAGCACTGCCTTCATGGAAAGCGACGAGGTCGAGGAAATTTCAGTCTCAATTGAACTCTTTTCCCATGAGGTTAACCCCAAAACATCTAACAAATTCTGCTATTTCTCTTACTTTAGGACAATAAAATATATTGAACGTTATTAGTATACTTGTAATACGCGAATCATTCGCTGTATATCAAAGAGCTACTACTGTATATCTCTTTTAATATAATCTTTTAAACTTGTGAAAACTTATTAGCAAGGAGAAGGAAGGTTATAAAGAAACCTAAGTAAAGAAGTAATATTCTAACACTAAGAGTCTATAGGGTAGAAGTAGTATTATCATTTGTCGATTCGATAATTGATAAGTAAAATGTTCTAGTATGCGATATAGACTAGATAAGCTGCTAAACTTTGATCTAGTAGATCCAATGCAAATTAAGCACTTCCAACTTCCAAGGAAAGCCCAGAGACGAGATTTAGTCGGGGTTCACCTAGCCGTTAAGATAGCTTGCCTCCCTTTGCGTCTTCCCGCTCGTACTCACTTGTGATTTTGAATCATATACACGGGGATTTCAAGCTGTGACTTTATATCTTGGACTGTGGTATGTAGGTATGTATGGCTCGCTTACTGTAATACCATGAACACCTCGAGGTGAAGTCCCTTTGATATCTTTCAACTTCCATCTGATGTGGCTTTGAATACGCTCTAAGAATTGTAGCGATGACTTGAAAATGGTCTTAGCCGTCTGCCTAAGAAATAGCATCTCTATAATAGTACTTCTTGTAAGTCGGACTTTTAATACAGCTCAGGGGGGTATCTAGGTGGGCTCTGGGGAAACCGTCATCGGAAGAATTCTCGCAAAGTACTAACTACAATATACATTCTACATCAAGAAATATATGGTCTAGCTTAGGCGCAAAACCTACCTACCATCGCAGCTTACACCAAATTTGAAGACTCGATATTTCTACGTGGTGTGTGAAGACTCCACGTACTTACTTCCTAGATACGCGCTTCAGACAGGTTCAAGAGTTTCGCGTAGCGTCTGCAACGCAGTCTACTTCCGACTATTACACGCCCACCGCAACAGCCTGTCAACCTGTTGCCCGATTCAACACGTACTAACCAGCAGGGAACGAATATCCACAATGGCAGAAGTCCGTGAAAGTGTGGAGATGACGGATGCATCGCAAGTTGGCACCATTGTGGATGCAGCCCGTAATGACGATGGCCGCGAGGAAGAGGACGAGGAAGAAGAAGAAGAATTGACGCCTCTAGAGTTCGCGCGCCTTCAAGGCATTACACAAAACCATCTTACCGATACTTCAGCTTCCGACCATATCGATGAACTGAAAGGGCAGGTCGGCGACATTGTCCTCACGGACGACACTCATCTTCCGCCCCTGGCATTCGGTCCCATCCCAGAACCAAAGGACCCATTTTACGCGTCCAGAGAGGCTCTTGAGTATCTGCAAGCATTCCAGCAAGACATGAATCCTGATGCAATTGAAGCAATCATGGACCCAATGCTCACTCCGATGAAGATCAGGTCTCTCCATGTCGAACTGCCATTACTAAGAAGCGACCACGAAACGGACTGCGTCGAGTTTTCTCGAAGAGAGGGATTCGAGGTCAAATTGCAGGATATCAACTTCCCCTTGGAAATCGTTGACGAGGAGAATGGCGAAGGTCTTTCAATTCCGTCAAAGTATCTGGAAATAGGCCACCAGATCGTGGAAGACATTAAGAAGGAGAAGCTTGTTTGCTCAAAGGAGACTATAGCATACCTGTCAGATGTGTTGAATGCTTCTTGGGACGAAGAGGACGAGGATAAACTATGGGCGGAGGAACAAACCTATCAACGAGTTTGTTTTTGACCATTTCCTCTTTCCTGCGTGCTTTTAACTAGAAAAACCAAGACTAACATCTTTTCGCAGAAGACGATGACGCACCCCTTCGAGCCGGTAACACCACCTCTCCTACCACTTTCTCCTCCTCCAACTAGATATGAACCTTCTTCATCTTCTCCAACATTCATACTTCCTCTAGAGGCAGAAACCAATTCTATGATCACACAAGATCTCAAGGCCCTGGAGAAGGATATCATGAAGAAAGATCTTCCATCCCCGTTTCGAAACCTCTGGGAAGGCCCTCGACCCTCAGAAGCGGAGCTAGAAAAGTTGGAGGAGGTCTTCTTGCCACTCCTCGGAAGTACTACAACAACTCCTCCAATGCCACCAAGATTCAAATCAGAAGACCACAAAGTCGAGGAGATTCTAACACCACAGAATCAACCGGCAGGAGTGAAGGGGGTTCGGTTCAGTGACCATATTGAGGTTATGAATGATCATCTAGAGTCCATGCTACTCGACGAACATATCCCTTCAGACAAGACCGAGGAGATAAAAGAGGTACTGCAGCGTAACTTCGGGGAAGCACACAAGACCGCCACTCGCAAGTCTGAGCAAGAAAATTTGATTGGGGCAGACAGTACCGCTCGTGTTGACATACGTATTATGCCTTCAGTAACTCCTGTGGCTCCTTGGGCAGCTTTGCAACAGTGCTCAAATGCGACTCAACTACTTGATCTACAGAAGCAAATGCTGAGCTTGACTGTCGGACGTCTGCCAACTTGGAAGGTGAAGAACGATACAGTTCTATGGGTGCCATTTCCTCATAAGGTCGCCCAAGTACAAATGCAACAAGATCCTCCTCCCTGCAATGATAAATTATGGCAGGATATTGTTGGATCAGATACGGAAGAAGTGATGGATAGTTCTGGCTTGACTTGGAAACCTCCAGGTCTACGAATCTTGCGCGTCGATGAGGATGAGGACGACGACGACGAAATAGAGCCAGCCATATTCAAGAAAGACAAGCCTAAAGATATCGCAGCGCTTGTCAAGAAGCGAAAAAAGGAGCTTGAAGAAGATGAAATAGGAAGGTATATAGGTAGTCGAGGGAGATTATTGTCGCTAAACCAAGGTCTCAATAGTGCCCAGGCAATACCAAGACCTCCTTCTCGCCCAAAGGCACCTGCGCCTGGAAGCGAATTAGTGTCAGCAGCACGAAAATCAAAGTTCGACTCTGTCCTTGAAAATGAAACGGACATGCTGTTGGGTGGTACCTTCTCTGCTGGGAATCTCATTGAGAACTTCAAAGAACTGCGTGGAGTCAAGAAGGCAAAGCTCCACGAAGGCTCCTACTTTGAAGACACTCTTAACAATAAAGTCCCAAACTCAAAACAGGCAGGTGCAGAGGAGCCCGACCAAGTCCAATTGCCCTTCCGAACGACTCCTATTCCCATCCCAACAGTAACTCCTCTCCCCGCTCCTTCCTTATCTCCCCAAAGCACACCAATCAGTATCATAGTCTCGTCCACTCTTCTGAAACATCGAATTCTAATCCGACATCTCGAATCGCTTCTTCCTTCCTTGACACTTGTCGAACGTGACTTCTCGGCTCACAACACAACAACATGGATACCAGGATCCGTGACTCGCTCGCCAATAACTTCCCCCTTGGACTCGGAGGCTGATCTTGTTATTTCCCCCTCGACTGGCATCCTCATAACGAGCTTCCAAAAAGTCAAACAACAACTCTTGCCCGGACAAAAAGGCAAGACGGCAATACAAAGTCGCCTTTGTAAAGTGAGCGTCCGCTATGAGAAGCTCCTCGTCCTCGTCACAGAAGAACAGAAAGACGAAACTACAAATGGACTCGATAAGAATGATTGCATTGCTTTCACCGAGTTCATCGGTTTCGCTTCGGGTCTCCCGACTGCAATTACTGTGCAGTTTGTCGCTGGCGGGGAGGAGAGTCTTGCAAAGTGGGTTGCGAGTTTGATTGTACAGCATAGGATTCCTAACGGAGCGGACCTTCTACCTGATGAGACGTATTGGGAGTTGTTCCTTAGAAGAGCTGGATTAAATGCTTATGCTGCGCAGCAAATTGTTTTCAGCTTGAAACCGCCAATTGGCGTGGATGGATTGAATCCTACAAAGGCTGGTCATTTTGGCCTAGCGGCATTTGTGGAGATGGGTAGGGAGAATAGGCTTGCCAGATTTGGACCTCTATGTGGTAGGCAAGTTGTGGAGAGAGTTAGTGATGTTGTTGATGGCATTTGGCAATGATGAGAGTATGAAATGTGGAAGACCCATACCTGGGGTGAAAGATTAGATTCTGCCATCGAGACGAAGTCTCATTACCAACAATTCGGGTAGTCGGTCTGGTGTCAACATTGCTGTATCGTTTGAATTACAAGAGAACGAGAAGGACATATTAGCTTTATGTTAGCTTTATTTTGGTGGATAATAGGTAGAGGTCACATATCCTGGCATATATTGCCATTGCTTAAATGTCATAAACTCCATACTTTGATACTATTATCTGGGCATTTTGGTTGAGTGAAGCTTTGACTAGAAGATCGACTAGATCCTTCACTCACGTCTGACTCTTCCCCGGAATTATTCGAGCTTTCTTCACTGCCACTCTCGCTCTCACTTCCTTCGAACATCGATATAGACCTTTGCCCGGAACAAGTTGCTACAACTGTACCAGAACTATGAACGATGGTAGCAGTGATGGGATCTGTAGACGTTGTTAGTCCAAAATCACTCAAATGCTTAAAGGGATAGATACCATCATGTGCCTTCCACTCCCACGACCTCTCCAATGCACCCTCACTCATACCAACTCCCTCCCAAACCCTCACAACACCATCCACGCCCCCAGCCCAAACCTCCATCCCCTTCTCCGCATTAAAAACATCCACTCCAAGCCTCTGATTCGTCTCTGCTTCTCTCCCTTCCNCTCACAACACCATCCACGCCCCCAGCCCAAACCTCCATCCCCTTCTCCGCATTAAAAACATCCACTCCAAGCCTCTGATTCGTCTCTGCTTCTCTCCCTTCCAACCAAGCAAGTAGCTTCCCCGCCTCCCTAACATCATAAACCAACACGCCCCTACTCTTCCTCTCAACCACATACAAATACCTCCCACACGCGCTCCAAGCCGTCTGCGTAACACCCATCCCCCCAATCCCCGCGTCCTTATCCGCCGCTTCGGCGATACTCCACGTCGCAACGGTTCCTCCCAGTCCCGCCATATCGTACAACCCAATACAACGGGTCCAGGTCCCAGCAGCTACCATTCCCGCTTCTGACCCTTCACTCGTAGGTTGGAGTGAGAGCGCCGAGACGATCCCGCGCATTCCTACGCCGCCGCCTTTCATGACGTGCCGTTTGGAGGGGATGGTAGGCATGCTTTGGATGGGACCCTGGCCGTTGCGGGAGACGTTGAAGAGGGCTATTAGACAGTCTGTGCCGGTGAGGAAGGTACCGGGGGAGGTCCAGAGGAGTGAGGAGGGGGTGTAGTATGCTTCTGTGGTGGGGGAGATGAGGGTATAGGTTGCTGTGGGGATTGGAGAGGGGGAGAGGGAGTTGGTGAGACGGATGGGGAGGGCGGATGGGGAGGAGAGGTAGAGGGTTGTGGAGGGGTCTGAGAGGTTGAAGTTTGGGTAGGGGGCCACGCAGTTTATGGGACTTGGGTTTTGGTGGGTGGTGTAGGNAGAGGGTTGTGGAGGGGTCTGAGAGGTTGAAGTTTGGGTAGGGGGCCACGCAGTTTATGGGACTTGGGTTTTGGTGGGTGGTGTAGGGCGTGAGGGGGATTGGGGAGGGGGATTCGTCGAGGAGGGTTGGAGGGAGGATGAAGGTTCGGATTGTGTTGTCTGCATTGCTAGTGATGAGGCTTGTTCCATCTGGTGACCTGAAACTGTTAGTGGCAGTTTACAGAGAGTCAGTGATAAAGTTGAGCTTGCCATTGAGCACTTTTAAAGTAGTTGGATTCTGTATCTTCCTCGCTTAGTTGTCGAGGTTCCGGGACGTCTGAACAATTGTTGAGTAACTTGCTTTCCCGGGTCCTGGATTCTGCAATTGAGCAGCAGTAGGTACCACCAGTGGATGCCACCAGCTTTGGTGTTTTCGGGAAACCAGTAGGCTCCATGGTAACGAAACTTCTGAGTAAGTAGGTATCGAGAATTGGGTGTACTCGTACAGCAAGCCGAGATGGAGCCCCTGGGCAGTTAGTTGGGAAGCACCGACAGGGATGCAGCTAGATCAGCTGGGCTGGCGTCACTTTCGTGTCGTCGGCAAAAACCCGGCCTCTTTACCCCTAACCCCTACCTTCCTCTAGGTACTTCCAATTACCTACGAGTACGGAGGCACGAGGGTAGCAGTGGGCAGGTACTAGTATGAGTGCCTAAGAGGAATAATATAGTCTTACTTTAAGTGTATATACTTATAAGCAGTCAAAAACTAGGTAAATCGTCGACTTTTGGTGGGGTTCGGCTAAATGGCTCAGACTTAATCGCACCGACTGTAGGTAGTAGGAACTCAAAATGGAGTACACTTTCACTTCACCTTTACAACAACCACAATCAAACACCATACTTCATCCAGGAAATGGCTCAACCACCTCAAAAACGGGCGAGGCTTTCTACCACAGCAGGCGAGGATGCGGATAGTGATCGCACTGACAATGAGAATGAAAGTGATGAAGATGAAGCCGATTTTCCCGAGGTCTATCGTCTACCAGGAGGGTTGAAGCCAGATGTGCGCCTTCTCGTCTTTAATCGAGAATACCATGTTCATTCAGTTATCCTGAAGCTACATTCCAACTATTTCAGAAAATTCCTCGATTCCCCTGATAAGTCCAGCGAGCCAGCTTCTGTCAATTTCCAATACGAGTATGTAACGGTGGTTGACGGCGATGGAATATGGGCCCTAGAGCCTGCTAATAAAGTAGGTGTCCCAAGAAAACGCTAGATGTGGCTAATTTAAGAATAGGTCAAGGATCCTGTTTTCACACCCGAAAGATTGCAGCTTCTCGAAAATCGAGGCATCTCAATTAGTCTGGAAAGGTTCAATTTTGAGAATCTCATCTCTGCCATGTATAACCGGCCATACGAGCTAAATTCATCATGGGATGTTATCGACTTAACCTGCATAGCTGATTTTTGTTGCGCGCTCCCCATCGTATCAGCGACTTTGAGCGGACAGCTGGTGGAGAGTGATTTCATCATTGGGCCCGTCAATGAGGAACATATATCAGGAGATTCAGTATCACTTATCTTTGCAGCCCGAAAACTCCGCCATAAACGATTGTTTCACGAATGCTTGATTCACATCGTCAGCCAATTCTCAAAGATAGAATCCAAGGTTCGAGATGGCCTTGACGATTTACAAAAAGACAAAGAGATTTACGCCCTCGTGTTGAAACATTATATGCAACTATGTAAGAAGATCATGAAGGCAGAGTACGAACAAATTCGTTTCATGCAGACCACTCAGCACAAATGGAAGCCCTCGCCAGCTGCTCAGCAAGTTATGAGCCCCAAGCCTGAGACCAACGCAGCGTATTATCGCGAGATCCAGAAACAGTTACGAGCTGAGGAAAACAAGCATGGAGAATGTGCCAAGAGCTTCAAGCTAGCCGTCGACGACTTGCTAGAGAACCAATTGTGGCTGGGGATCTCCGGGATTGAACCTGGTTGCGGCGCTTACAAGCGAAGATTTTTATCTTGCGATGCGGAACATATAGAATACCCGTGGGATGAGGATGAGGTTGATTGGTGAAAATGTTATGACTTTGGGATGAAGTCCTGGCGGAGATTGTTTTCCTCTTCTGTCGGCATCTGTGGGAGCAAATACATTTCCAGGCCAGTATAGGCGCGCAGCAAAGATTTCGCTTATTGGGGGGACTTTCTTTTTGTACCACACCAAGATCTTCAGTCACGTTCTTGGCATTCGTCCAAGGGCGTTGATACTGACTAGGAGATATTAGAGGAGTCGGATACGCAAAGCTGTGTTAGGCCTGGAAGATTGCATTTCCTTGATCTGTGATCGCGGGAATGAATATTGTTGGGCTATTTGAACACAGGGAAATAAGGAAATCAGCGAAAGTGTACATTAGACAGGTCACAATAGGCTTCCAAAGCATCTGAAAGGAGACTTTAGTACGATGAGTAAATTAGCATATGGTATTCCTTCTTTCAAACTTTTTCTGAATTGCAATAACTGCACTCCTGCTTCTGCCTCGCTAAATGTATCGCATCGCCTGGGAAGTAAAGAACCTATATCTGGGTTATTAGGTAGTAAGTTCTATGTAATTATTATTACGGTTAGTGTAATATATAACTAGCTTACAGTTATATTATTCTAGAAGCCTTGTACAATTAAAATAGTTAAATAAATAAGTATATTTATGTTCATTCGTCAGTCGGTACACGTTACATCAAATAAGGCTTATTCTTGTTTTTCTTTTGTATTGCTGGCTAGCTTCAAGTGCTTATAATTCGCCTATATATATGTAAGTGAAAAGCGAAGTATAAGTACCCTCGGCTGTATTAAGCAGCGCGAAAGGAAGCAGCTACAAAACAAAATAAGGGAAAAAAGGGGGGGGGGAGAAAACTAAGAATAAGACGAAAAAAAGGGAGGCAAGGAAGGACTATCCTTATAAAATCTCCTAGCTTGTTGTGACAGACGTGCTTCAGGTAGAACTCAGAACAATTAACACTCTATTCTTAGGACAAAAGACGAGGAAAGAAGGAGAGCTCTAGTGAGCTGGGAACTAAATACAGGTCGTGCGCGCTAGCGCCTCGCTAAGCGAGCATGTGACATCCAGCCCTCGTGACCATAACCGTCACACTTGTAGGTATGTCTAACGCTAAATAATTCAACACCTGATATCTAAACTCTCCCGCCTCGCAAATATCCACCCCTCTCACATTTGTATAACAAGTATGGGAAAACCTTGTAGTTTAAAACTATACCTAGAGAGCCCTCCTTGCCTGGCGAATCTAGTCTGTATCTGCTGTTTTGACGTATGTTTTAGCGCATATTAGCTATACCAACGTATACCTGCTATCCAACCGTCGGTTCGTAGAGCGCGTGGGTAGTGAAGGACTAAGAAAAGCGTTCCACCACTATTTCCACACCTATATATTTCGTGCCGTATATATAACCGTAGGCGTAGGAATGATTTCCGAGGACTAAGAGACAGAAGAGCGACAAAAGAGCTTACAAAAGAGCTCGCTGACGATATAGTAGATATTGTAGTGGTGTTGAAGGCATATATGGTAGTAGTGGGGTGGGATATATATCCCACCATAGCTTACTAAGCCTTTATCCTCATTCACTATAAATCCTGCCATATAATTATTAACCTTTATCTTTATTAGTTTAAGTACTCAGTAAGTTAAGTAGAGTATGCAGTAGGTACATCTCCTTGTCTTTAATACGCTGTTGTATTCTAGGCCTCTACAGAGCAATGACCGCGTCTCTTAGTTCATATTCATTCGCTACTGCTGAAAAGCCATTCACTCAAAGAATAGAGATTAGCATCACTGAGTCACTGACAAGGAATCTGTGTGGGCCTGACTTAGGAGTGGCATTAATGACTAGAGCGGTACTCGTGATGTACAAGTTATATCAGATAACCTAAGATCTGGTGTTAAGCTTCCACTAAGTCTAACCACACCACGGCCAACGACAGTCTCCAAACTTCGCGCGCCACGTCCAAGCGATTTACAATAACATAGAAAATGGCTCCAGAACTTCCCTCGGAATCTTCAGAAGCTCCAGCGAAACAAGCTCCCATCATTTTTCGCCTCCCACACCAAACTCCTGACGTTCGACTCGTTGTTTTCGACCAAGAGTATCATGTCCATTCTACAATCTCGAAACTCTACTCCAACTACTTTCGGAAGTTTCTTGACTCTCCCAATAAACCTGGCTCTTCGCCCTCGTCATTCTTCAAATATGAATACGTGACCGTTGTTGATGATGATGGAATATGGGCCTTGGAATCTGCTGGTAAGGTAAGTGAATTGTTGTCTCTGACACAGTAGCCAAGCTAAGCATATGTCAGGTTCAAGCTATCAAGCCTGATGCTCTTGCTCTTCTTGAATCCTCAGGCAAGATATCCGTCAAGTCAGAATGTGCCATTTTTCGCAAGCTCATGTCAGCGATGTATCTTCGTCCGTATACGATCGACTCTGCCAGCGACGTCATTGGATTGACCCGGGTCGCCGATTTTTACTGCGCATTGCCAATCGTTTCAGCAACACTAAACGGGCCCCTTATGAGTAGTGAATATGTTGCTAAAGGAAATATTAAGAATAGGGATACGACAGAGCATGTACACTTCAAAGCACCTGAGCTCTTACTCGCGGCTCACAAACTTCGGCATGGAATATTGTTTCGAGAATGCTTAGTTCATATAGTTGATTTTCTCGACGACAGCAGACGTTTATCACAAGACGATAGCTACAAGGGTTATCGTCTGCTTGCTCAAAACGACGTCTTGTACCGCATTGTGCTCGAGCACCACAGCCTGAAGTGTCAGAAGATTATGAAAGTCAATCTAGAACAAATTAAGCTTGCACAGGATGACGATGACACGGTCTCATTCGTGCCTTCTGCTGAGACCCATGCGATCATTACGCATAGACCTGATATGAATGCCAGGTACTTTCGCGCTGTTCGACAGGAGCTAGCAGAGGAGAAGCGTGGTGGACCTGAGGAACCACTTATGGAGGCGCTTGATGATCTATTGAAGAGTGACCTGGTTTTAGATAAAACCGGCCGCCGCCCCGGAGAGGATGGCGTTTACCAACACTGTTTTCATGCATGTGATGCTGATAAGGTCGTACTTCCATGGAACGAAGAAGAAATAGACTGGTGATAATCTTCCTTCTGATTCTTTACAGGAAGCTATGGGTTACCGAGGACTCCTGATAGACTCTTACATATGCATTACTAGTCTTTATACAATATCATCAAGTTTACTTTATTCTACATGCTTGATTTTGCACGCCACTCCTACTTGGGATGCTGTGAGTAGAGAGTATCGCCCTCTTGGTTTTCAGTGAGCTAGTGCATCCCAAGAGCTGCAGATTGTGAAAAGGTCCCTCGTGGTTTACAAGACTGCAAATACGGTATCCGACTCTTTCAAATAGCTATATATTTTCTTAACAAGGTCAAAGAAATGTAGGCTACTACTTAATACCACTGCCAGAAAACGAGTTACAGTATCACTACATAAAACAGCAATCCAGAACCCAGAATCAGAAAGGTTGTGCCTTTTGTATATATATATGTGCGCTGGCTTGATCAAACGAGAAAATGCTTAGCAGTCATCTTGGTTAATTAACCGAGGACAGGGACGTCATATTAAGGGGGAACTTGACCTTCGCAAGTTCAACTTCCCTACGTATAATCTTCCTGGACAACATTAACCTCATTTTATGGATTCTTACGAGGAAGGAACGAGGGAGCCTATATGACAGAACAAAACGCGACCTTCTTTCTCTTGGGGAAGGAGCGCTCAACTGGGAGGGGACGCGGTTTCTTGGCATTTGCGCGACAACTTCTCTCGACCTTTTGAACTTCGATACCTCCAACTTTCTTCAACCGCCCCATCCGCGGACACGATGACGTCGAATCTGTCCAAGAAAAGACAACGACCGGAATCAGATGCGGCGCGAACACCTTCCAAGCCTGCTCCCGTTGTGTTCCGTACACCTGGCGAAACGGTCGACACTCTTCTGAGTGTTCTCGGTCAAGACTACCATGTTTACTCCTCGATCCTGAAGCGTCATTCCAACTTCTTCCGAAAGTTCCTCGACTCGCCTGACAAATCTGGAAAACCTGCGTCCGCTCAATTCCGTTACCACTATGTCACCGTGATTGACAAAGATGACGCGAAGGCCTGGTTTTTGGAATCCTCGGAAATGGTAGGCCCACATGGCTGTATTTATTAGCATAACAAACTAATCATGGGCCTAGGGAACACCAGCAACCGCCGATCAGATTGCTGGATTGACAGACATGGATCAGCAATCCGACGCATTTTCCGATTTGCTCAAAGCAATGTACCACCGGCCATTCAAAGTTCAAAACTTTTCTCACCTACTAGTAATAACTGCTATCGCTGATATATACTGCGCCTTGCCTATTCTGTCGGCAGCTTTGAGTGGAGCACTCTTGGGAAGCAGAATGTTTGAAAAGAACAAATCAAATATTTGGAGGACAGTCATAACTTCACATCCGAATTTCTTCAAAAGGAGCACGACATAATCTTTATTGCCAAAAAACTTCGACACGCCGACCTATTTCGAGAATGCCTCATAGTGGTTGCCGGCAAATGGCTGTTCGAAGATGGTATAAAACTTCGGAACACGAGATATAAAGTAGTCGCCAATAACCCCAAGCTTTTGAAAATGATTCAACGAGAGTCAGAAAATATTTCCAGAAAGGTGGCGAAAGTTGACCATGAAATCCTGCTTCTTGTATTGGGGATAGACTAGCGTCCAAATGCTGTATTTGGAAGCCGGGAGCCGGACATGGAAATGCCGGAGCCTCCAGAACCCAGTTTTTACTACAACCTGAAAGCCTAGCTAGATTATCCCAAATACGATAATGATTTCGAGAATCTCCAAGGCGAACTAGACGGGATTTTGGAGAACAAGTTAGTCTTCGACAGGACGCATGACCGGCCTGGAGACTTTCAAGGTGTTTTCAATAATGCTTTGTTGTGTGCAGATATCGAAGACAAGGATTTGCCGTGGTGTATTTCTGGGACGGATTGGTAGAAATCTTTGAACGTTTCACCGGTCATAGTTTTCGGAAATGATGCTAGCCTAAAGGTAGAAGACAGTCTCAAAACACGCCTTCTTTCGAGCTGAAAGGTCGGGGGCTTTGGCATTATAGCTACGCTATTTTTCCTTTTTTCCTTTGTCTGTTTTTTGCAGGGCGCTATTTCCGACAGGCTAAAGGGACTTGACCCCAGTCGCTAAGGCACAGGGAACTATGGAACAGTCTTCGTTCAATTTTGCTAAGGGGGGAGGGGTATGTTTTACCAATAGCTGAGGCTGTTTATACTCAAGATCTCTTGGTTTGATTCTGGTTCGGTTTGTAGGGTCAAATCTTCAATTCTTCTATAGATTACCTGAATCAAAAGCGCTGCGAACCACAAACTCAGATATAGTTAATTTGGGATAGAGCTCCATACAGAGCATCAACCTTTCGAAAATTCATGCCCCATCCTACATAAACATAATTTCCAGAGAATACCCTTGTTCCGCTGAGAATATATATTGCTTTCCTCGAGCGAGTATATCTACCAGCTTCCAAAGCAAGATTGTCGTAACCGATGGTGCATCTTTCAACAAAAAGGGTTGACATTAAGAAATTACAGAATCGGAATTGCGGTCTGGTCCCGCTACCAAATGCCCAAAACCACTTCCACATTTCGGCGCGTTTTTCGGGTGTAGCCTCCAACCATCGCTCTGGGCGCCACTCTTCTGGATCCGGAAATACCTCCTTGTTTCGATGAAGCGAGAAAGCCGAGGCACTGATGATGGTTCCTGGTGGAATGCCGGTATATTTACCGAGGGTTGTGGTAGCGCTTGGATGGCTACGTGGCCAAGGTCCTGGTTCTGGAGCGTATAAACGTAATGTCTCTGTAAGGATGGCATCGATAATTGGTAGTTTATCAAGTGCTCTTGGTGAGAGGAAGTGTGAGGGTACAGACGTGGAGGAAGCGATGTGGCCCGTGCCCTTGGAACTGTAAATAGCCTCAGATCTTACGATCACTTCCACTCTTTGTAGACAATTTAGATCTTACGTATACAGTTGACCTTGTCGCTATCGCACCCTTACAGGAAGTCTTCATCAAGGTCTACCGGGTTCTCCATAAATTCCTTTCGAAGTCGGTCTTGCCATTGAGGATGGAGGGATAGGGAGTATGCGGTGTATGTCAGCGCAATTTCCGTTCCCGCCTGATTTGCTAGTATATGGTCAAACGTCTCGTCCCGAAGTATAGTATTTTCCTGGGTCGTCTCTTTCAAAGCCGAACGCAGTTCGCCATATAGATGAGTCCCGGTACTTCTTTTGTTTGTTCGAGCTTTGGAATCATCACTTTCCTTTTCTTTCATGCTAACTTCGAGCATGTTGCATTTCTTCTGGGACCACTCTTGCAATTTTCGATGCGATCCGTCTGATAATTTTGGAACCAGTCGAAGGCCGATTTTCGCAAGGACCTTTACCAGTCCATAAAATTCGCTTCGCCAGAAGAACCCCGCACCACTCTGGTTGAAATTTTCGATGAAGAACTTTGCATCAGATTCATCGTGGAGCCAATCAGTACCTCGATCGATTCCATAAACCCAGGCGGAAGTTATATCAGTAGCGCAAGCCCTGAATTTGGAGTGCACATCGATTGTTGTTTCTGTTTTGGCCCAGTGCTCAACTTCATTCCCGAGGGTGTTCAAAACTACCTTATCCAGTATCGAAGCTACAGAATGAGAGTTTTGGATGTTCGATTTTGAGTACATAGGCGCCATCATTCTTTTGCGCGCAGCGTGGTCTTTAGTTGAAATTAAGGTTGCCATGATTGGAGATCTTCAAATAATCAGATAAAACCATTGAGCTTGAACTGCATTGTAACTGCCGACTTACTCGTTCCCCCTGAAGCCATTCGCGAACCACTCTGTCCTCTCAAAGGAACTGTTATTATAAACGGTTCGCAGCCCCTCGATGTGATTGATACTTAGTTCGTTCGAACCGATTCAGATAACAGGACCAAGTCGTTCATGGGCAGTCAAACGAGCTCTGTTCTCACAGCCGTTCCATTTTTGTATCAACAACCAAATGTTGGAAAAGGGACTGGTGAAATGTGCGTTGGGGATTTTAGATAAGGGCGAGGAGTATGCAGAATACACCACTCTGCAAAGTAGTGCCAGTATACCAAGGGCAATTGCCTGAAATAGCGGTACACCCATCTTGAACTTTTTATCTTCTTGGATTATTTGTTTGAGATGAGAAAAGGAAACCTTGGTCCAGTGAATACCTACTATGTTTTGGTAGGTGGGGCCAGTTAGCACCTTCCAGATTAGTCTACCCACATATTGCTATGCATGGCGAATCATCATGTTGGTGCACCACCATCCTTTCAGACTGCGGGGTAGATTTATTGTAGCAAGCTTATCAGTTCGACATTGTCGGCCGCTGGAATGATATGACTGCTACTTGCCGTCTAGATTGTATTTGGATATTCAAATCAAATGAAAAGCTCAATTGTCAAGAAGTTATCCGGGGTTATGTACCCAAAAAGTGCAGTAATAAGAGTAATTACTTGGCATGTACTGTCGAGGATAAGACTAGTCAGGCTCTATTTCCTGCTACTCAAGATTGACGATCTGTATTCGTTGTATAGCTCTATATTTGGCAGTAGGTGTCAACAAATTGAGGTATTTTCTACTTCTACCAACTTACCCTGGTACTGGTTATTTGATAAGAAATGAGACAGTTTAGCTCCAACTTTCACTTTTACGCCCTAGAATGGCGGTTTAATTGAGAACATGGACGAAACGCGATTATACATCTCCTTGCGTGGCAAAGCATTCACGCCATGAACATCCATCACCAAAAGTCTTGCTCCGGATTACTGTATGTATCAAACAGGAGAAAATGGCCGACCCGACCGGGCTACGTCCAGTCGAATATATCAGCCATGGTTTAGAGTACTTTGACCTATGTGTTTGGAGTTCAGCCTGAGATTTATCCCAGCTTGAATAGAGTGGAAGGAAATTTGCAGAGTACTTTAAGGCTCTTGACATTATTGTAGTATTGCGGTTCCATATTCTTTCGCTAGACTACTTCACTTCAGTGAATACTCGCCTCAATCACCGGCCCCTTGAAAGTTTTATGAGCCCAGAAAACATAGTAGACCCCGCTCAGGACAGCCACACCTCCGAGAACCACAACGAAGTAGTTCATAGTAACTGCTGTCACAGGCGTTGCTGGTGGAAACAGACTGAATATAAAAACAACAACGAGATAAATGCATGCTACAGCATTAGTTATCGTGCCAAGGGGCTCAGGAACCCTCCAAGGTCCCCAAACGAGTTTTCCTGCGCTTCCAGGAAGATTGTCTTGTCCATCAGACTGCATTTCCGATGGCGCTACAATCGATCCTTGAAGGCGACGATAGAGAAGTAGTATACAAGCCATGAAGTAGCTTCCGTAAAGGCTACTGACCGTCAAGGATATCACAGCATTAAAACCAACGGATGAGCCAATAGTGATCAGGCCAATAAGAACGGATATGATAGCGGATACTAAGATACTGGCAGTGGGAATCGCTGTAATAGAGTTGACCTTTGTTTATGTTAGAAAAAGACGTCTGGGCTCGGATTCATTTGCGATTACTTTACTTAAACGCCGCCAGCCTGGAACACCACGATCGCGAGCAAATGACCACACCATTCTTGAGCAAGTAGCCATAACACCAACCACAAGACCTACGTCGATGAGAATGAAGATCACTAGAATAATTGCAGTCCCCGCCGTGGAGTGCAGAGCTTGTTCAAGAATTTCGATGAAGGCATATATGAACCTGGACTCCAGTGCAGCTTGCAGATCAACAGCACAGAATAGTATCGCAAGATAACTTGAAAGTCCAACAACACCATTCACAATGATACACCAGATCATAGATTTTGGTACTACGACGGCTGCATCATGGACTTCTTCGCTCATCTGCAAAAGAGGTTAGTGTGGAGTCGGTACTTGGTACATAAAATTTACTTACATGATAGATTGCATCTGCTCCTGTTCACGATATTAGCTGAGTCAATGAATACGAGCAGTTAGACGTACCTAAGAAGGTGAACGCGTTCCCACTTATTCCAACGAAAAAAGAAATTCCCAAAGAACTCCAGTCACCATTGTTGGCGAAGGTACCAAGACTAAGTATGCATCTCCGAGAGGTCCAAGGTAAACAAGAGGTACGAGAACAGCAAAGAACCCAATTATATACAAAACGAGTAGACCGATTTCCATCTTTGGCAGAAAGGTACCAATTGTGATAGTGCAGAAGACCGCAAAATCCAGAGTTGCATACATGAGGAGACTGGCATGCCAGAGCTGTGGGGAGTAATTTGGATTGACAACCTCAATGAAGCCCTGAATCAGAGTTCCTGTCACACATGCAGAAGACGCAACGCCCGTCAGCCAGCCGGTAACTGTAATCCAACCTACTTCTTGATCAGCTCTTTCCAGACGATTATATTTCGGCTACGAGAGGCTTACCAGTGACGTAGCTTTATCCCTTGAAAATCGATTTTGGAGCAAGAATCGATACCCTGAAAGCTTCAATATATGCTGACTTCTAAAAACGAAATAACTCAACATACCAGTGGTATTGACCGCCAGCAGTAGGAGCCCTAATCAGAGGATTTGGGTTAGTAAATGGCACTTAATTCAAACTAGAACTGGAACAGGCTGAAGACTCACATAGACGCAAGTTCCGCCAAACATGCGAATGTCAGTAAATTGCCAATCCATACAATAATGAAAGAGTATAATAATCCCGCAGGACCTCCACTGAAATCCTTATTAAAATTTTATTCTGCTTTCAGGTACATAGAGTCTGTGGCTTACTTTGTAAGTCCAATCCCGAGAGTAATAAAGGGGCCCAACCATGTACTCAAGACGAGGCAACAAAACCCCAAAATTGCCATAAACCCAAATTTACGCTATCGATTAAAAATTAAGAATTGATACCGTAATTGGCTTGAGGGCTTGAATACCTTTAAAACCGGAGTCTTCCCAACCCGTTGAAGTGCCATATCGTCGTTCGTTTTCCGAAGATTGCGTGAGTGTTCAATGTCGGTTATCGTCAGCATTCCAATTGACATCGATTGGTCGGTCTTCATTTCTGCCATCTTGTGAAGTTTGTTGTAATTATTTTCGGTTCGATGTTAGTCTATGATAGAAATGGGGATAATGATCTGTCTGCCGAAACCATGGGGGTCGTGATGAGGACGGCTTGTATTGAGCCCCCATTTCTGGAGGACAGGATAGAGATTTTGAGATCGAAAATCGCAAAATCCATGTGAAATGCGATGCATACTGCCGCCCAATCGGCTGTTGTATGCTATAGGATAGCGTTGAATTGTGGATAGGGGCATTGATGGAATCAAATATACCCCTGCTGCGCCAGATGAGGAAGTTATTTCGTCGCCTCAATACTGTAGTGGGAAGGTCGTAGCATTGTGAAACACTGATCACGGTTGGTTGTTGGTGGCAATATTGGAAGAAACTCCTAGTACTGAGTAGCCAAGCTGGATTTATTGCTTGTTTGTTCAAGATACTTTCAAGCATTCCAATATATCAAAATACCTTTTCCTTTTCTTTCCAAATATACTAGGGCTTTGGGTCAAAGTCTTCTATTAGTTCAACCAATTTTAATACATAAACAGTTCGTGGTGCAAGTGACGCTAATAGAAAAGAATCTTTCTTTCACTCTTCTTTTCGATTTAGTTCCCCACAAGGTCGCTTCCGTTTCTCCCGGAAGCAATTATTCTAACAATTGTTGGTACTCCACAATTGTGCGTTTGCCTTCTTATTTTTGCACCAACTAGAATGCTTGCCACCCACCTTGGCATTATATCTCATTTCAGATTTGAAGTCACTGCAGTTTCCTGCGTCGGTCCCGTAAATGAATTGAATTAAAGTTTCTCGGCCCAGCAACACCCCCTTTCGGGTATTCACTCGCGAGTTAACCCGACAAACTGTTGCTTCCATCACTCAAATCCCAAGAAGAAATAGAAACTTCCGTAAGCTTGAGTGGTGCCTTCCACCTCCTTATTCATCACTTTCATTTTTCAGAGCAGCCTCGTTACTTATACGGGGTTCAAATCCAACCCCCCACGATTGCTCAAAACGTATTATTCGGGATTGACTTGTGGTACTTTGTGTGTCTTTCCATGAATTATTTTCTGCAGAGACCACAGTTTTTGCGTTCTTTTCCAAAGGGTGCAATACTAATGCTTGGCCGTTTGCTTGGTTTCTTGATTGGGAGCTCCTGGAGTGAAAGTACTTCCTAGTTCCTCGACTATCACCCGTTTTCTTACTTGTGAGATTGATGATTGTAGTCCGTCCGCTATACATACTCAAGCCATCTGCTTTGAGAAATCCAGATTCAAGACTTCTCAAAAATGGAAACATATATGGGATACAAGCTGTCACTATGCTCGTAGTAAGTACAGCTTGGAGGCAGATAAATGATGGCCATAAATCGAAGGAAAGATCGATGGAGTTGTTGGTCTCTTTCGTGAGAATCATCTGAGCTATTGTCGCTACTACAACGCTAATCCTCAATTAGACTTGGTAGAGTGAAAGTGGAGAAAACTTACAATAGTCGAGCACCAAACAACGCCATGAACAACAGCCTTTGGCCTGCCTTAGCTTGCAAATTGTAAATAATCATCTCTGGCCATAAAACCAGCAATAGGTCTGTCACAATGTTGATCGCACCGAAACTGCTCCAGAAACCAAACTAGGTACGTCGACTGTTAGAATTGTATACAACGTATCGAGTCCTGAGCTTACATGTTGATACACCCGTGGTCAACAACATTCCATGGTTGGGGAACACGGCATTGAAAAGCTACTGCAAACTCAGACCCAAGACCCCACAGTATCAAGAAGGCGCTAAAAGCTGCTCCAATACGTTTATGAATACTAGCTGGTCCAAGGCCTTGCATGAATATTATAACTGATATCTTTGTTATAACTAGTGTAGGAATCGACAGAAGGCCTGCTATATAGAGCGTCTGAAAACATTAGTGAACATGTATGGACGGTATCAGAATACAGAGCTCGATAGTACGTACCTTCATTAGTAGCACTTGATCAGAGGCGCTCGAACTCTCCCAGTGCTGTCCTAGTCCTTTAGACGAGGAGAGAACCATGGTTATTGTCTGCATTAAAAAAAAATCCCTAGAGATGATGAAATATCAGAAGTCAAGCAACATGTGGTGTTGGTTTGGTATTGGGATGTCCTACAAGTGATAGAAAAATCATGTAGTCATCCTTCTCAATCTTCCGGATTGCTGAAGCTTTTGTGTGGACTCTGCCAAAGACACATAGAAGAGCAGAGACGAGGCAGATTATTGAGATGATTCCAACAACCGGTCCATAGTTATTTTCTGTCACAAGTACCTGGCTTCTTGAATTGAGATGATGCATATCCTATTTGAGGCTGTGTTTTGTATCGTAAAGTCACACTGTGGGTCTTAACAGAGGCGGATGAAGTCCAAAATTATGTTGTGAATTTATAGTAGACAGAAAATTCCGGGTCTTTGTCACAAGATTCTCCAACGGCATGGGTAAACTTGAGACACATAAACAGTTTAGTTCGGCCAACCTCAAAGCCGTGATGAATGTGCCAATGATGCGGCTCGTTTTTATGAACCATGTCAACCAATTACGTCGTTCTTATCGTTCAGGGTGCGAGACCTATGCTTGTAAATTTTCAAAGGAACATCATGATGTTACAGTTATAACCATATGCAGAAGCCATCCAAGTACTGAGCGAGGACAGATGAACCAGTCTTCCAATCATTAAAAAGGGTCGATGACGACGTATTAGTGAGGCAAACTAGTAAATTGAGTATGCAAAGACGGTGATCATATGTTGGTGTTGGTGATTGTTTGGCGGGTGATGGTCTCAAGCACAAATAAATTTCCGGGTACAACATGCTGCTGTTGGTTATTGAGTGGCTACAAAGCCAACATGTATGCTGGTCTATATTGGTGATGAATGGTAGGGGATGCATTGTTCAATATATGTGTTGGTTGGTCTCGCGGTCACAAAAGGCAGTAGTTTAGGAATGACCAACCAAAGTACTCAATTGAAACCTCAGCTGTATGTGAGAAAACGGGGAGCTCATTCCCTGCCCAAAAAACTTTCGTATTTCATCCGCTAAATTGACTGTAGTGTTTGGGCACATTGTTTTTCAGGAGTGGGAAGAATTATCAACAATGTTCAGTTGAGCAAATAAATTCGACTTTTATAGATAATGTAAGAGACGCGGCTATTACTCTGAGAACGCCTAGGTTAGAATAATATATTATTCTAGAAGCCTTGTACATCTTGAATACTCATGCGGGCGATTTGGAAGAGTTGAAATTAGTATGTTTATTAATCCAAGTACTTTAGGACATTCAAGCTAATTTTTCCTGGAATCCTAGAACCATAGATTTTTAGTTGCGCCCAGCGTAATAGACAGGGCTCTTACAGAAGAATCAACATCGTTATTCATTGCCTAGCATAAGGCATGTTTCACACGTCATCCTACAAATCTAGCACCCCCCCCCCTTCACCCTTCACCCTTCACCCTTCACCCTTCACCCTTCACCCTTCACCCTTCACCCTTCACCCTTCACCCTTCATCAGAATTTGAAGTCTGTATTTAATGAGAACATGGTTGAATTGATCATGAGCATTGATTCTTGATGTGGTTACTCTTTCCGTAAGTCATGAACTTGAAACCTAAGTTTTCCCCACATCTCGCTTAAACCCCTTTTTGCCGAGTTTGAGAAATAGTAAAATTTGTTCACTTCTGAGCCTGGTTTTACAAGCATAGGGCCAATACCAGTTAAGAGTTATAGTTTAAAAAGGGGTAGGGAAAAAATTAGAAATATTAACAAGAGATATTATTATCAGTCTAGAGACATCGTAAAAGAATTATAAACAGCACATAGTAAACGATGTTCGAAAACAAATAGTATTATTTGTGTAACTCTATCTAAAGGATTGGGAGTGCGAGTATCTCAGATAATTGCACGGAGCTGACCAGAGCTCTTCGTTACTAACTTTGCCAAACGAGTGTGGAGTATATCGCAACAAACAGATAAAAAAGAATCTGCTTCGGTTTCTCTCCCGACCCCGGAACCTTTTTTTGTCGTTTTCATTTCTTTTTAAATTCCAAACCCATCGCGAACAGCAAAAAATAAAGAAGAAACCAAAAGACTGTGGGAAATCTTAACAGATGGAAAAAGACATTTTTTTTGTTGTTGTTTTCTGAAATTAAAAACCAAAAACATGGCGATTGACAAATGTGGAAACTCGTTCAAGGAGTGGTGATTAAACGGGTGTATGGAGAATCGTAAGGACGGGAGGGTAGTGGTTTATCGGAGTTGGAGCTTGTCGGTAGAGAAAAGGTGTTTAGTTTCGAAGGCGGATATGGCGGAATGTAAATAGGTGTAGAGGAGACTTCTATATGAGAAGTCGTGCTCGCTAGTCAGCAAAAATACCACGTTTGTCATCATCGGATATATTTTTAATTGTATATTCTTTGCTTCTTGGGCGAATAGACCTCATGAAACGCTCTGGAATCATGAACGGATGCTCTTCTGACTCCCATTCGTCGGCTGTGGCCGTGTCATGAATGCCTTCATTTCCAGGGGCTTTGTGCTTCTTGATGTAACATTCTAATTTGCCTCTGTTTCACCCGAGCATATTTTCTGAAACACCACCAGTGCCCCCCAACCCCTTGTCCATGGCGTTCAGTAAAATATATAGTTCGATCTTGAGCTTACTCCACGTTCCCTTGCATATTTTAGAAGACATCCAAGCTCCGTTTTCAATGATAGGTAATAGTTCCGTCTGGGCCCGACCCTGATCAAAGGCTGAATCTGTAAGATTCACTGGAAGTGGAGGCTCACGATAAGAACCTTCGGCGTCTGTAAATCGATTTATATTGTCATAATCTTCGGAACTCGGGGTGCACTTTGCTAACAACTTCTCCTGGGCGTGGGTCTTGTTATACCAATCTTGGAGGTATGTACTTGGCCCAGCACTCGGATCACTCGGGTCGAGCGGACTATCGAAGTTGCGAAACTTTTCTGGTTCACATAACATATCTTCCTGATGGCAATAGAAAATAAGTTTTTTGGTAAAGAGCCAGGTTTTCGAGTTGCCTGAACGCGGCAACCGGCAAGCCAGGATCCTTCTATGTGTTTCTGGGGAGAAATCGTTGCCAAATGATAAATCGGGCATATTTGCTGCTTCAAATAGAGGATATGGTAAAGGGTCGGTGATAATATTTGGCAATGCAGGATTCGAGTTTGAGGAATTTGTGTTTGTGTTGTTGAACAAGAAGGAGTTGGAAGAGAGAACCAGAGCTTTTATACTTCCAGAAGAGTACCAAAAAACTGTGAATCAAATCAACTAAGACCAATGACTATCCCATGATATAAACTCCTATGAATGAAATACGAGAGATATTCGTTGACAGTCACAGTCTACGCAGAAAGTAAACAATCAAGTCATACCCTTTCATAAAGTTCCAGTTCACTCTCTCCCATTACTTTGTTCTCAGATCATATATATATGTGAATAGACGAAGATGTTTCTTTATTAGTCAAATTTGAAAGGTTATATGATAATCAATGAGTCAAGAGGTGTAAACCCAGACCTCCCCACATCTCGCTTAGTGAAACCCAACCCCTTTTTATGGCTCCAAAACCACACTCTCGCTAATACAGGAAACTGCAATGCAAAGATCCATTCAGAAACTACAGAGCAACGATGCGTCATCAAACACTCAGAATAGATAAGAATCTGGTTGGTTCAGGATATCTTACTGAAGGTATGACTAGATATCCTGAATCAACAAGCCTGGGTTCAAGTTCTTGCTTGAATCACGTGAATCGCATATGTAAATCACTTCAATCACTCAAATCACCTGTATCACTAAAATTACTTCAAAAAAGATGTGTTCATCATTGAACAGTACCGTATCTACTATACAACTGGTCGACAGCGCTCGGCAAATGGAACCCATTCCATGGAATTCCAGTGATTCTGTTTCATATAGAATAATTCCAGAGCACCCGTTAAAAGAAATGGAATATTCCATTAAAAGGCCTCTGGAATTCCTACTGTTTACTTAGCATTTCATTCTAAGTAAAGGGTCTGGATAGCTTAGGTCCCCACCCACGCCCCCTCCCCTATTTGTCACTTTCTAATATCTACTTGAATCGCACAATCTAATTGGCTCAGGGGGTTATGTTGTAGAGTTATACCCTACCTATAATGAGTCGTGTACAGAGGAAGGGACGGTGGGAGCTGTCCAGACTGGCCTAATACGCACATACAAATCTAGACTTCCCATTGGTCCAACGGAGCGGACGGACCTTTATACGGGTCATGTGATTCGGTTCTATGGTACTTCTATGGAATAGGGGGTATAGAATGGAATGATTCCAGACCTTCTTATAAATGGAATGGAATATTCCAGAGGGGGTCATGGGATGGAATGGAATTCCAGTTGCTGAGCGCTGCTGCGTGAAACCCGGGGAAAAACGCTCAGCAACGAAAATAATAAGCTCTCCAGACTCTATGCTCATGTTCTGTTTCTGAGAAATGAAATAGATACCAGTGCCTTACGAAGAATATCTCCTTTCACTTTTCAAACAAACTCAACACCATTCCATCAACACCCCATAAATCAAATCACAGTAAGCCCAGCCCTCAGCCTTACGAGGGAGAGAGGACCCGCAAACAAAATACCGCACATCACTTAACAAAATCCCAAAACAACATGTAAGATTCACAACTCTCCATTCCCACATCCATTAACCCACCTCAATCAACACTCACGCACAAAAAGCGAAGAAAAAAAGAAGAACCCAAGCTGACCATAAAAGAAGAGCCCTCTGCATTCATTCATTTTCAAATATCCCATCACACCCAAACCCCACAAGAATCCAATTCCGAGCTTTGCTTGCTTGCTTTCATGCTGTCTGATCTAGAAAAAGAAAAAGAAAAAGAAAAAGAAAAATAAGACCACACACCATTCATATCATACCATGCCTTCCAATCCATCCACCATCGTCCGTCTTAATATACACGTCAACTCATCTCTTCAAGTCTAACCTCATTTACGTTCAATTAGGAGGCAGCCTCAACAGTTTTCCCCTACCCCTTCTTCTCCTCTCCAGTAGCGACGAGAGGTCGCTCTTCTTTTACGCTTTCAAGATCAAGATCCTTCTTCAGATCCGGTAAGAACCGATCGATTCTCTTCCAAGTTTCCACCCACAATTTTTCCTGCATTGGGTCCTGGGATGGAGGGACGAGATATCCGCTATTCGACATGACGAGCAGAATATTCTTTAGACTTTCAGGTACAGCCTCCTCCTATTCAGAGTTAGTTTTATATGAGTCGAAGAGGAGAGGGAGAATTAAGGGTACGAACCAAGCTATCGCCTTGCCCACTATTCATCAGCCTATCCATAATATCCAGGATCTTGAGCCAGAGATCTAACATCCCATCCCATTTTGAGAGAAGAACCAAGTAATGTAAGAAAATCCTACATAGCAGCGTGGCAGCCTGCACTCTCGTTTCACTCATTCCGACTGGATCTGAGGAATATACTTCTGGCTTCAGAAGGCGCACGATTAGTGGGAAAAGGACTTCGCTAAAGATTGCCGTCCACTCATCGTGCTCCCCTGATGTCAACTCGGGCGAGAGAAGTGTACGTTGAAGAGAAGAGAAAGCTTGGTGCCGAATTTCCCGGCAAGGATTCGTGCATTGAGTCGTTAAAGCCCGGAAGATGGTCGACCAATAAGCTGCCCATGCCTCTTTGCTCTCGAGATGGGATTGCTGCATCAAAACAGGTATTCGTGTTGTGAGCGAGTAAATCATTGAGATTGCCTTCACACCTCGGGTAACTGCAGCATCAACCCTATAAATTGTTAGATTTCATCTTGCAGAATAGTGCGAGCACTTACCCAGGTGGCTTTGCAGGAGATTGCAAGGGCTGCCCTCGTCTTGGTCTCTTGTCTTTCTTCTGCTCTATAGTTGATCCCACACTTCCGGCAGTCGCAAAATCATTGAGCAATTTTACCGCGGATTCATAGTTATCCGCCATCACAGTAGGCGGTGATCCAATTGCGACGCCTTCTAGGATTTCGAAAACAGTTGGAGCTGATTGCGCATTGCCGGCCAAGTTGCGGAGAATTACCCAGAAATCGGGAGATGTCATAATCTCATTTCTAAGCGACCCCGGTTCCTTGATGCATTGCGTTAACCCTTGAAGCACGAGTGGTGCAGCCTTATCCAGCAAGTCTTTTTTGAAACTCGATATTGAGTGTAAGACGATTGGTACACGTAGGTAAGAGTGTTCCTGTCACAATTAGTAAGAAGAAACCTAATTGGCATAGTATGACTTACGTAGCTGGCGTGCAGAAGATGGAAGATATAGAAAGTGGTTCTTGAGATCATGATGTTGTGGAAGCTAGGTGCGTTTCGCATTACGTTCATCAGTGCTTCCGCAACATCAGCACCAAGTTCCATTATAGTCTCACTGTCTCTGATTGCAAGGACGGTGCAAAACTCCAACAGATAAACATGCGATGGGTCATAGCCAGGGCCCGTAGGGGTTCCTTTTCGTGGATCAGGTGACAATAGGGGTTGGTGTTCAGCCTCTGATTTTACGCTGATGACAATGGCTGATGGATCATCTGGGAGTTGCTCAAGGAGTGCCTTGACCAAGGGTTTTAGTGAACCAACAGGCATTTCACTGTCAGGGGTTAGTACTTCACCAAACGATGTTGATCCAAAACTTACGCAGCAGCAGCGAAGACGTCTCCCATGTAGCATGCATTGATGCAGTCTACTGTACAGAGCGTGCTCTCTAACTCTTCATCAGAAGGCTCCGGAGGATCATCCGCGGCATAACTAGAGATATAAGAGGTGAAGGCTGAGAACAGGCCTGCCTCATTCTGCTTTTGGCCCCGGTCTACGACTAATGTCGGGTTCTGAAGTGGCATGGGTGTGATTTCCATACGATTTGGTGCAAAGAAAGGGGGTATCAAGGAATTTACGAAAAGATTCAGCCATATTTGCACAATCTAAATGGAGGTCAATATATATTTATCCTTGGCTCTCGAACAGCAACTCACATGTTTCCAACTGTTACTCATAATAGCCTCACTCGCAAGGACCACGCGAAATAAGACGACCGTAGCCAGCTGTGCTTTGAAATCTCTGCCAAATTGAACGGCAAGTTGGCTCACCATGACACTGTTCTCGCCAACCTGAACCTCGGTGTTAAGGGTGGTATTTGATGGAGTGCCGTTGGCCAATGTGGTAATGTAGCTCAGGCAATAAACAATGCGATCAACAGCTTCTGTGAGACCGTATTTCACTGCAATTCGAGCACATTGATCAAATCCATTGACAACTCTGGAGAAAACAGCGTCATCAGTGGCAGACATGAAGACATAGGATAATGTAGCAACGACTGGTTTCCAGGTGGCTGCAAACATATCTGCGTCGTATATGTTCGTGTCACATAGAACAAGATCTCCGGCGGATCCTGTCTTTAATAGAAGCTCCCTCCAAGCATAATCAAAAGCATGTTTATTTTCATGCTCATCAGGCAGAATGATCTCATTCGATTGAATGGAATCAAAGATATCTTGGAGGAACTTGTCATCAAAGTTTTTGCCACCATTGACAGTTGTCAAGTTTCTTGCAAAGTTTTCGAATTTCATACGATTCTTCACCGTATTTGGGTTGTGCTGATCAGTATTCAACATGATGATGGCGTATGTCAGAACATAGATTGCATCCTGGTCGGCTACCCCCTCAGGCTTAGCTTCATCGTAATAACGCTGTGCAAAAACCGTGACAATTCTTTCAATAAGAGCTGACTCTCCAGGCAAACGGAACGACTCCAGAAGCTCCCGAAGCGCTTCATCAACTCGCTTCCCCTCAAACCGAAAAGCATCCATGAAAGCGTCGAGCATGGGTTCATTCCCCTTTTTTGAGACATACTCCCCGAGCTGCTTTTTAGAAATTCTGAAGGTGCCCCTCAAGAAGGTCGCAACAGATTTGGGATCTTTTGGATCAGTAATGATGCCATGAGCAGCCAAAAATGCAAGTCCTGCCTTTGGGTTGTCGTTGAATTTGGCAGCCCCTTGGATGATAATTTTCTTCCTCCGTCTCTGCTCCCGCAACTGTATGACACCTGGATAGCCATCATGCTGGGGCTCATCATCCAACCTTTCAGCTATGAATTGAACATAACCAAGAAGCGCATCCAAACACAAAGGCGGTACACTAGTTGTACTCCAAGTCGCTGAGTCTGGAATAGAATTTCTAGAGAGAAGTCCAACCATGTCTTCACATAAATCGCTTCTATCAACGGCACAATCGTAGTTCACATACAACTCCACCATAAAGCTTGGTATTCTAGCAAGAGCGCCTACGCTCTCAACCATTGCTTCCCGGGCATCGGGTTTCCGCGATCCTCCTTCCATACCGAGTTTTTGGCGATCCTTCACCGCTACAGGCGTTGCTCGTCCGCTACCTGGCTGGGATTGAGGTGGTGGCTTTACCAATTTTGGAGCTTGTGGCACTCCAGCATATAAAGCGGGATCGATTCCAGGTTCCCTTGGGATCTCTACTCGAGGATGTAAACATGCAACCAAATAGGCGAGAAACAACTCTTGCTGAAGTTTCAATACCCCACGACAGGTAGCTAGTAGGGTTCCCGCCACAATGAGTGATTCATGTAAGATTGCCATATTATCTGACCGAACTAACTGAAATAAATACTTGCATAAACGGTCTTCTGCCAAGTTAGCCAAACTTGGATGTTTGGCTATGGAAGGTCCGGCAACCTCTAATGCAACATCAATAATGCGCAAAGCCATGACTCTCATAGCATCGGCATGTTGACGATCATGAGGGTCCAGAAGATCTACGAGGACTCTGAAAAGTTCCCGTATAGAGGGTAAGGAATAGGGCTTGATTGGAACATCATCTGATGTTTCAGATGCCGGTCCAACTCCGATGTCCGAATTGTTGTCAGCCATTGGTGAAGTGAGGGACGTTCTTGACTTGTCAAAGCTCGTGGATGGTCTGGACTCGGGCGGTGGTGCTGCCAAAGACGATTTCACGGCATCATTGGCATTCGCGGAGGGGGCCATTTTCACTGTATCCATGTCTTCCTTCGTTTTCTCATCCAAAGCCTCTGAATCTTCTCCGGCCTCAATTTCTAAATGCTTCAATCGCTCAAAAATGATTTGACACATCTTAACCATAGAAATCTCTGCCGAACGTCTAAGAAGTTCCGAAAGCCTTGATTGACAGCACATGCTGAGTCCGGTCTCCATCATTTCACATACGCTTTCGTCGCTGAGTAGATCCCCTCCCGGTCCCGATAACATGCCCTCCATAAGCTTCAATATTCGTAGAAGCACAATCTCGTCCGCAGCAGAGTCGCTGGCTTCAAATCGGCAATGCGTAATGGCCGCAGATAAAGATTGCATTGCAAGGGACAGTCGTGGTGAGTCTGGACTTATGAGGTTATAAGAGAAGAATTTCGTTATCGCGACGAGCGCGAGCGACGTTATCGGGGCAGAAGTCGCAGAAGCTTGGATAACTTGGAGAAACGGATGCAACAGCGAAGGTGTATCAAATTGGTGTATATCTATTCCTGGTCAACACATACCTTACAATCAGAACCTGGGTTGGTTTCGTACCTTTGCATCCAGTCAATTCCCGTCTAAGTCTTCCAAAGCCCGCCATCAGGGGATTGTCCTGCATGCTCTTTCCTTTCTTTCCCCTCAGACCCCATCTATTCGCAAGTCCCGCATCATCCCCCGGGTCGGTAAAACCAGTAGAACTTCTGCTCTTCATTCCTTTCCTACTTCCCAGGTCGTCTCCGGGGGTTGAGGGTCGTGAACTCTGCAAGCTTGGATTCATTGAACTCGAGCTTCCACCTAGAATTGCAGAGACCGAAGAATGCGCCCACTTCGCATGCTTTCGCATGGCAGATGTGACGGTAATACATTCTGTAGTGATCAAGGCTACGGGGTCTACTGCCACTGAGACTCGGCCCCTCCTTGAATAATCCATACCAGCGCCGTTCATTTGGTTATTTCCTGGGCCGAATCGATGGGGAATATCGGTTATCGGGGGTTCGGGTTCGCGCATTGAAGTGGTCGAAGAATCGATTGTCGTTTCTAAGCTTATGAGATCTGCTGGGGCGCCATTGCTCATGTTGTACCTGGTGCTTCGGCAAAGAGCATGGGAGTCGACTTTGCTTTCAGGTGGTGAATGAATTCGAAAATTAGTAACAGTCCCTATGTCGCAGAAGAAATCCGACTGTAAAAGTGCAATTAATGTAGATAATCTTGACGCAGAATGCTGAATGTACAAATACAAGAAATGTACCTGGTTATTTCTAGGTGGTCGTCTAAAAAAGCTCCACCCCCGAGGAACTGAACAGATTTGAAGGTCGGGACCATAGCACCAAATCACGTGCGTGTTCAGGTGCCATTGTTTAGGTCCCGCCTAGATAACTAGCGATAGCACGGTAGCTAGCGATACCTAGCGATACCCTAGATATACTCGGGTAGGTAGATTCTAAGTAGCTTAGGTAGAAAACTAGCAGTAGCGTAGGTAGATTCACATTAAGCTCGTCATATGATGACAGGATAGATATCTCAAAGTTATGACATTTCCAGTCCTCCTGTTATGTAATTCCTATTACTCGTATTTAGGTTTGATCTCGTCTATACTTTTACAACCCGGCAGATTACACTACAGAAAATGAGCTTCTGCTGCTCAAATGAACAAGAATGCTGGGGTCATCAGATCACAGCCTATGCAATTTCAAACGCCTTATCCTTCCGTGCCCTGACCAAGTCTATGATACCATTGACCTCTTGATTCGGGTATCTTCTTGAAGCGAACCCTGAGGTTACCTCAACGTGTAAGGGGTAATGATTTACACTTGATCAAGTAAATGTGTACTTGAACATTTGGGCCTGTTCCATTAGCAAGAGAAAACAGGAACAGGTTACAAGTCCTTACCTCACTCCCACTTCACTGCGGGTTGCCCTGCGGCTTGCCTGCCTCCCTCGCAGCTTCAAGCGTTTTGGCCTTCCTGGCTTCTTCATCAGGTGCTGATGCTGCTGCGGCGGCGGCGGCGGCCTCTTTTCTCTCCTTCTCCTTTTTCTCCTTCTCCTTTTTCTCCTTCTCCTTCTTCTCTTTCATGGCCTCGTTCTGGATCCCAGTTTTGTCTTTTTCCCATTGACTGCCTGTATCCACAAACTGATCTTTGATTTTCTTCACTCGATCGAGTTTTTCCTGTTCTTCTCTTTCACGAGCTTTTCGCTCCTCTTCCATTTCCTATTCGGAAGTCAGCGATACATCGACAAAAGACAAGCATGAAATACAGACCTCCATATGACGAATATCGTCGACACTAGGCTCATACAAATGCCATATGGTATAATGCGGTAACCCAACAACAGAGAATTGCATGCGTTTGGCCATCTAGCTTTGGTCAGTATTTGAACAGGTTCTTTCTTCAATTCATTACATACCTTTCCGAATCCCTCAGTCTCAGCGTGTTTTTGGAAACTAAATGCCGGGAAATGTACGCCTGATCTGAACACTTTGGCCTTGGCTAGAATACTGACACCTCCGACTCCATCAATGTCCATTTCCATGTCAGGGTCCCCGTATGGGTCTCGTAGATAAGCAAGATGAGGCCTCCATGTAGCGTACTCTGCGTAACCTTCCACAATAACTGCGTCTTCGTCGAGTGTGTCCGCGAGTGCTAACGCCGTCTCCGATTCCTGCCAGGAATTCAAATCATAAGGTTGTTCGCCACCAAGCCAGTCAGGGAGGGGTCGCCAAACATCTGGTAAGGTTAGAATGTTAAGGGGATACCAGAGAATTGAAACATACTTGGCACAATGACATCCTTATTGTGGCGCATGAGATCTTCCAAGATAGTAAAGGGTGCAGTCTCCACATCGACATCCCTCCAATATACCCAGCTGTGGTATGGACGCAAGGCTGCGCTCAGTAGCCAGTTTCTTGCCTGCGCCATCAACTTTCTCCGGCTTGCTTGCGCTGCAAATCCGTGACGACTTTCAACATCCTGGTTAACCTTTTGTCCAAAATCCTTCTCAATGATTGAAATCTCGCCATACGGCATTTTTGGGTCCTCGTCGGCCTGCAGAGCCTCCAATAACTCCGAAAGTAGGGGGAGTGTTCGATCCTTCGAATCTGATACCAAGAATGCGAGATCTATAAGGTGATGAGGATACGTGAAGTTGTGAAGATGCGAGAAGAACATTCGAAGATGGGATTCGGCGTCTCGTAGGGGGGCACATAGTAGAATACGTTCTTCTCTTTCCCAACCCCGCGCAGTTCCCTGAACGTTAGATAAGTCATAGTATCGCACAGTTTCCAACTGAAAGTCCTCTCCAGTAGATATAAATCCGAGTGACAGAATGGACAGTATCGAGGCACCTGGCCATATAAAAAATGCGAATAAACCGATGGCTAAAATGATGCATAATCGAAACAAAAGTTGCCGCCTCCTTCGCAGAGCAGGCGGGGATGCTCTAGGTTGAAATCTACTCGCGCGGACAGGTTAATTAGGTTCTGAAGGGTGTTTGCGTCGAAACTCAGAGACGGGCGTTGAGCATACCTATGAGGAGATATGGAATATGTGGTCTTGTCTTTCGATCGCGGATAGCCATTGGAATACGCATCTGCTTTCGCGTGGTGCCGCGGCAACATCGTGAAGGAACAGCGACCGTAGTATTTGGTGGTCGAATTTGGATGATGGCGTTGGTGTTGCCAGTTTGGCGCTCGCAATGATTTTGTCCAAGCTGACGCTCGTGTTCACGACCCCTGGGCCGATGCCCGATCTGACACTCTCGAGATGTTCAAGAATACTCGAGCGCAGGCTGGAAAAGGGGGCCTTGCAGACGCGAGAAAAGACGATAAGAGTTGGTGATGGTCCTCTGCATCAGCGGTGAGGATGCGGTGGTGGAGGGAATGGAGATTGGAGGAATCGAATTGATATCTGCTCGAGTACGTAAGGCGGAATAATTGCAGCGGTGGTCCCAGATCCTAAAATGGAATGGATTACACTGCTGGGGTGTGTGGCTGTAGGTTGCTAATAGAGTTGGTACCTAGCGAGCCTAGTACCCAGTCGTTCGGCGGCCGCGTCCCCTGCACTCACGCTCTACAGTACTTGGCTTCTACTTTTAACTGCTTCCAGGGCCCCACTCCCTGGTGCGCCCATCCCTTCCCAACCCGGCAGCCTTAACCCCACGACTGACTGAAGGCTAAATTCAGTCACAATGCAAAGACTTGGCAACGCTTGCGGCAAAAGCTTCAATTCAAGTCACGCACGCATGAAGCATGCCAGATAGCACAATCAAGATATACATATACAATTTCATAGAGTGGAGGCTTGTTAAAGAACTTTGAATTACTTCTATATATCTCTACTATGCTCTACATGTAAAGACTCCACGTTGTTATTCTCCCCAAGTCCGATCTCCGATTAGGGAAGTGGAATAAGTAGAATGAACCGAATACCATCGACGACCCTAGAGGCTTCGTTAGCAAGACGAACCCATATTGCTACACAGATTTAGAAACTGTCGAGTTTGCTCAGAAAAGCCGATTTACTCATGCAAACAAGCCGGCCTCAATTCCCCACGTTCCAAGACGCAACGAAGAGCAGAGAAGCACTGAAACCACACACTCCACGACCTATCATCCCAACCAACGAATTGACTGGTCCGGTGCGGGAGGGTGGTTCGGCCGACACGCAATAGTGGAATGGATAAGCTGTTGTCATCAGTGCGGTAGGAATGGGTGACAAAATTAAAATATCCTTACCCGTGAGCGAGCAGTGGTGACGCAGCTGGCAGTCATGTAGAGCGAGTGTGGAAATTGTGATCTATGTAAACACAATAGTCAGCAATCTAGTTTTGCTTGATATGTGTGACATTGCAAGAGATTGAGTGTTGGATTTCAGAAAGTTTTTTGGTATATTGGTTTATCAACATTGTTGTTCAGAAGCAGAACTGATTAAATTTTTCTCATCATGAAAATATCAGTGGGGGATCGAGAAGGAAAAGTTGAACATACCCATCCAGTATAACTCCTGGGAAACGCATCACCCGTCTTGATATGCCACGATACTGGTGATGGACTGCAGGCGTGGCATAGTACCATCGGCATGCAGCGCAGGCTTTGTGCAAGGCGGGGTCAAGGGGTCGGGTGCACCCATCTCGAGTTCGAGTCGAAGTTTGTGCCAGGTCATTTCAGTATCTGTCTTTGATTCGTCGTCAGCGCATTGTTTCCTGCAATTGAGAACAATAGATACAAAGTATGCGAAATGCTTCAGATGGTGATGCATGTTGTTCATTGGATCATGTAATCACCGGTGAACTTTGGGTAAAATATATCATCAGGAGCAAGAGGGGGAGACAAAGACAGTTGAACCCACCATCTGCGCGAGTTAGTTCAGCGTGGGAGTGGTATAGCATTCGAGGTCCTCATGGTCCAATCGAGTCCCAGCTCAGGCGCACCATCGCACATCGCTGCGATGTGGTTGTCGTGAGGTTGGTGCTTGTAAAAATTCAGATGAAGGTTGACGAGCTTTTTGAAGAAAATGCAGGATGCACGGGCCATGTGGCACTAGCTTCTAGTACCCAATAGCCTCAGCCTCAACCTCAGCCACAGGCGTAACTGGTGCCCGCGGCTGCATGGCCAAATATTTTCGAAGCATGGATGGATGCGATCCATCATAGCTCTGAGCCGTCAGCTACCTTATCACCAACACACAACATGCTTCCAGTTCTGGCCGACAGGAAGAGGGTCAATGGGCCATTGGGTGGGACCAGCGCACCCATCTACTCAAAATATCTTGCCAAAGACCCCAAAGAACTTCCAGAGAGGCCGACGAGGTCACGGCCGAACAATGTTCTGCGGAAAATGTGTAGGTTTGCGCGAATCATGAATAACTTCAATCACTTCCACTCTGATACTTGACAGTTTTGAAGACGGGAGTCACACCCTCAGCCTCAGGATCAGCATATCTCGAGCTCGCCGCCCCCATAAACTCCAAATCCGTTGCTCCTGGCCTAGCCTCTCTCTCCCCTTCTGGATTGAAGCTCACTTGCACTGTTCATGGGCCCCGACCTTTGCCTAGAACTGCGCAATTCTCTCCACATATTATTCTCACCACTCACGTCAAATACGCCCCATTCGCAACCCGAAAACGAAGAGGATACCTCAAGGATTCAAATGAACGAGATCTTGGAGTACATCTTGAGGCAGCGTTGCGCGGAGTGATCATTGGAGATCGATGGCCAAAAAGTGGAGTGGAGGTCATTATCACCATCCTGGAAGGAGAGGAAGACCAGTGGTGGGGAGATGATATTAGTCGAGGAAATACGAGTGCAACGGGATGGGGCATGATGAGTGTTCTCAGCGGTTGTATCACCGTTGCCTCTGCCGCTATTGCTGATGCTGGAATTGATTGTGTGGACGTTGTTGCTGGTGGAGTAGCTGCGGTGGTCAAAGAAGCTGGCATTCCAAACTTGGTTTTGGACCCAGTTCCATCAGAGCACAAGGACATCATTGCTGCCTGCATTGTGGCTTATCTACCTTCTCGTGATGAAATCACAGATCTCTGGGTCAAGGGTGAAATCGGACATCAAAATCAGGCAGAAGACAGGCCACAGACTTCTACGTACGAAGAACTGACGGACAACGCTGTACAAGCTGCATTGGGAGCACACAGAGTCTTGATTTCGGCTCTTAAAGAAACAGCGGACGTCAAATTAGGACGAACATGAGGAGGGTCTTTGGCAATCATAAACAGGAGTTAAAACTACTGGGATATCATGTTATATGCTATGCGACATGGCTTTGTAAATGGAATTGGCGTTTTTGAGACCAAAGGAGTGGATATTGCGCTCATTGTAAGAGATTTGTTTGGTCCTATACCCTAGATGAGATCAGGAGAACTTCAAGCAGTCGTCCTCTACTGAATACGTTTGATGAAAAGCTTACGAGCTGTTTTCAATAGAAAACATTGCAAAAGTTCAAAGGAGTTCATACACTTCAGATGGGCAAAGCATGGCCAATCTAGCAGCTCAAAGAATGGCCCATCGTTTGTTAGGATGCCATCTGAAGCATAGTTATTGTTCTTGTTTCTTTGCAAAAGTGCCACGCTTATCAAAAAGAAACACTCAACCTCTCTCAACTATATAATGTCTTGTTTCACACCATGCTGAAATCTTTCCACTACTTTCTAATTCAAAAAGGTCCTGAACCACAGCCTCCAAATCTCAGAATCAGACCAAGTTACTTTTCATTTCAGTAGATCAACGCTCTACTTCTGATCAAACACTCAGCGGCACAAGGAAGAACGGACGAGAAGAAATGCCTTCCAAGATCCAACTTGATGAGAACTTGTGGTTTCTCTATACTTGTATTCAGAAATCTGATATGAAAATCGTACGTGTACCTTTTCTCTCTTTTTTCTTTTTCTCTCTCTTGGGATTCTTGTTACTTTTCATACTGAATCATACACAAGATATAATGAGCCGTTGATATCCCCGGTTATATTTTGAATTTGGCTTACGTTCTTTATCTGGTTGGATTTGATTGTTATTTTGATACTGGGTAGACACACTATTTTACAATGCTTAATTTCATTCCCTTAAAACCGTCCTAGTTTTTGTCCCATCGCTTCAGTTCCGCTTATCTGTATCACTACCCATCACTTGTCTCATCAGCCCGTTATTTCAATACCTACCAACACTACCTCCATACAGTTATACTCATACATTTCCCCCTCTCTATGCTCTAAAAACTAACACAAAATCAAAGATCGACTTCGGCGCCGTAGCCGAACTCGCAAACATCAAACCCCCAGCAGCAAGAATGCGATACACTCGATTAAAACGACAAATCGAGGATGGAACCTTGACGGGGCAACACGGGAATACACACGTACCTTCCAACGCGACAGCTTCGCATTCCAAACCTTCAATCTCTATGCATCCGAATCGGGTACCTTCAACTTTCATGCCACCTACGCATAGCTTCGAGTATCCCCCTGAAGCTTACCAAAGCCCTTATTCTTCCATGAAAACCAAGTCTAAGAAGAGGAAAATTGAGTTCTCGGATGGCAATAGGAATTCCATCTCTTACTCAAGCAAAGCTCCTGGGATTAGAAAGTGTAAATCAGAAGATGCAAAAACAATCAGGAATGACAATACCATCAGTCCCTCAGGAGAGCCCCTCGAACCAGGAGAAATCCAAGAACCCACCTCCGACTCCGACGACCTCGAAAACATCCCTCTCTCCAAAATCAGGAGGTCAACTCAAAATCAAAATCAAACCCCCAACTCAGCAACAACGCCTCCTCCCTCCCTCTCAAAACCCATCAACTCACCCCAAACATCCCCGCGTCCATCAACCTCCCCAAACCCGCACTCCCACTCCCAACCCTCTCCACACACCACCAACACCCCACCACCCCCCTTCCAAAGCGCAACGCTCCCCTACCCACCACCTAAACCACCCCTCTCATCCCCCGCGATATACCACGGTTTCCGCGGTGCGAAGAGGGGGTATCGGTATTTCCAAGGCGGGGACAGGGGTATGAAGTATGTTAGTCCGTATGGGCCCGGGGTTGGAGGAGGGAATGGCGGGGGGAGGGAGGAGGGTGTGAGAAGGGTTGGTGGTGTGGGTGAGCCTTTTCGGAGTGCTGGGCCGGTGGATAGTATTCATGGAAGGGAGTTTGGGAGGCCGTATGCTAGGGGGGCTTGGGGTGTGGAGGTTAGGGATGGGTGGAGGTGAGGTGGGAGAGGGGTTGTGGGATGAGGATGTGTTGGGTTGGAGGGGGGATCGGGTTTAGTGAGTGTGGGGTTTGAGGGTTTGGACTAGAGTCTGAACTAAAGTCATTGTTGGGGTATTAGGGGTCGTCTGTCCTTCTTCTAAAGTCTTGGTAATAATGATCTTAGGGTATGAAAAGATTGTTTCTCTTGATTCTATAACTTTAAGTGAAGTGCACGAAATTTTCATCCTGGGAACACATGTAATGAAAAGTCCCCAACGAACTGTCAAGTAATGACAAGTATTCCACACACTCTTAACCTCATTTCCTCTTACATATATACGCGCTGATACCAGTCAGACTCTCCCGAAGAAATAAGCGAGTAAGCCTGGAAGGGTTGTTTACTTTACATTTCTTACAAACTCGCTCGCAGTTGAAGTATGGTACTCCCGCAACCATTTTGCTAGCAGATAAGTTGTTATCGATCTAAAACCCTACTAGACCTTAACCGCTGACATGTCTATGGATCCACAGAGCTTACTAAAACAATCTATCTCTGATTCTCCTGAGGACCTGAGGTGAAAAGAATTACTTGAGAACTCAATAAGACAAGAACTTAGTAAATATTCCTGAAAACAAAGTCACATCCTACCTATACAAACACAGTTATCTTCTTCTAGTAAAGAACAAGAAACTCGCTCAAGGAAAATATCATGTCAACTTGACATTCAAGTTATAACCCCCGCGCTGACTTGAAAAGTGTCTGGGCACGTGAAATCACACGTAGAACAGGAAAATGAACTTGATAGAATTTGCCCAATAGTTTGTTTGAGCAGTTTCTAATGAATAAGATGAGAGGCGGAGAGTTCTCTTCTAGTGTATGTTGGTTCAGACTGTTCGATTCTTCTCATTACCTAGAGTAATGAAAATATTCAAGCGAGAATGCAGGGGATTTGTCCCCTAATATTTTCTTATCCACTGGATAATGGTCAATGGCGTGTGTCTGTAGGTCACTAGAAAGGACTAAGTAAGTAGCCATATAATAGAGAATATTTTTATTCATTCCCCGACATAAAACACAAGAGTCAAAAGGTAGTATCGAGAATCCAATTCCAATTCAAATATCAAAAAAACACCCAAACGCAAACCCAATAAAATTGCCCATCAAAAACCAAACGTCCAATAAATGCCCATCCACCCACAATTCCACACCCTTAACAATCTACCAATTTTTGATCCCATCCTCACAAACAATTTCCTTCCTTGATTTTCCTATATTCCAACATCTCCTTTTGATCCCTCATGGACGTCAAACTCAATTTGAAGCCTTACTGCCTCTTCGATCCTTCTTGCCCCATCCCTTCTCCGCAAGCTTCTCGTGATACTTGCTGTCACGATCGTGGTTGCGGTCTAGATGTGAATCGCGAGAGTTGGGCGTTGCGTAGATGGAACCTTTTCGTTGTTGGAAGCGGGAGGGTGGAGTCTTGCTTGCGTCTGCAGTAGGGGACGAGTTAATTCAATGTATCGCCTCCTGGTAATCTGCGATGATATTGAGAAGGATAGAGGATACATGTAAGAGATACAGAAAGAAAGTGCATACCCCATTCATCACCCGTCTCTCCAGAATACCTCCTTCCTGTAGGACTAATAGGGCTTAAAGCTGGACTCGTTCCATCTGATCCCTTACGAGATCCCGATCCAGTCGTGGCACCCTTTCGTTGACTTGCAAAAGGATCGGTGGTGCCATGGTTGGTGAAGGGGCTGGTGTTGATAGCTATAGTAGGAGACCCTGTTAGCATGTGCAAGACGAATTCAAGATCGAGGTAATTATCGATCATGGTATTTTGGATCTTGATCAAGGGGCTTGGACGAAGGACCAAAGATCGTGGTGTTCCCATCGTGATGTAGCCAAGAGTGTACATGTGGAAAGAGCCAAGAAAAGATACAAAGCGGAAGTATGCAGAGAGGGTCAGAAGAGGGAAGGACTAACTCTGATGGGTTTTGGTGGTAGCCATGTTGAATTTTTCCAAGATTTTCATGTGTCTAACTTAGAGAGGAGACCTTTAGAAGGGCTGATTTGTTTTGATGGCTTGAGAGTCGTCGGAGTCGTTGACAATGTTTTAAATCAAAACTTTCGAGCTCCAAATAAAGAGAGTGGCTCAGTTGATAACGAAAGTCCCCTTTGTCTGATGACGATCGACTCTCGAAAATTTTCTCTTCAAGTGTACGAGTGTTTGCGAGATTGCGTAGCTTGTTGAACACGCACGATCACATTCGCAATCTGTGAGATGTTTGGGAGGATTTCACAAGGTAACTTTGTACAACAGGAGATGAAACAATTGAGAGAGGAAAAACAAACGGATTACCAGCGATACATGTACTCCCCTTATACTCCCATTGTTTGCTGGAGGCGCAAAACAGCTCTACTCCCTCCTCCCGCCTGATAGTGGTTGCGAGACTTGGCTGCGCATCACGGCCTGGACAGCATCATTGCCAATCTACGCAAAGCTCAAATGAGGGGCAGTGCAAAAGCTTGTTGATGACGGCGAAAGGTGCCCAGAGTTGGCCAGCAGTGTGGTAGGCTTTATGAGGGGGATAATGTGCCAGAAAAACGACGAATGGAGTGCGAGGGAGATGAGTAAGTGGTCATGCTAGGATCTTGGGGAGCTAATAGCTGTGCTGGTGATTGGCTCTAGCGAGCGGGAGTTGACCGCTCGGTTGAAAAGGGGGGGAGGACAAGGTGGGGTAGTTTGGGTTACCAGGAATGCGTTGGTCTCATGTTGGTTGATCTGTTGGTCAACGCGCTCAATGCCGCTAAGAGATTTGCAGCTGTGGAAGGGAGGGGTAGGATTTGATTATAGTACAGTTCCAGTACTGAGTACCAGTACCAAGTGCTCTCAAAAGCTTGTGATTGTTGAGAGCTGGAGGCATTGGGTTTGATGCAAGCTATGACGTAATCGTCGCTCGTTTGCGGAATAGAGCGGTTTGGCTAGAAAGACTTCTCGCTCTACTCAGAGGCAAGCCGCAAGTGACCTTTGAGAGGCCTTAGCGACCTCTCCACACAACTTGGCACCGAGTAGAAACTGCCGCAGCATCAAGCCTAACATCCATCACTTCTTGACTCCCTCACATATGCGGTTCAAGCTCACCATGCTTTGGCGGCCTAAACCCACCTCGTGGCAAGCCTGCTATGAAAGAACCCCCCCCCAAAGCTCCCACGAGAAAACCAAGAGTTCTGAATGGACTTATGAAACTTAGCTTCATGGTTTTGATTAACAGTGTGGCAACCCCCCAAAGATTGACACGCTTATGATTTCCTAATTTGTCCATCATGTGGTAGGACCACCAATTAAACAGTCGAATCTGTGTCATCGGATTTCCCAAGAACAAGGAGCACCAAGATCACATAGTCTTTCCGATGCTGCACTTGTTATTAGCAATACGGTACCAGCAATTATGTTTTCAAACAACGTAAGATTTCTTATCTGTCGTTTTTGCGTGATTTCTTCCTCGTCGAGGCATTTGTTTACTCAAGGGAGCGACAGCAGTACAAGATGCCGTACTATCACAATCTCTGTGCTGGCTTTGATTACCAGAGCCAATAGCTCAGTCTTAGACCTAGATCTGAATGGCTGTCAGTCGTTGGAATGAATTAGAGACAGGTCAACATACATGCAAGTAGTCGCGTTAAGATTTTGATATATTTACACACTATACAGAATAAATATAATCACGCATGCCAGGCTTACGCCTTTTGAATATCGGCGTAAAATCTTTGATTGAATCATCCACCTGCCACCAACTTCCTAAAAAGTCCCTCCCCTCCAGACTCTGTTTGTGCCTCGGGTAATACCCATAAACGCCAACCAAAAATTGCCCATACACGAAATTATTTCCGATGTTGTGAGAAAAGACTCAACTGAAAAAAAACACACCCGTCCAAGCATTCCCGTCCCATATATGCGAAGTGGTTTCCAAACAAAGAAAAAAAACTAACTCCTAATTTATGCACTGCACTATCTTATCTTACTGATTGTTTGCGTCTTCATACTTTTTGCGCTCTTTTTGTGTCGGCCCCGCAATTCGAGCCACTTGCGTTTTTTGCTGGTAATGGGTAGGTGGTTGTGCAGATAATTCCTTATTTAGTCTACGTCCGATCCATCGACGTCGATTGCATCAGGATTTGCTTCCACTACCGTAGCTTCGATGTTGCCCTTCTGGGGTCCTGTGCTTGCTGCGACAAAACCAACCGGAGCGCGGGCCTCACGTTCCAAAGCAGCCATGGCATCCGCTTCGTCGTCTTCTTCTCCGTTCTCTCCTCCAGCGGCCACTTCTTTCGCTCTTGCAAGCGCTTGGCTAGCGATGAAATTGACATCGGTATTGTACTGTGCCTGTACACTTCTCTTGATACGCAACATTTCCTTGAAGGTATCCTCATTTCCGTGCTGTACTTCGAATTGTTCCCATTTAGTCCAGAAGGCTGGGCTTGTCCGAGGGTCGCAAAACTGAGAAGCATGACCATATATTGCTCTGGCCCTATCAATTTCACCCAGTCGCTTCTCCATATCGGCGAATTTAAGACACATGTCGCGAGCATCCTTATCAGGAAGAGCGGCAATGGCACGCTCGTAAATAGGTCGAGTGGATGGGAGGCCAAAGTTGGAGGCGGACTTGGTGATGTAAAAGTTGAACATATCCGCGCGATCCTCGTCCGAGACTGCACGTGTGGCTCTTTCGTAAATTCGCATTGCATGGCGAGCAAGACCTCGTTCTTCTTCCAAATTCCCATACATGAGGTATAAAACCTTGGCGAACTTAGGTGGACAGCCTTCGACGGATTGCTCGAACAGATCACGAAGACGCTCGATGCCGATTTTGCGATCCACGGCCTTAGTGAGATATAAATTCCAAAGCTCAAAGGCGACAGGGTAGCTAAACAGATCAAGGCCCCGTTCATAGATTTTGAAAGACTCCTCAAAGTACTGATTCTCTTCCAGGAGGTTGGCGTAATTGACCACAGTTTGCGGTGTTGCGATCCGAAGTTCAAATATCCTTTCGTATATCTTTTTCGTCTCATCAAGTGTACTTACACTTTCAACCAAGTCCACGTAGAAACTCCACAGCTTCCAACTCTTGTGTACTCGCTGTTGGGGTGAAAGTGTCTCGTCGAAATAGTCGACCGTCGATCGTTTTGGGGCTTGGACTGCCTTTGCCATGATTTTCATAGCCTCTTCGAAGTTGTCATTTCTGAGCTCCATTTCAGCCCATTCCAGCCACATATCAGCTAGCTCAGCTACCGATTTGAATGGGACCTTCACTGCCTTTTCCATGATCACTCTGGCGTTTCTCAAATCACCACCCTTTTCGTAGAATTTGGCACAATTCGCCCACAGCTCATGGAACCGGCCGACTGCCTTCTTTGGTTGGACTGCTGCGATTGCATCCGTGTACGTCTTAACAACTTCTTGCTTGTTATCGCCCCATAATCCAATTCGGACGTTCCACTCCGAGACGTTATTCGGGTTTTGTCGAAGCAGAACATCGTTGATTAAAAATGGTCTTCGGTCCATCAACTGTTCAAATCTCATCATTCGAATATCCAGATCGAAATCGGCATTTTCGTCCAAGACCCCCTTTTCGGATCTCGTGGCGGCCTCCTCCATCAGTTGACCAGTGATAGCCTCCTCAAATTCGACGTATGAATCAAAAATAAGGGTGAAGTCCCGTACGGTCATAACTGTTGTAATGCCTTCCTCGAAAATATCTCTGGCTCGTTCAAAGCTCCCTCGAGTAATCCAATACGTCGCAAGGCCGGACCAAAGTTTCCCCCTCTGATCTGCAAACCTTTCGATTCCACTTCGAATAATTCGGTCTACGTCGATGCCGGATTCATCAGTCGTCTCGACTTCCTGCGCATGCTCCACCAAAAGATCCACCATTTCGCTCCAGAGTTGATAGTGGCCCTTTCCATTCTTGCTTCGGAATTTTGGGTTGTTCAAAATTTCCATATACTTCTTAACAGCTTCAGTATAGCGCCCATTTTCTATCAACAATTCGATAAAGTCCTCCGCGTCCTCGGGATGAATTTGCATGTATCTTCTCCAAATTATGATGGCAGTCTGGCCGGAGGCCGAGTTGGCAAACGGTCGATAAAGCGCCCAGATTCGATTGTGTTGGGTTATTGGCAGTGCCCGGAGAGCTCGGTCAAAGGTACGTCGCGTAAGGGTGACAATCGGCTGAAGCAAAAGGAATGAAAGATACATTTCCCATATCCGGGGCATTTTATTTAGTAGAATCAATGCTCGTTCGAAAAGTGAGTTGACTTTGGCATATTCAGAAGCAAAAATGGCTGGATTCAACTTTCCCAAGTGCTTCATCCTAAGAGTCAAATACTACAAATAATTAGTAATTGTGCCGTTGCCTAGATAAACAAATCTTACCATCTTCCATAATTTGTATGATCGTGGAAGTTGCCGGCAAGCTCTTTCGAGGACGTAGGCTTGTTCGTGCAGACTGCCATGTTGAATCTTGAATTCGATATATGCCAGCCATGGCTTGACGGTCCCAGGGTCTCGAAGTATATCCTGTTCGTATATTGTATCTTCTTCAGACTGGGGGTTTGGTTAGCGATCGTTGCGTGGATTCCAACAATTTTTGCTTACTATTAGGTACAGGTCCGGCTTTCCCTGGGATGGCTTCGCCTTGGAAAGAATGGGAGCAGCCATTGTGGGCAAAAGCTCACCAGGCATTCTCTGCCTGATGTGCGATATTGCGAACAGACCACGGCGATATGGATGAATTGATTGAGGGGGTGGTTGTCTAGGCGGCGCGTTGGTAGTCGCGGGTAGGTTTAGAAGAAATCATGCGCATCGTTAGCGCTTTGGTGCCTGACACCTCCCGCAAGGCTGTGAGGCCACGACAGAACTTCGGCAAGGTTGTTGGCCGACCACGCCGACGTACCGTAGTGGGACCCTCTTGGTGAGAGCTACCCGGCACAGCCTGCTTAGGTTCTTATCACCCAACGATTGTCAATAGAGCTTCATAACAGACCACCCCATACCTCGTTGACTGGCTGCTCTTCATATTGGAATTTTTGAGAACTGAAGCTCCAAAACGGCCTCCTGATTCCACCATATCAATACCTTCATTATGTCGGGTGCTACAGTAAGACACGCAAGCAGCTTGGTTTTAGTACACGCATATCTGATCATTGTATAGAATCGAGAGGCGGTTTTTCCCACTCGTCAATCCCTGGGATTGATGAAATCGAAACTCAAGGGTGCCCAAATTGGCCATGACCTGTTAAAGAGAAAGAGTGAAGCTCTCACAAAGTAAATCCTCCTTCCCAAGCTTCAAACATAACTGACAACTCTCTGCAGACGTTTCCGAGGTATTTACTCGCTCTTCAAACATTAACAACATAGTTCTCACATACTGCTCCAGAAATTACGAGACGAATCGACGAGGCGAAGCGTAAGATGGGAAGAGTCATGCAAATTGCGGCATTCTCTCTTGCAGAAGTCACATATGCTGTTGGAGGAGATATCGGATACCAAGTCCAGGAGTCCGCCAAATCTGCCCGTTTCCGTCTGCGAACGAAACAGGAAAATGTTTCTGGTGTGTTTCTGCCAGCATTTGAAAGCTATACAACTGAGGGAAACAACGATTTTGGGTTGACTGGTCTTGGAAAGGGTGGACAACAAGTACAGCGGTGTCGAGAGACGTATGCAAGAGCTGTTGAAACTCTGGTCGAACTTGCAAGTTTACAGGTAATGTCAAGTAAAAGTGGAAATTTGGATTTCGACTGACTGGCCAGACTGCGTTCGTCATTTTAGACGAGGTTATCAAGGTGGTAAACAGAAGAGGTAAGCGATCAAAGCCATTTCTTTCACTAGGTTCAATATTGACTTTTCATTTAGTGAACGCCATGTTAGTACATCAAACTTGTAACTCTTCCAGACGATGCTGATTATGTAGCGAGCATGTGATTATTCCAAGAACAGAAAATACCATCAAGTGTAAGTCATACACTCATTACCCTCGGATATCTGCTGACCCTATGAAGACATCAACTCTGAATTAGACGAACTCGACCGAGAAGAGTTTTTCCGTCTGAAGAAGGTAAAATAACATTACCAAATTGCTGAGGGGCATTTTTTAACATTGAAATTAGGTTCAAAATAAGAAGCAAAGGGATACTGCTGCACAAGATGCCGAGATGAGAGCCAAGCGAGAGGAAGCAGAAAAGAGGGGTGAAAAGGAAGATGAGAAAGCTGGTGGCGGAGACATACTTGGTGATGAGGAAGATAACGATGTTATTTTCTAACGAAATCATGAGGTTGAGGATTCATCTTTACTTTTGCATGACACATCATGAAATGAATAATGTCACAAGGTAGCATGTAGTATTAGCGAGCACATTTCAGAAGGTATTCTTCAATTGAAATACATTTTTGGCGCAATTTCCAAACCTTGATGATCAGAGCTACTTGACGCACGAAATCCAGGGCCATGACCGAACAATACTTATTGTCTTTGGTATGTAACCTTGATAATCTGCTGAGCAGCTCCCAACGCCATACCCGCCGTATTCTCCTTAGCACTAATAGCCCCCGTTTCACTTTCATACTCCACGAAAGCCAGACCCCTCCTCGCAGGAACCAAACGCACTTCTCGGAATCCCTCGAAGCGTCCGAAAATAGCAGTCAATGCCTCCACCTCATACTCATCCGGCAAGTTCTGCACGAAAAGAATCTTATTCGGCGGTAGGTATTCGTCGGGAATAACCGCCGCGCCAGCGGGATTCGAAGACTTGAGACCAGCACCACGAGTAGCTTTGATGGGGCGGGCGGCCGTATCTGGTGCCGCGCCAGGGACTCCAGGACGCTTGGGGAGTTTTTGGGATTCTGCGAGTTCGGCGGCCTTTTTCTTGTCTGTCGCAGGAATTCCGTCAGCATCCTCATATCTCCTCCAAAAAAATAAAGAATAAACCTACCCTTCTCCGCCAACCGCCTCCGTTTATGACTCTCAAATTCCACCTCATTCCCCATCCGCTTGACCGTCGCATCACTCCTCGTCCTCGCAAACGCCAACTGCATCTCCTTCCCAAACAGCTCAAAGCCCTGCACCTCATCAATCGCCTTCTGCGCACTCTCTGCCCCATCGAACACAATGAACGCCTGTCCTTTGGCTTTCAAATTCGTCTTGGCGACGATCTCGACGATCTCGCCGTATTCGCTGAAGAGCTCGGAGAGCGCTTCTTTGAGCTGCTCGACTTTGATGCGCTCTTCGAGGTTGCGCGCGTAGACACTAGGGGGGCTTGGTTAGCGGCGGCTAGGTATGTTTCGGAGTGCGATGACACGTACGTTGCGCTTGGTGGGGGGTTGGGGGTTGACATTTTGGGGTTTTGGGGGTTGTGATTGTTGGGTTGGAGGTTGGAATGGCAGTTGAGAAGGTTGATGTTCAGCCTTGGAGTGGGGAAGTTGGGGAGGATGGTGTGATCTGATTGGACAAAGCTCACTTATCACTTTGAGCGAAAGCTTCACCTCATCTTCATAATAGTAAAACAATCAAATTGTCTCTCACTTTTGGAAAAGTCGAATGGTTTCATATAGTTTCACCTAATACTTTAGTTCGATTTCATAGCAAATAGCTTTCATATAATTCTGGAAACCCCATTTATGTCAAAACATCAATAAACTCCTCTCCTAGTAACCGAAAATAGTAGCTATAAACTATCCCTTATCACTCCTTGTTTCTAGATCAGCTTTGCTTCTATTTTCAAAACTTCACTTTTGTTGTTTCGATATCCTGGACCACTATCTCGATTATTCAAAAATGTAGAATGTCGAATAATTTCAATCTACAAATTTGAGTTACGCGAATTTGAACAAGACGGCTATTAAAACACCACTTCCACTTTCTATACACATTTCTCTCTGAGACTCTGAAAACAAGTATTAAGCAGTAAATAAATTGATATCATAACCACTCTAAACTCAAATGATTCATTCCTCGCTACTTTTACAAACCCCTAAAACAGTACGTACTCGCTAACCTTCTCCTTCCCCCCGTTCGTTTCCATTAAATCCGCTTAAACAATAAACAACAAACAAACAAACGAACCCTCCTAACAAAAACTCCCTTACCGTCTCAATCTCATTCCCACGTCAAACTCACAATCCACCACGCAAACAAAAAGAACCAAGCTATCCCAAACACGCCCCCATCTCCGACTCCAAGCCAAAAAGACAAGCCCTGCAAAAAAAACTACGCCTCATGACCGCATCCGCGTATCTATCTACCCTACGAATACATTGACAGCACCCACCGCCATCCCATTCCCCTTCCCGTCACCGTTAAAGTCCTTTACCAAGATACACAAGCTAGTATCCAACGATCCAACGATCCATACCCATACACTTCAACGTAAAGTATCCACTATCCCAACCCAAAACCAACAAACCCCCCTAACCACCCATCCATCCACAACTCCCATCCACAAACCCACAAACCCCGCCATCCCTAAAAGAGCCCCAAACAGCGAGGTAACAGAGATCCCAGTATCGCAGTGGTCAGTTAAGCCTCAAGCTCAACATCTCACCTCCTCTCATCTCCATCCAAAGAACCTACCCCACCAGAAGGACCTCCACAAGTACCTCCACGCCACACACAAACACACACTCTAACCTCGTATACAATACGCCAATACGCCCACACGCCGCCCACGTCTTCCCAAATTCCAATCGCTTCTACGCTCTCGAATAAGTAAGATGCGAAGCTGTTAACGTCGCAAGGCTAGGACGGAGAAAGGTAGGGACCACGTGGAATAGATTGGAATGGAAGGGGTTTGAGGTGACCGGAGCAGGTGTTCTCCACGTGGTGTGCTGTAGGTTTAGGGAAGAGTGAATAGACTGTGTGAGTGAATGAGTAATGACTCAAATCCCTCTACAACTTCACTCTATTCTATAGCGTGTGAGCTATTTCCATATCCATATCCATATCCATATCCCCTTCCTTTTTCTTCAGCCCTAGACCTAGACCTAGACCTACTCCAAGTCCTAGTACTAAAGCCGATTAAGCCACCAACATAAGTACTGCAAGGTAAAGAATCGGAGATCTTCTTTGTGCGGGGATGTTTTTGCTTGTTTGAGGGTTTATTTTAGGTCCGTAGGATTTTGGTAGTTTTCAGCTTTTGGCCTTGGCTTTGGGTTTGTCATCATTGATCTCTTTTCTTCTGTGGATTGCCAATTATTCAATATTGGAATTGAGAATTGGATTGGATCTGGTATGTTTGTAAGAAAAAAGCAAAGAAGGAGGAGAAGAAAGGAAATACTCACTTGGCGGATAGACAGGGCAGGGAATATGGGATACTTTATAGTAAGTACATGGAAAACGATTGATTCATTGGGTATCATCTGCATAAAACTTCCAAAAAATCCTCGCCCCAAAAAAAGAGAAGACAACCAAAAAATGTACAGTAAATATATGTACGCCCGAAATAAAATAAACAAAAGAGAAAAACTCCCAGCCCAAGAAACAAGATTCTTTTAATACTCCCATCTCATCAGCGCTTCTTTTCATACTTCCATCTCATCAGCACTTCTTTCCATGCTTTCCCTATCCCGTGAATGTTCTCTTTCCCTCGCGTCGGAAGAAACTTGCAAAGCATATAATCCAGCTCGAAGTTCCAAGCTCTTTGCCAAATCTCCCATAAGCTGTCGGTCTCTGGGAATCTGCCCTTCGACTCCATAGTGCATTTGCTGATGATACGCCCATTTTCTCAAACACCTCAGACCAATAACCACATCCTGACCCAAACTACCCGTCTCCTCTTCCTCCTGCTCTCTCCACGATGGTAAACAATCATTCCGTTCCCCTTCCGACAACGTCTTCCTCCCACCGATACCCAATTCTCTCTCCCTCCCCACACTCAATCCCCGACTGTGATAGAAATCCTTCGAGGAAGGTTTCATGTACCCTTGCCAGGCCTTGAAATGGCGCAAGGTTCCGACACCGGTCCACTCACCACTTCTCCCTGCTGGAGAATCAACGTCGAAGCCCCCCAGGACCACGACCGCGCGCAAGATCTCCTCCGATTCGTTGCAGGCTCGCGACACCGTGCTGGTCCATGCATGTCGGGAGACGGCACAGGATGACGACGAGGGTGGCAAGGTAGCCGTACAAAAATTCTCAAAGGCTCTCTGATCATATCCCTTGGTCTCGTGAAGAATGGAGCGTGTATAATTTTGACTTTGGTAGTAATTTTGCCTTTGCAGTTCGGTGTGAATGGTATCATAACTTGGGATGGAATTAGGCGAACGCATGGGCGCCGGGTAAAGTTTGGGCATTGAAGATCGGTGTATCGTATTCGAGCTCGTAAAGGTGGGCGATGACATGTTCGTATCTGCTGGGCTGTATGGGCTTGTGCTTGGGGTTGAGGACGTCGAGTGTTGGCTCGTCCCGCATGTAAGTCCAATGCCAATGCCATTGCCTTCTCCGATACTCCCGCTGCTTCCTGGGCCTTTGGGAACGAGCATTCTTGATGCACCCGTTGGACTTCCTTGCGATGGCTTCGTGGTGTGTTTGCTCACGTATCCATCGCATTGGTGGCCAAATTTCACGCAGCGAAGACAACTGGGCTTCGTCTCGTCGCATTTGACTCTTCGGATTCTGTTTTCGGGTATACATTAGCACTTTTGACACCACGCATTTGCAACCACCCCAATTGAGTGATGGGGATCTGGAAAATTGGACTTACTTGCACGTCTGACATCCCGTCTTGACTTTTGGCTTACTTGCTCGGGTTTTTCGGACTTTCGTGTCGCTGGGGGGATCCGTTCTGTCGCCCATCTTTCCTGACATAGTTGTTTGAAATGTTGAGCAAAACACAAAACACTTTTCCGGAAGGTGCCTGTCTCTATTTGCAATGGGACAACAAGACGTCACGTAAATAAGGAAGGCAGGCGTAAGACACGGGCGAAAAAAAGATGGAAAAGAGAAGAAGAAGAAGAAGAAGAAGAAGAAGAAGAGAAAATGGAAGGACCAAAAAAAATGTACAACTACTTCGCCAGAAAGCCGGGAGTAGGAAACTTATAGCTCGTAATGGAAGTGCCAGGTCGGTGGAGTAATGGGAGTGGAGAGAGAGTGGGGCCGGCAGGGTGCTGGGTCAGGTCAGGTTCGGGGGTTATTCTTAGAAGTGGAGTGGACAATTGCAGGTGCAGGTGAAGCTCGAGTGCTCAGTGCTCAGTGCTCCGTTTTTACGACGAGTCCGCTAACTCAGACACCCGAGAGGGAGGGAAGGAGGGAGGGAGAGGAGAGAGAAGGGGGAGAGACGGGGATGCGATGGGGATGCGATGGGATGGGGAAGTTCAAGGTTATTGGGGGGAGGAGGGGGGGTGTAGCTAGGAGAGGTATAGGTAGGAGAAGCAGGAGAGCAAGGAGCAAGGAGCAAGCAGTGTAGCGGAATAGTACCAAGTAAACAGCACGCGAATCAACGCCGCCTCGTCGTATGCACCTGCTGGTGGAGTACAGTACACAACACCTAAATTTACTTGAAGGATACTTGAGCTCATGTTTACTCGTAAATCACTCTACTCCCCGGCGTATCCTTCCACCGTCGAAATTCTCCGATGTAAAAAAAGGACATCCGAAATTCAGTAAATGCCAGATTTCGGTGTGAACGTAGCTCAATGCAATACGAACAGCACCAGCAACGGCACCTGCATTAGTCACCGCAATATAACGACCGATGAACGCCGTGCAGTGATTGTTTACGAGCGACAAGCCACGAGCTCAGGCGAGGTGGGGATGTGATGGGATGGATGGTATCGAGTCGCCTAATGCACCTGCACTAGGGACAGTACCGTCCTACAGTACCAGTAGAGTAACCAGTACGACTACGGTAGTAGTCGACTCCGTACCGTCCTCGTACAACACCAAGTACAGTACATTGCACCGGGGGAGGCTGCTGCAGAGAGCCAGTGCCACTTGGTAGAATACGTGATTTCTTCACATAGAGTACTCTGCCGACTCCTCTGCTCAGTAACATCAAACATTCCTCTACAGGCTAGAACTCTGAAGACTAGTAGAAGTCATTGTCCGTACGAGTGCAGAGAGGCCATGATACTCGTGATACTCGTGATACTCGTGGTACTCCTGATACACTTGGCTGTCCCCACAATGCGAATCCTAATCCTCGGGACGGGGCCGAGAAAGTCAAAGGAAGAAACAAAGTAAAAGCTCCACAACCCACCACCCACGCAGGCCAAGGTCACGTCTCCCAGCGCGCTAATGGCTCCGCCGGAGTGGTCCCGGTCTACTTCAAACTACGTCGACGACTGTCCTGTACGTAAATATCCAAGTAAAGTACGTACGAAAGTTTACACCTCGCTCTCGTTACCCTATCCAGGCGTAGTTGACTTGATTCGCAGCATCGTAAAGAAACGTCTCGTCTCACCAGAGAGATCAGAGGGATCAGAGATTCAGAGAGATCAGAGGGATCAGAGATTCAGAGAGATCAGAGGGATCAGAGATTCAGAGAGATCAGAGGGATCAGAGATTCAGAGAGATCAGAGGGATCAGAGATTCAGAGAGATCAGAGGGATCAGAGATTCAGAGAGACCAGAGAGACCAGGACAGGTCCGATTCCGCAGTGCAGTGCAGTTCCCGTTCGAGTGCTAGTTCCCATCTGAATCAGCCGAGACTAAAACACAGAGGAACTTCGACCGCTCCCGTTTGCTCGCACACATACGAGCAGAAGGACGGGTCTGTCACGCGAGTACCCGTCAGCGTAAGAGGCTACTCGAGTAAGCGCAGGTTACGAGTACCCCTCCGCTGTATTCCGTACAGGTGCAGTCCTTCGTACATGTCAAAATCCAACTCGACGGCCACGAAACGGGGTGCAAAGGGTGCACTAACCCCCAATCCAGCACCATGTCGTCCATCTCCCGGCTCGCGGACACCCTCCATCAGACGAAAAGGGGCAAGCGCTTACGCTTTCCCTTTGGCAGTCGTCCTTCTGCCCAAGTCCAATCACTGAGAACCCGTCGTATACAGGAATTATATAATCTTTCCGTCATCCCTCGTCCACAGACTTGCAACTGGGCCGGTCCCATCAGGAATCCGGTCATCTGATTCGCATGTGTGATACGACGACTCGAGGAAACATTCTCCAGGATTTTTGGGGCATTGTTGCATCTTGGGTGCTTCGAAAACATCGGGGTCGGACGGGCAAATTGCATTGTACAGGTACGAACTGCCTGCACGGGGCGCCGGCTGGTTGATGAGCAGCCCTCATACGCTACCTACTAAGCTGCATGCTGCCATCTGTTTGACCATACGAGAGCCTGTCCACCGTCCTTCGTACAGTCGTCTACCGGGCGGAGTTTCCGGGGAAAATATTTCAAATATACTAAATGTTTAGAAACCTAGCTCGGATATATAAAAGGTTGATTCACTTCTAATGCTGTCGTATGATTGGAAGTTCTACTAAACAGCGGGTCTTAGAGGACCGAGGGTGCTAGTAAAACGCTTCTACTGCTCATCTAACGATATACCTTTTCTGGAAACTCCAGGACGGTACATCGTAAATGTTCGATCTTACTACTGTATCCCACAAGTGCGGAGGATGTTCAGTCCATCATTTCCAGGTTATGTTACAGTAATTAGAGCCGCCGCATCGCTTAATTACATCCTGTACGTGGAGAAGGCTTAATAAGGACAGCGACCGCGACCGCGAGTCAAAATATAAAACTTCTCCGAGTCCTTGCGAGAATAATGAATACCAAGAGACCGACGCCTCACACAGTGACTCGATATGGCCTCAAATCCTCGCATCCATTGGAAACAGGAGCCTCATCGGATCCGTACCATTCGCAAAGTGCAAAAGAAAAAAAACCTAGCCCTGCCAATGTTCTGCACACTATTGACCTCCTCGTACTTCGTATTCCGGGAAAATACTTAAACGTGACGGACGTTGCCAAGGGGTTAGAGATAGAACGAACACCGCCAACAAAGTGGCAAATGATACCGATCTACTACACGTAATTTACTTGTAAACTATTTTACTCATTTAGACCACTCCAGGTAATTAACTCGAAAGGACCTATGACATATAGGGCAATTCTTCTGAAAACCTTTGAAACATTCAAATGCCTTAAAAATCACCTGACGCGAATAGAAAGGGAAAAAGCGCAGTCTTCTTCTGCCACTCTTCATGTCGGGGTGATATGCTTGCCTCTTTCGGGTAAGACGGGCGCCCACTACCACGCCGACAAGGCCTTCGGGGCTTTTGTCAAAGATCAGAAAAAGCAAGGCAACGGCACAGATGTGTGTATGTAATTGTCTGCGGGCAGGGGCAGGGGCAGGGAATACGAGGTAGCCAACAGCAGGGCAAGACGCCGTCACCCATGGAGAACCAAACATTTCAAAGATGCAGATGCAAAGCAACGATTTGGATTTCGACGGGCGAGGTGGCCAATAATGGCATTTCACTATTATGCATGGCAAGGACTCAACCCTTTGGCCGGCTGATCGTGTCATCAATAAGCTACCCGCCTTTTACCAAGGTAGCATCCCCGTTCCATACCCATCCATACCCGTACGAGCGTCTCCAGTAAGGCAACCAGACCAGAGGGCAAATTATCATAAGCAAATCTTGAATCATATTGCCGTTGGGTCGGCGTCTGCATTAACAACACCATCTTCCTCCTCGGGCATTGCACAAGTGCATCCGTACTTCTGTCTGAATCGTCGGGGTGACAAACCTTTGAGAAGTTCCAAGGCTTTCTTCGCGGCTGATACTTTGGCATACCGTCCACTTTCAGCAGTCCAGTCGGCGACTACCTGATCATGGACGATTATCATAGCCAAAACCTTTGCTTTGCTTCCATCAATGCTCGGAATCTCTCTGGACTGAATTGTCCAATTCTCACAGCACATGCTGACTGCAAAGAAATTGGAGAGGAAGGTCGTGGGTTGTTTGTTGGCATAAGTATCGTAAATGCTCATGTCTTTGAAGTACCATTTGATATGAGCTTGGAAGAAATCCTCTACGCGGGAATAGTCATACTCAGAGTCAACGAATATCGCTCCAATGTACGCTTCGACGATATCTGGAAGGCATTTGGGCGGAGGCCTGACTGCAGTCCAGTAATCCGGGGCGTAATCCTCGCGAGATTTTCCAGCGCGTTCAGCCTCATCCTGTGCTTGCAATTTTGCTTCCTTGATTTCATCAACATATTCGCCAATCTGCTTTTGGTAGATCTGGTTGAATATCAGTAAGAAAGCATTGAAGCCCAACTCAACACAAAGACAGCCTAGGAACGCATTCGAGACCATGGCCATTTTATGTTCGGTGAGCCATTGTGGATCCTTGCCTGGATATGCATGGAAAAGGTAATTGACACAAACCATGTCCAGAAGTGAATCGCCCAAGAACTCAAGGCGTTGGTAACTCGGAATACGTTCGTATGAGTATGGGTATGACGGGTGGATGAAAGCAGAACGTAGAAGACGTGGCGACTGGAAATGGTAAGAGTGCACCATTTCAACCTTCTTGGCTATTTCAAGTTGCATCTGCGTGGATCGTTGCGTCTGAAACGTGGGCTTCTTGTAGAGATTGTAGTAGTCTGCCCATGAAGTGACGTTGTGATTCTCGCTACACACCAGCTCCGTGACAGCTCTTACTGCATAGTCCATATTGTTCTCACTGTGGTGCGTAAGTAAAGCCGCGCCAATCAATGCTTCAGAAACATCTGCGATGGTTTTGTCGCCAAGTTTGTGCTGGTTTGGAGCGGTAGCAGTCTTGCCCTTCTTAAGTGTGAGGCCCTCGGGGTACCAGGCTCTTCTGTTGAACGCCTGAGAACGGATATACTCATAAAGCTTGAGTTTGATTGCGACGTTTTTGAGGTTCTTGTTGCAGATCATGACCATACGATCTACGTGGTAGCTATATTCGTCACTGTCGGGTTTCGTGCCATACAAAGTTATCGAGGTTGCCATTTTAAGAAAACAATCCCCCAAAAACTCCAGACGCTCATAGTTGTTTCCCATTCCTCGTTGGAAATCTATTTTTTCCTCTCCATGATCGCCCGAATTATCTGAGTCTTTCGTAACAGCTTCCAAGGCAAGATCTGCTCGGATATCAAGATGCAATAATTCACATGCCTCGAAGGCGATGAGGTATGCTTCGATACGATGGATGATGGCAGGGAATATATATGCCATGGATACAACCGTCGAGGGGAGCTAGCAAAAATCAGTAAAGAAAATACGTTGTATTATTCACTGGCGGAAATAGGCCAACCACTTACAGCAGAGATCTTGAGAATTTCCAAAATGACGAAACATCTCTTGGGGCCTTCAGATACGTTTCTGTCGAATTCGTCCAAGAGGTTCCGTCGAAGCGGAATCAGTTCGGCCTCGAAAACGCGTTGGTTTTCATCAAAAGTCCTACGAGCTCTAGCCTTCTCCCCTATAAAACTGTTAACATGGATCTCAAGCTAGGTGGAATTACTTACAAAGACTCGAGCTGTATTCCATAATGTTATCGGTCCTTTGTCGTGTGCCTTTGCGTGCAGCACAATTTGGCGGAACGGGGTCCAAAGGTCTGTACTGAGGGGCCACACCTTTACACCACAACTTTCGAGAACCATCATAAGGGTCGACAATATACTTGCCAGCAAAGAACTCGTCAGGCTCTGTTTGCCATGATTTGAGCTCCCAATTCTTGCCTTGCCATGCTTGCTGATGTTCATCAATTTCTGTCAACATCTCCCAATCTACTGAAGCGGCTGGGTCCGTGTGGTGATTGGCATCTGCAGATTCTTTGAGAGGCGCGAGAAAGTATGGCATCTTCGATGGGTCCGACTCATACGTTTTGCTGAAAACGTCGTCAAAGATCGCCAAAGTAAAGGTGTTTATCTGGCGTAGCATGTCCGTGGAAACTTGCAGACTTGTAGGAGACGAAACGCAATTAACCCCAGAGTGCTTTCCGTCTCCAAAATGAAGTGTGAACGATGGTAAGCTAGGAATTCGCGATCTCGTAAGCAAAGCCAGGGACTGGGAAGCACGATCTAGCTCCTGTGGACTCTTCAAACTCAGTATTGTCATGAAAAGCTCTTGAGGAACCCCCCCAGCAGACCATAAGGAAGGCTTCGTCTTCATATCATATGTATCGCGCTTCTTCGAGTCAACAGCAAGTAAGGCATTGCGCATCGCAGGAAGCCTTTTTGCGTAAGTCGGAAGGAGATGGTCATCTAGATACTTCTTTTGAATGAGAAGGCAGCATGCTTCAAATGCAGCAGAGCATTTTGCAACCTGCTTAGTGGATGCTGGGCGCCCTACAGCACCACGAACTGGAGAGCCTTCAGGAAGAATAACCTCGCCAATAAAACGCTTATTCTGGACTGTTACGATGTATTCTGGGTGTAGGTTCGTATCTGGAGCAGCTTCCAGGTTAGAAACGAAATTTGCAAGGACCCCCAGACTCATTTTGTAAGTGAGCTTTGCCCCAGTTGTGGGGACCATGTAGATTCTCTGTGACTTTTCCTTTCTGAGGAAGTAGTCCATATCAACATTATTCCCTGTAAGTTGCCTATCTTCTGGCACTTCGTTGCAAAACCTCCTCAAGATACCCTCGTTTAATCGAACGTCACGGATTGTCTGTTCATGTTCTCGGTTACCTTGCTCGGCCATGTGAATGTACCGCGAATTAGCATGCCTGGCACGACCTCGGGACTGTATGTATTGGATAACAGTAGAGTAGAGGTCAAATCGCACTATGAGGTTGCAGTCCGGAATATCGAGGCCCTCCTCTGCGACAGATGTCGCAAAGAGGCAATTGACCTTACCGCGTCGGAAGTTCATCATTGTGAGAACTTGTTGTCGAAAAGAGTTATTCTGGTCGCCGGCTTCACCAGAGCGTGCTCCGACCTGAGCGGTTCGTTAATCACTGATATCTGGAATGTGCTTCCTGACTTACCAAAGTGCCGACTCTCAAGTGGTCAGTTTTGACACCAGACTCCTGAAATAACCTGGCAAGAAGAAGAGCAGTATATCGCTGCTGAACGAAAACAATGCATTTGGACTCCGTTGGGGTTTTGTATTCCTCCCTCAGAATCTTGATCAACTCGACGACCTTGGATGAAAGGTTCTTGGATTCATTTGAGTCATTGCGATAGTCTGGGGAGTCGAAAGCATGTGCTTTTAGAATGGCCTGCGCCTCGGACAATTTCGTCTTTTTCTGTTCCAACAAGTCATCCCGGCGGTCAGAATTTTCATTTCGATGCTTGCTCTCGGTCTTTGCCACAAGCTTCTTCACTTCTTCTTCCTCCAAACAAAATCGCCATAATTGATCTGAGCACCAAGCTCCAAGATGCCGAGATGCTTCATGAGCGAATAAGAGGGGCTTGCGGAGAACAGAATCGTTTGTCAGACATGCAGACATCTGAGTGTACAATGGAGTACAGAATGTAGCAGGGAGAGATTCGTATCTGCATAGGCACTCCTCCGTTTTATTCGCTGTGTATTGAAGTAAACTGGTATCATGAGCGGTGGCGATCTCACAATGTAAAAGAACCTCCAGTTCCTCAGCAGCCTTTCTTGGAGAAACCTTAGCATCTACTGGAGAGGCAGTCATGCCAAAAATCTTTGGACGTCTTGCATTTTGAGGCATCACTGCATAATGGTCCATGATTATTCTTGCCTATAACGGTTCAGGATCAGGTCCATGACAAGGTGATTAAGGTGGAGCTGGGGAGAAACGGATAAAGGAAACATGTCTGGAGATACGAAAATAAGAAGAGATTAGAGCGACCGTTACTCACGTAAGGATGATCTTTCTTGGCATGATGAGCCTCATCAAAAACTAGCAAGTTGATTCCATTCATTGAAACGAAGCCATGACCGAGACAATGTCGAAGGACTTCTGCGGTACAAACAATAACCATGTTGTCGTTGAGAATCTTAGTCCACTTCTCTCGATCCCATAGTTTCGTCCCCATATTTCCGCAAAACATGTCCATTGGCATACCGTTCAGGTTGTTCTTGAGAACACGGTGTTGCTGGAAGACGAGGGTAACAGAATCGACCTGAATATGTCAGCTTTAAATTCAACTGGTATTGATGAGATAAGTAGTAGTACTCACGAGAAAGAACGAAGTGCGTTTAACCTTCCCGTCAGCTCTGTCTTCTAGCTCTTGTGCAAGAATGTGCCGTAGAAGTAGAACAGCAATCAAGGTCTTTCCAGAACCTAAGTGAATTAGTAAGTCGTAACCAATTGTAAAATTCATCCCAAACCTGTGTCCAGAACTGCAATTATGTTCTTTTCCTTGGCTCTTTCATAAAGCTCATTTTGATACTCACGGGGAGTACTGATAATTGGCGCGCTTTCAGTGTGATCAACGATCCACCGAGTAGATTGAACGGCCTCTTCGCCGGGCTTTACCTGGTGGTCTTGCTTGTTTGTGGGGTTTCTGAGTTTTTCTTGAAGATAATTGTTAGCTATGGAATTTTGTCTCCGTTTGCGCTCTGTGATAGCCCGTGCCTGGGCAGCTGCTTGAACTTCGTTGTCATCATCGGATTGCGTGGCGTAGCCATCACGCTCCTCGATCTGAGGTGCCGACGATACCTTTGTCTCGACTAAAGGCAGAGGTTTGGAAGGGTCGGGTAGGGTCTCCTCGGGAAAAATGGTAGATGAGCTCCCCTGCCAGTTCTGGACTCGAGCGATGTTAGCAGGACGGCGCGCACGCTGTAAATCAGTAATGACATCGTCCCCAGTTCTTTGAGGCAATGCCGTAGCAATGGCTGGATCCATACTTGTAGTCAGCAGCCTGGTATTTTCTGAGGATGGTGAGAGGGAAAATGTGTGTTGGTTGCGAGTTAAGTTTTCAATGGTCAGAGGTAGAGGCGTAGCCGAGGACAGAAGTGAAGACTTGAGCGGAGGTGAAGGTGCAGGTGAAGCATGAGAAATCAGTTCTGCCTGGAGACTGTGACTGTCAATGATTAGTGGTGAATTAGAGGCGGTCTGTATGGAGGAAGCTTTTGCAGATTGGTGGTCCCTTGCTGGTTGAAGCTGGACTTCCAATTGAATTGAAGGCTGCAGGTGATCGTACTTGTGGTCAGAATCCGAGGACAGATCTAATAGGGGAGCGGTATGAGTATAGGTGGTCTTGCAGAGTGCTTCAGTGTGGTTGTGGTCCAAGAGCATCATCTGATGGAGCGTGTCTGGAGTGATCCAATCAGTGCCGACTGGAGTTGTATCTCTCGTCCATCTGGAGCTGTAGCTGTTTTGGATCAGTGCGCTTTCATCGTCAAATATGGGTAGCAAACAGTCATCTGACAGCAGGCAGAGATCCTGCAGATACTGCTCCAAAGGCATCTTGCAGCAAAAACAAACATGGGGTGGGAGAGGAATGGAAGTCAATGAAAGTGAGCTTCGAGACAAGTGACAGAACAAGAATTGTGAGATCGAAAGTAGGAAAGACAAGCAGTACTCTTTTGCCACAGATTGAGGTGTTCAGAGATCCATTGTCATGAACGAGGCATTTCTTCCCAGATGTCGGTTGTAATGTAGAGTTGAGATCTGTCAAGGCTGGCATGATGTTTTTGGCTTTCCTACAGTAGTCCGTTGGCTGCCGTGGGGTGGGTCTACTGGTGGGTCAGCAAGACGCGGGGCAAACAGGAAAGCACGTGATATGCGAGATGAGACACCCAGACCACCTCCTCCACTGCCAGCCTGAAGGGCAGCAACAGGTGGAACACTGGATGGATTATCAGACTAACTAAAGCGGCACTAGTACTTGATAAGCAGTACCACTATCGCATCTGCCACTGCCCGCCAAATATTTGTACTTCACCCCGCCACTAGGAAATCCTCATATACGCCCCATTCACAACATCTGTTGCTGTTGCTGTTGGGACCATTCAGACACTTCAGACCGAGAACTGGGCCATGGCGGAACAAAGCATCAAATCCCTCTTCGCCGCAGCCGAGGAGAAGAGGCGCGCCCTCGAATTTTCCCCCTTTCCCTCCCAAGACCCCGCCAACCAGAAAATTCTCGCAGCTGCTCTATCCAACTACGTCAAGTGTTTGGACCTTGCAAATCGGCTTTCGCTCTTCAGTCCCAATGAGACACTGGAAGACTTGAATTCAGGGGACATTCAGTATGTATAGCCAGCATGGCAGAGCAGTCCCAATCCCCAGTATCGAGCATGTTTCTAACCAATCACTAGATACCTGCTCATCAACTACCACCTGGCTGGTCTGATTTCGCGAATTGACAACCTCCAAAAACGGAAACATGTCCTTGAAGAATCGAGAGACGAATACGAAAATTTCCTCTCCCTTCTAGATCGTTATGAGCTACTCAGTGGCCCGGCCAAGAAATCATACAATAGATACCTCGAATCCCCCACCACATTTGAAACCGTCCCGTCTAAAGATCTCGCCGTCCAAAGGACCATAAGAATCGCGAATTACAGATACAAGACGGAATTGCAGAAGAAATTGCAGGCATGCTCAACTCTTCGATGTACTGGAAGCGCTTGCTGATTGGACTCCAGTTTCTATCCCAGAACCCGTCCTATTTGCAAAACGATGAGGAGGCTGTGCGAGAGCTGCAGCTTGCTAATATCGCTTGCTGTACCATCGAGGCATTTGAACAACTTGACATGATTGTTCGAGAACTCAAAATATTTTCCACGAAGCCCTCCACACCACCTTCGGGCCAACTGCAGCTTGAGAAGGACGACAGAGAGAGGGGACGAGATAAATCGGCGTATTCGGAAAAGCTGGATAGTTATTCTAGCCGCACTTCTAAGGCCCGGTTGAGATATGACGCAACACTCAACGTTCATAAGTTGGGTGGGCTACTAACTCTGCTGGCAACAAACGATCGAATGACTTTACAGGATGGTGTCTTCGGATCATCAATCGGTCCTCCGACGATGACTATGGAAGAGCTTTTGGAACATGACAGGGCAACTGGTAAGATAATTGAGGGCGGCGGTGCCGCTAGTGGATTACCTGAAGAACCCGACGAGGACAACTACGAAAAGGGCGACGCGGAAACGTATAAAGCCAGGAAATGGGATGAATTTGTCGAGGAAAACCCAAAGTAAGTTTTAGAAATTGCTCTGCCAGTCCGAAAGCCTCTACTGACGAAACCCAGGGGATCTGGAAACACTTTAAATAGAGGCTAATTCACCATAATATACCCCTTTTATTGACAAAATTGATGGTGACTATGTAACGACCACGGCATATCACATTGCCGTACTACCTTTTTGATATGGTTCAAGTCAGGTACATTACCCGCAACAATACGAGTAGCGGTCAGAATCTCCTTCATTTGAATTTGAAGAAGCCAGGAAATGCGATTGTAGTTCTCCGGGCACGACATTAAAAGAAAACATACAGGACTAACACTCTCCATTTGATATACTCAAAATTCTCGGCATCGTTTTGTCTGTGTTTCTTGTTTAATTTCCAGGATGATGGAATTGGCGTCGTATACAGCATCAATTTTCCTATCCGCTTTAAAAGTCGGCTTTACCCCTGCAGTACTTATTCAGGGCCGTACTCAATGAGTTCTTCGTATTAAGCGCCCAAAGCTTTCAGCCCGCATAACTACAAACTCGAAACCAACAATCCCCATGCCCAGTACCACCCCCTCAATTGCAGGATGTATCGTCGGTTTCAAGGGCGGGGCCTGTGATCTGGCGTTCTCTGCAATTCTATATTCATTCTGTTTACCAAGTCAAAAAAACTCTTGCATTATATATTTCTATGCCTTGACCCATTGCAAGTTCTGCAAATCGGTTTTGATATGCCCAAGGAACCAGTTATTGAACCCGACGATGGAACGGCGACACATCGCTGCCGAATTCAAGAATACGCTTCAGACTATGTTTACAAGTGCACTGATAAAAGGCCTAGCGACCTCTTGCTATCTACAGGTTTCAATTGTGCGTCAGCCAATTGTAAAGTCTGTCTGGACCTCAATTGGGATTACTTTCCTTTTTCGGGTTGCGTATTCGACAAGGCCCCCTTTACTTTCAAATCTTTCGACTTCGAGAACAGAACTATAACTACACATGTACACCACCTAGAAGCAACACAAAAGTCTTGCGACTCGTGTAAGGTTATAATCCAAGCCATCAAGCAGTCTTATGATTGGCTCTTGGCCTATGATGGCCCCGAAACCTGCTACGCTTCTTTCATAGTGCAGATTATCCTCCAACCGGGATTTACTGTACTAGTGGCGGCTTCAGACCAAGTCAGTATCAACTTTCCGCGGATTGAACTATTCACAGAAGCTGGTAAGTAGAGATGGTCAGTGGTAGACAATGTTCAGCGCTAAATAGCAATCAGGTAAACCGTCCACTTGGAAGGCCTTAGGAAATGCCCCACGCCATAGCCACCTACCTCCCACGTTCCCTACTTGCGTGGATTTCATCAAGGAACACCTTGACTTGTGTTATGAACATCCAGCTTGCGAGCAGCCTGTTAGAGAATTACCTACACGTATAGTTGACGTTAGCATACTGCGCAAACCTCGACTGGTTACTTCGCAAGGAAAGCGTGCGAGATACCTCACGTTGAGTCATTGCTGGGGGAATCAAGACTACAAACCGCTTGTAACGACGAAAGAGTCGTTGGATGCTCACCACTCTGAGATACCTTGGGCGTCACTCAGTTCTACGTTCCAACACGCCATGATCATTTCTCACAAAGTGGGATGTCGATATTTGTGGATTGACAGCCTTTGCATTGTCCAGGATGACCCTTCGGATTGGGCCATTGAGTCCACGAAGATGGCTGAAATATACATGAATTCAGAGCTGACAATCTCCGCCGTCTCTGCAAAAGATGGTCGTGGTGGTTGTATTGTCCCTAGGCCAATGCAACCGCCGGACCAGCATCTATTCCCACAGAATGACACTGAACAAACCCTTGAGCCCAAGATAGAGAACATCTTGTGTCGCGCTCCTCCATCTGACTCCCACAGGATAGCAGAGGTGTTGCCTCTACTAACCGACGACTACGATGGGGAATTGGAAGGCGTTGTTCGTAACGAAGAGTCGCCGCTCATCAAAAGAGCATGGGTGTTCCAGGAGAGTGTACTCTGTCGCCGCAACGTTCTTTTCAACTCCCAAGAAATGATATGGGAATGCAGACACAGTCTCAACTGCGAATGTGGATACCTCCGATGGCTTCAAAACCGACGTGCTGATTTAGTACGCGATCATCCTTTGCTTGACACTCCAAGTCCTGGTTGGAAATCGCCATTTACGACGCTAGAAACGACAACGGATCCTAAATTGGAAGCCATGACCGATGAGTGGTATAAACTCGTACTGGCATATTCTGCTTTACACATCACCTATCAGACTGATAGACTCCCAGCACTTTCTGGCCTTGCTAGCGAATTTTCTAAGAAACTCAAAACCAAGTATCTCGCTGGGCTCTGGGAATCAGACCTTTGGAGAGGGCTTCTATGGCTACGACCCGAATTCTACAATCGTAAAACCCGATGCGCCCGACTTACTGGAGAAGCCTCCTCGATTCCAAGCTGGTCGTGGGCGTCGATAATCCATGATCATCATGAGAATGCTCCTATATACGTTTTTGCATCCTCTCGTGTAAACATCAAAAAAGATGACCGATTTACCACCATCTCGGCAAATTGTACCACGACCACAGAGAACATTTTTGGCCACGTCTCAGGCGGTACGTTAAAGATCCGTGGTGCACTCTTGACGATCAGGCTCTACTCACGTGGGTATTGGGACGATATGAAGACTTGCGAGGTTTTTCTATGTGACCAACATGAGCAGATCATTACGACTGAACAATCTTATCCCGCCTATAATCATGGCGCTGAGCGTTTTGACATGGTATTTGATGTTGGGCATGGTGGAGCTCCCAAAGAGGTCTCTCGATTGGAGACTATATATTGTTTGTGCGTGGCGGGTAGCCTACTTGGAAGACTCAAGGACGGGGAGAAAGAGGAAGTGTATGCTCGATGGTGTTTGGTTCTCAAACTTGTTGATTTTGATAACACCTTTCAGCGCGTTGGTGTCTTCAATTATACACCCTTTGGACTAGAGTATAACAGAGATGGGGAGTTGAAACATGGCCATAGGCCACGTACAGATTGGTTTAAAGATGCACCCATAGAAGTGGTAAATATTTTCTAGGTATGTACAGTGCTACCCACCATCTATTATGTTGCTACTAACTTTGAGGAGGAACCTCCTTTCAGGATATCGGTTATACAGATGTATATATATATATATATGAATATGCATTTATCTATTTTAAGATCTAAAAGTTTCTTTCTCTGATAGTTCAGAAAGATTACACAGCTAGTTTTAGGACTTTGAAGCTTTCATCCCTCAAAATCTCATACTCCTATTAGTAACCTCACGTCTGAAAACCCATCTCTATCTGAGCTTTTGAGCTGGCAATTCTTATCATCAAAGTTATAGCACTGATACACTCTAGGAAGGAATTGATCAATTGCTCATTTTCGTGGGGCACCAACACCCCTCTCCCCCATCATCAACTCCCTCCCAAATCAAACACCCATCAAAATCCCAACAACTTTTATCTCCCTCCACATATCTAACCCAAACCCCCTCACCCACCCTCCTCACCCCCCTCCCCAGATCTCGCCCTCGGGCCCCTCGGCCTCACACTAGGTCCCCTCACAACACCACTCTCCTCCCTAGTTTTCGACTCCATAGAACGAGGGGCAGTGAATCCCCTCTCCGGATCTCTAGGACCGTTAGGACTAGGATACATGACGCATTCAAGACTTTTCTGCTGGCACCTTGTACAAGGAACGCTCGGTGTATCGCGGAGAGAACATCGTTCGTGGATGCTATCTATATTAGATGTCTATCATATTAGGGCTGAGGAAGATTGGTAGGGAGGTTGACTTACTAGTAGCATGGTAAACAACCTCTTCGTGCGTCTCGCGAGGGGCTGGATTCCGGAGATTTTAATGGGTCTGGGTCTTTTTCTGGGGGTTTATGCTCTGCTTTGTTGGTTGTTCCGGCGTTCTGGTTGTTTTTGGGGAGTGTGTCGTCTCGCTTCCTGACATTTAGAGGTTCGGGTATGATTCCTTTCGAGTTTTCCATTTTTAAAGTTTTTGGGGAGCAGATGGGGATGTGGTGTTTTCGTTAACGTATGTGATGGCTGTGCAGGTGGCATGGCTTTATCTGGGATGGAATGGATTTGTGGATTCACTCATGTGTGACTCTGGTGGTGTTTGCATTTTATTTGTCGGGTAGTGATTGATTCATGGGGTGAGTGAAGGCAATCTTGGTTGATGTCTTATTGGTCTACTTCAGGTGATGTTGTGATGGACAATCTGGTCGAGTTTAAGCGAGGGGAGTGATTGTATGGTTGTTGGAAATTTAGATAGAAACCCCATGACGCGCATCTTTAATTTAAGATTTCGCTATCTGTGAGATTTACATACAGTTCATGTTAGAAACGAAACCCTGCGTTGATGCTCAAGGATTCGAGGGGGAAAAAGAAAACGACTTTCTAATTCTCTACCCAATATCGTGACGGTTTGCCAATAATGAATCATTCCTAGGCTGAGATAGCCATCGCACTATCTACTTCTGATTTTCATCACCTTGTAAATTGACATTTACAGAAATGGGTATTACTAGTTAGTGCACATGGAAACTATCTACAATAATTCTAACTGTAACGTCTTACACTACTTCTTAAGCGAGTCTCGAGATAGCAAGCTATACCACAAAAATCCAAGGCCTATTACAGAAACCCGCAATTTCGACAACCCACAGGCTGTACAAACAATTCCTAAAAACATATCCAGCAAATATTCCAAAACAAGCTTACTGTAATTGAGTACTTACAAACCACGTGATGTCCACGACTCTCATACATCCAAAACTGAGAATCATGAAACGACTTCCGATGATAAAATCGCTAATACCATTCATCTCATCCCCACCAAAAATAAAGGTACGAAGAAATCATCATAATTTCTCATCAAAACAGGCGGTGTATAAAAGCCACCTTCTCTTCTCCCGTCCTTCCATTCCCAGGTTCCTCTTGGCGCTTATATGCACCACCGACACAGCCACAAGAGATCATCCTCATCTCCTCCTACAGTAATATCCAGGCAACCAGTATCTTTCATTTCATGCCAGAATATATAACTAAGCCACCGCGCAACCTCGAACTTCCTCGAGTGGGAAACAAAAAAGATTTCTGAATGAGAATCCTTCCCAACGAGAATGCAGCAGCGAGAATCCCATAAGAAATCCCGACGAGGGTGTCAGAGTTGCAAGAAGCGACATGTGAAGGCACATTCCTTCCATTAACTACGATTGCATTAAATACGTGAAAGAGAAGAATAATAATAACAGAGTAAAAGAAAAAAAGGAAAAACCCGCATATCCACAGTCATAACCATTCATAGCCCTAGTTAGTTTGGTTCCCAAAATCTAAGAATAAGGAAACGCCCAGGGTATCTAGATCCCATACCCCTCCCCAAATTTTCCCAATGTCAAAAGCCCCCATCGATTGACCCCAAAATCTAAAAAACCCCCAAAGATCATGGGTCCTGTGGCTAGCGCCCATACTCCGTTTTTGAAAATGCCGCTAAGAATTTTTTGAAGCCGTATTTTGATCTGTTCCATCGTTACAACATCACCTGGTGATGCTTGAGGAGGACAGTGCTCCTCAAGTAGTTTTGCCCATACTGGTACTCCACGCCTCATCGGCGCCTTCGTCTTTGCCAGCTGCGCCGACAATAAATTCGAGGACCTTGCTGACTCTTTCATTGAGTATTCCAGCTTGTCCCATGGTTTCCGTTGGGGTAATCCCTCTTGCCTGTAACCCGGCCACTTTGGCTCTCCACGCCTTTTCTTCCCTTTGTTTCAGGGCGCGGTCAACACGCATCGGTACAGCAAGTGTGACTCGCACCAAATGGATTGTAAGCCTTGCCCTACCGACTACATCCAAATAACCCAATCCCATCAATCGTTTCTGGACTCGATGTATGCGTCCCAATTCAATGTAAATAAGTAAAGCGTATGTACGAGTAGTTAATACCAATTCGCGAATGCGAATAAAGGAACGTTCGACATTTATCACGACCTCTTCACTAACGAGATTCGGATATTGGGAGTGGAGTGACTCCAGCCATCGTCGAACTATGACAAAATCCCCAGTGATAAATTCCTGGAGGATGGCCTCAACAGCGCTTCTAAAAGTGTGTTCGCCGCCTAAGAAGGTTGTTTTGTCTGGGAGTGAGGAGGAGGTGGGCTTGGAGGCACGATCGTATGTTCTCCGCGCGCTAGGGGATTTGAGGATGTCGAATGCGAAACCGAGGCGCTGAAATGCGCTAGGTGATTGCGTCAGTGATTGGCGATCAGAATTGAAGGAACAGGAAGAATTACCTGGTGGAATCGCGATGGAATGGAGGTTTATCTGGATGGCAGACTTTGGATCTTTCGAGGTAGCATCGTCGCAATTCGCTGGGAGCCGCCGATCGACGAGCGCCTAGGATTTTGTACAGCTAACAATAAATGGTTGATTAGCCTGGATTTCATTATCTTGTTCCAATTGTTTAACTCACATCTTCTTCATGGAGGACGTCTGTTTATGCAAGGCGGTTGTCAGCGTACTGGCTGCTCAATTGTTTTTTTGCCTCTGCCTCGGGGATCACATGTGAGAGAATTCGGTGACTTACGCTGGATGATGTTATTCTTCTGATCGAAGAACGCCTGTTGTGCCCTCGTATTGTCATCAGACATTATAATCGCATTTAGAGGGCAAACGAGCGAGGAGGGGATGAGAACATAATGACAGGATGCAAATCACATTGGGAAAGAGAAGGGGGAGAGAAAGAAGAGGGGGTGGATATGGTGGGTGGGTGGTGGGTGTGATGGTGGTGATCCAACAACGCAACGGACCAATTTCACATGCGACTGTGACTGCGACGAGGACGGGGACGGGCCTACCGCGCCTCGCCGGGCTACAGCTGCCACACGCTGTACCAGTACTTGCCCAGCACCTACAGCACTTTTTGATACGCTGGTGTCAACTATCTTAGACTGCGTCTGCGTTTATTAAGTACCTCCACTGCCTATTCGAGTGCCAGCTGCACTCACTGCTACTTCACCCCTACCATATTTCTAGTACCTACTGGTCCGATACTGATACTGATACAGCGTCGGCACTGTAGATGTCGAACCTCTACCTGCCCATCTATCACAAACGGCCACGGCGGGGGAATTTGCAGTTGCCGGGGCCGGCGGGCGTGCCTTCATAGTCACATGACGAGAGCAGTGTGCTGAGTGAGGTTGGGAGCACCACGAGAGTACAAAGTATCTACCTACGGGCAAACCAAAACAAATTAAATCATCTGCATCTGCTCGTATTTTCTCTAATTATTAATATTGGTCCCTAGGGTTAGGGTTAGGGTTAGGGTTAGTGGGCACTTGAGAGGTTGCAGAGTCTGCCCTGATTACCGACTGCATGGGTCGGGTATGACATGGGTTTTCTCCTGCCGAGCGATTAGATAGTGACGATATCCTGCCAATGCTCATCAAGCTTCAATGACTGGACCAACGCAGGCGTGTCAATACCATTCACAAAAGCCCGGCAGCAGCGCTACTCGCCAATCAGAGAAGCAGCTTTGCGAAAGCTTCAAAAGCTTGGTCCAACATGATCTGGTAACAACAATTTCATGACGGTCTCAACATGGCAGAGAAAGAAGAAGGCACGCCCCGCCGGGGTCGCTCTCCCACTGGAGATGGGGAAGGAGGAGGGGGAGGGGGGGACAAATCAAGCAACCACGTTCATTTCGATGCCGCGAGCACAGCTACGGCATCGACCACCGAGAATGCGTCCGGGTCGACCTCTGTCATGACTTCACCCTTGAGCATGGACTTTAGAAAGCCCAAAGCAGACGATCAAGAACTCCCCAAGTTCCCTCCTCTACACAACAACAATCCTGATCCGAAAGGCGACGGAGTAGACGACGAGGAGTCTATCGCACAACCCTTTCAGAGGACAAGAAGTCCCGGATCCGATATGAAGAGGAATAAGGGGGCAGTTTATGAAAAGGTTGGTGACCAAGGGGTATGCAAGATGCACAAGTTCTCTCTCTACGAAACGGCCACTCGATATTATATTGTTGGAGCCGATGTCATGGACAGGCGCTTTCGAATTCTCAAGATTGATAGAACGGCAGATGCTGGGACCCTGAGCATTGCAGAAGACGAGATTGTGTATACCAGGCAAGAAATGATCCAGCTGCTAAATGCCGTCGATGATGGGAATAAGAGCACTGGGGGCATGAAGTTGAGATGTAGTACGTGGGGCTTATTGGGATTCATACGCTTTACGGGCGCATATTACATGCTTCTAATCACCAAGAGGAGCCAAGTGGCGATGATCGGTGGCCATTTTATATATTCCATTGATGACACCGAGTTAGTTCCATTGACTACAGGCTCAAGTTCGAGGTTCAAACCAGACTTGAAAAACAACGAGGAAGCACGATTTCTGGGAATCCTTAATAATCTCGATCTGAACCGTTCCTTTTATTTCAGTTATTCTTACGACATCACAAGAACTTTGCAACATAACATTATGACCGAGAGGGCAGCTGTAGCCAAGGGCGAACCGTATCCACATCCACAAGATTATAATTCCATGTTTGTATGGAATAGCTATATGCTTCAACCTGCTGCCAAAGAACTGAAAAACACCCATGATTGGTGTTTGCCGATTATTCATGGTTATATTGATCAATCTGGTAGGGCCAACATAATGATTTCAAGGCCATTGACTAATTGTGACTAGCAATTGCCGTCTATGGACGAACCGTTTACATTGCGGTTATCGCCCGCCGTTCACGCTATTTTGCAGGAGCTCGTTTCTTGAAGCGTGGTGCCAATGATTTGGTATGTTGATGTCGCCTGTGATCAACATCGTTTGGCTAATTTGTTAGGGGTTCGTCGCCAATGACGTTGAAACTGAGCAAATAGTATCAGAGGTTTTGACAACCTCATTTCATGCTCCAGGCGCCAAATTGTTTACCAATCCCAATTACACCTCCTACGTGCAACATAGAGGAAGTATCCCTCTATACTGGACCCAAGACAATACCGGGGTGACGCCTAAACCGCCAATAGAGCTGAACCTCGTAGATCCTTTTTACAGTGCTGCGGCATTACATTTTGATGACTTATTCAAAAGATACGGTGCCCCAATATATGTGCTCAATCTTGTCAAGTCTCGTGAAAGAACGCCCAGAGAGTCAAAATTACTGAAGGAGTTCACGACTGCAATAGATTATCTCAATCAATTCCTGCCAAAAGACAAGAAAATCATTCATAAAGCCTGGGACATGAGCCGGGCATCGAAGACAAGGGACGCCGATGTCATTGGAACACTCGAAAGTATTGCCGAGGATGTCGTTACTACTACTGGCTTCTTTCATAACGGTGATGGCATCACGACCATGCCACAAGTGCAAAATGGAATTGCCAGAACAAATTGCATTGACTGCTTGGACCGTACGAATGCTGCTCAATTCATCATTGGCAAGAAAGCTTTGGGTTACCAGCTGCATGCACTGGGCATCATTAAAGATCCGGTGGTTGATTTTGATACCGATGCCGTCAATCTTTTCACTCACATGTACCATGACCACGGCGACACAATCGCTATACAATATGGAGGATCGCAGCTAGTCAACACCATGGAAACGTATCGAAAAATCAACCAATGGACAAGTCACTCCCGTGACTTCGTAGAAAGTTTCAAGCGCTATTATCACAATTCCTTTCTCGACGGCCAACGACAAGAAGCGTATAACCTCTTCCTCGGAAATTACATCTTCACTCAAGGCCAGCCGATGCTGTGGGATCTTGCAACGGATTACTATCTTCACCACGCCAACCCACGAGGGTGGTCGGCTCGCAAGCGAAGGAGTTACATCAACTGGTACACACCTGAATACCTGGAGAAACGGGTCCTCCCAAAGTATGTCGGGCCCTCTGGTCTCCAAACCAACAAGCCGATAGGCTACTTTGACGACTACTGGCTCGAATACTACAAGCCCCTCGCCCTATCCTCGACCCAAAAGATATTTTCCTACATGGGTCGACAAAAGTTCAACTCCACACTCCGCTACATACCCCCCAAACCCACACAAGAAGGTCGCTACGATCTCTCCCCCTTCAAAGTACGCACGGAACAAGACCAAGATGTGCCGGAAAAGAAAAAGCCCCGTCCGAAAGGCGTGACAATTCTGGAACCTAGCGAGCAGCAACCAGCAGAAGAAAATGATGCGGATGATACCGCTTCAATACTTTCTACTGCTACGTCTACGAAGCGAATTAGTATCCAACGCTGGCTTCAGCCCATTCATGAGAAGAATGAGCATCACGGGATTATGAAGGATACCACGGCCAGGACGCCGGAGCAAACCGAGGTGAAATTAAAATTGACACCGTTGGATAAGAGCAAAGCAGCACAATGGACCTTCACACAAGTCGTCCACGAATCCCTAAATCCAAGCGTGACTCTCGAAGATACGGAAGACTACGCGCGGTACATCGAGCACCCACAAAGACTACCTTTAGTGGTGAGTACGGAGGTGCCGCGGGAGTTTGATGGCGAGTACGAGAATTATGTGCAGGGTAGTTGGATGGACATTGGGATCATTGGCGCCGGAGGGGATTATGAGAGTGAGGAGGAGGCGGAGAAGGAGAGAGCGGGCAAGATGGGGATCAAGGAGGGGGATTTGGAGGAGTATCGGAGTTTTTTGAGGGTTGGGGTGGATCCTTTGACGGTGAAGGAGGATGATTTGGGGAAGAAGAGGTATAAGGCTTATCGGAAGTGGTTGATGGGGAAGAGTCTTTTTAAGCAGCAGCCGGTTGATTGATTTACCTTTTTTTGGTTGGAGGTGGAGTAGATGGGTGATGGGTGCTTTATTTTGGGTAGGATTAGCATATTTGGTAGCGTGGAGTTGGGGTTGCTTTTTGTGATGATGAGTGGAATTAATGGGGGAAGATGGTGGGTGTAGGAAGTATATATAGATTGATACCACAATTCGGAATACCATCACACCATCCATTCCCCTCAATAAACCTCTAATTCCTAACCATCAGTCCATCACCCGTGCAAACTAAACACCTCCCCCATCCCCGGAACACTCTCAACCAACACCCCCACCTCCCCCGACAAATCGACCCTCGCCCCCTTCGCGGCCGCCATAAAAATCCTCCCCGTGATTTTAATTTCCTTCAACACCTGCTCTACCTCCACCATACCTTCCCCCAGTTCCTCTCCTGCGATCATCGTCTCGGAAACGTTCTTCCAACACAGACTCAGCATCTTTATTACTTCTAGTCGGTAGGCTTTTTGGGTGAGGAGGCGCGGCCAGGTGTTTAGGAGTGTGGATTGGAGGGTGAGGAGGGTGGTGTGTAGGAGGGAGGGGGTGGAGAAGGGGGATGTTAGGCGGGTGGCGAGGAGGGGGAGGGTGTCCTGTTGGTGTTAGTTAGGGGAAGACTTGGGGATACGGGGTACGGGGTAGGGAAAAATGGTACCTTGAGATGCTTGACGCTTTCTATACCCATTTTCTCGGCCAGGAGGCGGTGGTAGTAGATCAGGATTGAGACGATGGGAGGGTGTTCCATGGCGTGGGTGTAGCCTGTGAATATGCCTCTTCGCATTATTCTATCTAGGAACTTGGTTCGTTCGTTCTTTAGCGTGGTTTGGAGGTCTTTGTCTGTCCCTGATTTTGGGGACGTTAGAGAGACGATATCCGCGGCCACTTTTGATCCCACGGGAGAGTTCTGGGGAAAACGGGTGGAACATAGGACTATTAGTGCTTTGTAAGCACTGGGAAGGAGTTGCATGGATTCTGCTACGGGCGTGAGATTCGGGAGGTAGAGCAGTGTGGGCATGAGTGCGTCTTCGAATAGCTCTCCTAGGCCTGAGTGAGTGAGGAGGGTGGAACTCATGTTTGGCAGGAAAAGGGAAAGGATCTCGGCTCCTTGAACTCGGATGGGGGTACTTGGGTCGTCGAGGAGGGTTAGGAGGGGTGGTGTGAAGTTGTGCCATGTTTGGGGGATTGTTTCGCGCTGGGGGAGGGGTTAGTGTATGTTCTGTTTCTTTAATTTGGGAGAGGGAAGACGGACTGGAGTGTTTTCTACTACCCATCGGAATACGCATATTGCGTATACACCATCATACTTCCAAGGTTTCCGAGATTTTTGTAGTTCTTCTGTTCCGGTTTCTCGGGCGGGAGCAGAGGATGTGATGGCTTTTCGGCCGGTGGAAGTCAGAGTCTCTGGTTTTGAGGCGCTGAAGAGGGGACGGAGGATGGTCTGGAGGATGTAGGTTATTTGGAATGCTGGGGTGTGGGTTTGGTGTTTGTACTGAGCGAGTAGGGAGGTGCTTATTTCTGCTGTAGGGGGTGAGGTCCATGATGTGTACTGTGAGTGTGAGGAATATGAGATGAGAGTGAGCAGGATAGGTTCTGGAAGTTCTTTTGGAGGCGAAGATGGGAGTTGGGTTATTAGTATGTTGAGGGAGTTGAGACCTAGTTGAGCTTTTTGACGGATGAGAGTGAGAGCCTCTTTTTGCGATGAGGATGAGTCTTCTGTGAAATGAATTAGCGGGCGAAAGATACGAGATGAGGTTATACACTAGCCTTCCAGCGACTCATTCTGAGAGATTATGTCGCCTTGAGGTAGTATGGCTTTTGCTGCCCATAGAGCTAACTGCTTGATGGCCGTTTCATCGTCGTTTTCTCTCGACAATCGGTCATGATTTCTCAGGCAGCTGTCCAGTATGAGAAGAGACTCAAGCTTATCCTATAAGATGTTAGATCGGACTTTAATACATATGTCGCCAATATCAACTCACTTCTTCATTTTCAGTTTCGTCGTCGGCCAATTCTTCGCATAGTTGAAGCAGCGAATAGTGATCCGGTAAGGCTGCGCTGGGATTAGCTAGAACACCCATATTTGTATCAAGGCAACTTGCATTTTGTGGGAAGATTGAGTGTATCGTCATTTCCCGTTAGCCCCTTCTTGATCACGTCTTTTGCGACTTTGCGTGTTGAAGCGAACATTTTGGTTTCATTTTATTTTGGGAGTTGAGGAGGTTCGCAAGGCCAGAAGCGATGTTTATGAGGGCCGGTGTAGACGGAACAGGCAACGAGCCTATGGCAACGAGTATAGAAATAGCATTCACTACCAGACTTTAATATGGTCATACTCTCATAACTACGTTTGATCCCTTGAATTTCCCAAATAAAAGCAAAACTAAAGTTGCAATTTCTTACTTGAGAAAATTCCTAGAAATACAGCAGTCTCTAGATGACAATGATAGTTTAAAATATCCTCACAATTGCATAGGTAAGATTATTTACGTCCACCGTACTACGATCAATTTAATAGCCCAAGATTTCAAACAGCATGATAAAGGATTTAGGTTGCTTTCTTGAATCGCAAAGAAAAACCCTGGATAGACAAAACAAAGTGGATAAAATAGAGCCAAAAGCAGTAATTCGACACAGTTCAACGGATGGAACCCACATGCCGAGGTACCCCGAACTCAGTTCAACTTGAGATTCCTCCCATTGAAGCTAGCTCTCTACCCCACACAAGGTCCTCTACCTACATTATGCCCCCTCACGCCACATCCATCATACACTCCTATTCACTAGCAAGACTGTCATCACTTTAGCTCCAAATCCCAAAACAAACAATTCCCAGCACCGCCATGATCCGTCGCTCCGTCTCGCAAATCTTCCAGACCAACAGTCCCCGCGAGAATATAGAGGCGCAAGGAAGAGAGACAGAAGCGCAAAATCTGGCAAACATGATATCGCATCTTCAATGTTCTCGTCCTAAAGTACGTCCCCTCTATACCAACTTATCTCCAATTAAACATCAACTAATACCTACCCAGATATCACAACCCTCTCCCTTCCCAACTTCCAATCCCTTACACCAGCAACCCGCCCAACCAAACTCCTGGGTTTCGCAATTCACAGATTCTAATCTGCAGCCAAAACCAAGGAATCAGATAGAAGCAATGCCACCTTCGTCGACAGGGTCGAGTATGAACGTACCAGCGAATTTCAAGGTTCCGAGGGTGATACTTGATTCGGCAGTGCGCCATCCGGTATTCTTTACCGATCGCTTTAAGAAAGTGCCCCATGGAATTGGGTATGGGAAGGGGAGTCCGGTCAGTGAGGGGTATATCTTTGAGGAGGGGGAGAGGAGGGGTGGGGAAAGTAGACTGTGAGTTGGGCGGATGTAATTGTGGAAGAGTGGATTTAGAAAAGGAATCCTAGGTGGTTTTGGTTGTACATAGCTTGAGACTCTGGCCTTGGATGGCAATTGGGATATTTAGCGGTTTTGGCGTTACTGTATATTGATAGCTCCTGAAGAGACTGAACCTAAATCTGGAGGGTTGACGGTTGGGGATATTGAATAGGGCTCTGTTATCTAGGGAAATATATCAAGGGCCTCCAGTCTTAGGAGAATATCTGATTGGAATGATCATAAGTGTTTATTTATTGGAAAAGATAACAGCAAAGGTTCTTGAGACATGATCGCCAACAACAAAAAACACCTGGCATGCGTTAAAAGTAAATTTCAATGGTATGCACTCCCCCCAAACTTGAAAAAACAATCGTCAAAAGCGGAATATGCCCTTTTTCCAAGGGCCACATGTTTCCCCCCCCCGTTGAACTCCGCTGGTATAAAAATGGATCCCCATGGACATATCCTACACTGCTAGTACACTGTTACGTTATCGGAGCTCGTGCTTTCGTCCCACGATCAATTTGAACTTCCAACGCACTTTGACCAGCCCGGCAATCCACATCCCATGCCAACAAACAGGTATAGTAAGAAAATAATCACCACAGTGAGCAAAGCCATGAGCTTTGTATTCTTCCACCACATCTGTCGTCGCAAAGTTCTCGAGCGTACTCGGAAGTCATGAGCACTACCGCCAAGGCGATCGGTCTTATCGACCAACAAGTCGATTCTTTCACCTCTTTCCAAGAGACTCTCAATATTCTGACTCATGATTCCCCTCACATTCTCAATTTCTCCTTGGACATTAGCAATAGCGTCATCCTTGCCTGCTTTGGTAGTTCCATAGTCAACCATTAAGCCTTTCAATTCCGTATTGAAACTTCCGGCGCCATAATTGGGAAGACTGGCAAAATCGGTGCTCTCGGGAGGGAACTGTGCTTGGAAGCGCTTCTTGATCTCAACGAGGAATCCGAAGGGAATACGTCGACCGAGTGAGGAGTCGGCAACTACGAGGTAGGTGAGACCGCCAGCGGAAGAAGAGGAAGGGGAGTATTCCGAAGGAGCATCCGCAATGTAATGGATGAAGTTGTTGTTGTGGGTGTAGGTTAGTTTTTGCGCCGATTTATGATCAATCTTGGGAAGCACAAGAGATGCGAGAGAAGAGGTTTGTGAGGCAGCGGAGGTGGTGTGTTCAGTGAGGATGGTGGTGTTGTGTGCGATACAGGAGCTGGCAAACGTTAGAAGTGACCAAGGAGGGGAAGGTGAGGAGGCCTGACTAGAGAAGAGGCGTTGGAGGAGTAGAAGAGGAAGCCATGGCGATGTCCAATGTTTTGCAGTGGAAGTGGAAGTGGAAGTGGTGCTGGTGTTGTATGTACCTATTCGTAGCTGTGATTGAACTGTTGCGACTAGTACGAGTACCTAGGTTACCAGGTGCTTTTGAAGTGGATGGCTCAGACGGGTGGTGAGTGGTGAGTGGTGACTGGATGACGCACCCCAGATTGGCATTGGCGTCGGAATACGGCAACCTTTTTTTTCTTTTTTTGAAGTGGCCAACCACAGCCTCGCCTCTCTCTGTGGGCGCGTCTCCCATAGAAGAAAAATTCAACACCACAGGCCCGAACTCTACGAAAGCTACGAAAGCACAGAGGCACGAAGGCACCAAAGCAATTTCAATGGAAGCGGTCTGACGGCCTTCCACCATCATACCCCTCTTCTCCTTCTCCTTTATCCGAATATAGCATCTAGACGAGAATGAATATAGCGCCACGAATTCCTAAGCCAAAGCCATGCGCATTTTGTACCTTTAAAGCTTCGCCATGGTCAACCTCCACCTCGCTACTTCGATGGCAGGACGGCTCGATACGCCATCGACATGGAGGCCGCGAGCGAAAGAGACACAAGAAGCTAGAATCGGGCCTGCCTTCTGCTAGCCCATGGGTCCCTCTTCAGAGGGTTGAACCCAATACAAGAAGCCCTCTTGCCGACCAGGAGACTCGTATCGAACCTGGAATCCCCCGAAGGCCCCGAAGAGGCGAGCGTCGTCCCTCTGCCCCGAGCCAACTCCCGGCCTCATCAGGTCAATATCACCCCGGCCTTTTTTCCGGGGGAAAAGGGAAAGAGTCTGCGTACGAGATATTGGGAAATGTCGTCTATGAGCAGGCTTTGAGGTTTATGGACCGCGAAAAGAGATTAGTAACTGCCAGAATTGCAGATGCGAGCGAGAGAGTGCAACAAGTCACCCTTGCAGCTCTACAGAGGAAACTCGCAGCCTTTAAGGAAGACATTAGAGCTTCTGCTGCCAGAGCCTCCAGGCTCAGAAACGCTACAGTTGTAGATAACCCCCTGTTCTTCCATTTTCGACAAGCATTCATTAGTGGTCACATCCCCGGACTGCTTGCCGAAATCAAATATCGATATTTGCAATCTGTACATGGCAAAACTAGTCATTCTTCCAAAGCAACGGCGGAATTGCAAGCAGCGTTGGCGGATCTCAGCCATCCCCAGGAGTGGTACCCAGGAACAAGGGCTATGCAGAGGACGGTACATTTGCACATTGGACCTACCAATTCCGGGAAAACATATCACGCTTTAAAAAAGCTTGAAGCAGCGAAAACGGGTGTTTATGCTGGGCCATTGCGATTATTAGCCCACGAGGTGTATACCAGGTTTAATGCTATGGGCAAGAAGTGTGCTTTGATTACAGGCGAAGAACAGCGGGTACCCGAAGGCATGAAGCACACCCTGAGCAGTTGCACAGTTGAAATGGTCCCGCTTAACACTGAGGTGGACGTTGCCGTCATCGACGAGATCCAAATGATCGGGGACTTCTCCCGTGGATGGGCTTGGACTCAAGCTTTCCTTGGTGTCCAGGCAAAGGAAGTCCACTTGTGCGGCGAAGAGCGAACGGAAGAGCTTATAACGTCCTTGTGTCGAACCATTGGGGACAAGCTTATCATACATCGTTATAAGCGACTTGGCCTCTTGGATGTTGAACCCAAAAGTCTTCAGTCAGGATTGAGCTTTACTTCAGCATTGAGGAACCTTCAAAAGGGCGATGCGGTGATTCTTTTCTCTCGTGTGGCCATCCATGCAATGAAGAAGTCCATCGAAAAGGCTACGGGTAAACGATGTGCTGTGGTTTACGGTTCGCTGCCACCTGAGACGCGAGCTCAACAAGCCGCCCTGTTCAACGATCCTAACAATGACTACGACTATCTGGCTGCAAGCAACGCAGTTGGAATGGGCTTGAATCTGAGCATCAAACGTATCATTTTTGAAGGGACAACGCGTTTCAATGGAGTCGCTCATACTCGTCTTGACACTTCTGAAATCAAACAAATCGCTGGTAGAGCCGGCAGATTCAAAAGTTCTCACGATGCCATTGTAGGCGGGAAAGCCACCATTGATGGAGCCAACCCAGCTCTTCCGTCAAAGCCAGAGGCTCCTCCTACTGGGTTTGTCACATCATTCCACAAGCATGATCTAAACATCCTCACCCATGCAATGAAAAAAACCGTTCCACAGATCAAAACAGCTGGGATTTTCCCGCCAGATCACATTACAGCCAAATTTGCGTCTTTCTTCTCGCCCAATACACCATTCAGTTACGTCATGCTTCGACTGAAGGAGTTGCTAAAAACCGATTCACGCTTTCATGCATGCGATGTGCGTGAAATTATCGACGTGCTTGATGTCATTCAGCCTTACAAAATGACAGTCAAAGACCGTCTCACATTCGTAAACGCCCCTGTTCAGTTACAGGATCCCGGTGCCTTGAATTTCGTTACCGAGCTAGCTTCGTGTATCTCGAATCAGAATAGTGGAGAACTACTCGATATTAGATCTTTGAACCTGGGGCTTCTCGATCTAGAAGTCAGCTCAGACCCTAGCGCGGCCTTGACATATTTACGAAATGCGGAAGTGCTCCACAAGAATTTGACGCTATACTTGTGGCTTAGTTATCGGTTCCCGGCCATCTTTAGGAGCCAAGCACTCGCATTTCATGTCAAAGGCCTCATCGAGGAGAAAATCGATGTCTGCTTGTCGCAAGTTGGTGGTCATATCACTACCCGTGTTTCGTCAAAAAAGATCAAAAGAATGGACGAGCAGTTCGAGCGTGTGAAGCAGCTTGAAGAGTCTGGTATTTTGGAAGAATCAAATGAGGAAGATCAATTGGATTTGGTGGATGCGCTCGAGAGTATCGACGGCCTTGAAATTGCGAGTGAAGATTCCGCCGAGATCTCGAACGGATCGTGGGCTCATAATAAGCAGCTCAGAGACGATATTGGAGATATCAAGAGAGAAAGGAACCCTCTTCTAATAGATTCAGATAATATGACTCCCGCCACTTCCAAGATTGAAGCAGAGGCGTAGTCATTATATGTATATGTGTAATTCTTGTGCTTATACTGGCTTGATTTTGCATATCTGGGGAAATGGGAGATTCATGCAAAAAAAATGGGGATGGGGTCAAATGGAACTTTTGTAAGATACTTCATGATAACGACGATAACTCCTACTCTTGCGTTCTTGTCCAAAAGTCGCTACTCCTTCCGACATCTCGCTAAACTCCTCGCTTGGCTACGTCATGCGCCTGGTAGTGGTTGGGATGCATGCATATAGAAAGTGAGAAAAGCATAGAATGAGAATCGAAACGGATGACATTAGACAACTGTCGCACGAGGTTGTCGGGACGTTTTTTTATGTGGATGATCTAGAGATAAGTTCTGGTAATTGTGTCTACGAAAGAGTGATGTGCCTAATTACCCATGGCCATCGCTGAGCAGCTCACTTGAATGTACCTGTGATTGGGCTTGGCTTTTGCTGTATGGGTATGTTTGTTATCTTGTTGATTGAGAGCTTATTTAGGAGGTACGAGGAGGAGAGATAAAATGCAAAAGACTACTGATTGTAAGTAAATTCCCTACTCTTTGGGCAGGCATAGTGGGATTTGGATTGATAACTTTGATATTTCAATGAATGATAAATTACGTGTTGCTCATACCGCATTTCAAGATACCTTTGAGACATTTTTCTGCCTTCTGTGGCTTCATCCACGACGTTTACTGGGAAGCGGTTGCGGTCATTCCTTCAGAGTACAGCAACCCAACCCAGTACCCTAGTATCATTTATATCAAACCCAATCTGGATCTCAAACTCTCCCGCAGGAATCTTCCACTGATCCTTCCTCAACCTCCCAATAACTCAAATCCCTTCGAGTTAACGCAAATGTTACGTCTCTTGCCTCTCCACTACCTAGTTCTACATTTTCGAATCCTCTAAGAACCCGTTTTGGGGTATTAGGCGGAGAGGTGTCTTGTGGGAAAGACAGGTAGAGCTGGACTACTTGAGCGCCTGTAACAGATCCTGTATTTGAGAGTGTTGTTGTTGTCGTGAGTATCGTGGTGTAGAGATCAGAGTTTCCACCCGGTGCGATTTTAGCCGAAGAGTCGGGGGTTGGTGAGATTGGAGAGGATGAGGGAGAGGATATTTGGAGTGGGGTTATGTCGAAGGTGGTGTAGCTTAAGCCAAAACCAAATGGATAAAGGGGCGTAATGTTGTATTTGTCGAAATGGCGGTAATCTATCATCAACCCTTCGGTAAAATCCGCTTGCCAGGCATTGGGGTCTCGGTTGGAGGCCGGTACGTAAGTGATGGGTATATCGTAATCAGACTCTTTGGCCGGTATGGTATAAGGCAACTTTGCTGAAGGGTTTAATCGCCCCATAGGATGTCCACGAGCGAATTTCCACTCTCTTCCCCAGGGTAATGGGCAGCGAAGATTCCAGTGATGTTTGGGTGATGACTCCATGGCATTGTGTTTATACCTCCAGAGTGAGTAACGACGATGGTGTTGTTACAGCGTTTGGCCACGTTAGTAACAACGGCTGTTGAGTTGTAGTCTGCGACCCAAGAAACGCGATCATAACCCTCTGAGGTATAAGTCTTGAGGAATACTAAGCAGACGTCGGGTTGCGGATAGATGCTTTGGAAATCATCGTCCCCAGCAAGAATTGTGTTGTTAGGATATATTGAAATCTAGCACCGATAGATCGTGCTTTTGCTTTGATAGCTGATAGAGGGTCCACGATAGAAGCGAACCTTGCAGAATCTGAACCACCTCCAATCTGAGGAATCAAAAGTCAGTATTTTCAGACACATTTAGTGGATGTCATGAGTCAAGAGCGGGTAAAAGGCGCAGGCAAACGGTAAAACTATGAAACGAGACGTATAAACATGGTACCTACAGCAAGTGTTCCCATATCAAACCCTTCTCTCGGGGTAATGAGAGGTTATGTGAGTCCACTCATGAGATCGCCGGCATCATTTCCAAAGGCAGCGATCGACTTCGGTGATTTGAGTGGAAGGGCATTATTCACATTCTTCAAAAGGACTGTCCCATCCGAACCCATCCTACGAATAAGCGAAGAGTGATTTCCACGAACATCACGAGCGGCGATGCTGCAACTGATTTCGCCAGTAAGACTTGCACCGAGAATACATATAGCGGATGGGTCGAGTGAAGGATAATCGCTGTGATCCTGGTTGAGAAGGTAGTAAGGTGTCATTATCCTCTGGATCATGTCGTCCAAACGAGACATAGTGATGTTACCGCTTTTCGAGGTTATTGGTGATATTAGCCCCGAAATAAGATTTTTCTGGTTCCTGCAAGCTCAGATAACCAGGCATGGTCAAGTCCAAACCTGCGTTGATGGATTTAGCTCCGGAATGAGTAGCAAACCACTACGAGACGAGATCTATTAGTTTCACTCTAAACAGTTGCAACCATGGTATGGCTAAATTGTATTGCCTACATCAGAGAAGAAATATCCTTCAAAGCCAAGTTCCTTCTTGAGAATATGGTTAAGGAGTTGATCATCCTCGCAGGAGTATGTCTGGTTCACACGATTAAAGGCACACATAACAGAAGTTGTGCCAGCTTTGACGGCATCAGCAAATGGCCACATGTAAAGCTCGTGCATAGTACGATCATCGATGTTGGAAGAGAGAGCATGTACCTCTATTCCATCCTCAAGAAAACTGTTCGTCCTTTGTGTTTCTTGTTCATTACCAATGATGTGCCTGGATGTGGTTTGAGTGCCAGCATCTTGCGTTCCGAGGATGGTCTCTCGCATAGCTACACCGGATAGGTATGGATCAGGAGAAAACCCCTCCCAATTTCTTCCCCCAAGAGGATGGCGTCCCAAAGGCCCCGCAGAAGGCCTATTAGTCCATTTAGTTACAGGTCTTGAAGAGCAAAAATACTATAAGCGAAAGAAAACACCTACCCAAGACCAACATGAGAACCCTTTTCCCGAAATTCCTCACCAAGGGCGTATCCACGCTCGTAGAGAAGATCTTTATCCCATGTGGCAGCCATTGTAAGTGAAGCAGGGAAAACGCTGACAATCTCCATTCGACTGACTGCATGGGGGCCATCGGTGAAGCAGATTCCCGAAAAGTTGAGCCGTGGCATAGGCGCTATGTTTCCAATACAGGCTCCTGGGGAACCCGTCACCATACTTGCCTTTTCGGTGACATCGAGTTGTGATACAAAAGCCTTTGCTTTCTCGGATGCGGCAGCCCAGTTCTCAGCCGGTAATGGAGTACCTATAACATGGTAAAAATGAGGATACAAAATTGAGACTATTGGGGAGAGGTGCAATATTAAAAGGACTTTACATACGTGGACCTTTTCTCTTCAAACCACCCACTAAGTCTAGCCCAGTGAGGACGAGAAAGAAGAGTGTATTTAGTTTATACATTGCTGCCAAGCCTGTGATGCGAGAGACCCGATGGGAAGCCACACATTCTAAAAGGATAGAAGGATACAGCTGTTACTTATACTGACTTTCATGCTGATTCAATAACAGAAAAAACGCGGGGTATAGAGGACTAAATAGATCTCGCTTAAGCAAAAGACAACGCGCCCGACTTACCAAATTCGGGGTTGGGACCGAGATGATATGACAAAAAGGTGACAAAAGCTGCGGCTGACTGTTTGTACTATTGAAGACCCACAGAAAGACCGTTAGACATCATCAATGTCGAAGCTTTAAGGATTGGGTATCGATGCTAAGAAACGAACCCACTCTCCCCGCTTTCCCCTCATCTGACATCTCTACCCCACGAAACGGGTGGATGTAATGGATTCCAAGACGTTGGCAGATGGACAAATACCATACTTGGCAGCTCAACGCGGTATAGATGTTTCGCACAATTAAATATCCTATGTACTGTACCGTAAGCTCGCATAAGTCGAGACCAAGAAATCTGCCACAGGCAATACAAATGAATCGCGGAGGGAACAGTGCGAGGGAGTAAAATATCCGGGTCGTGATTCATGAAAAGTCGGAACAATGCCTGCTACTCGTTTTATTGCTTTGCTGATTTTGATACTATGACCCTTGATCATAGAACTATATATGACTTATCTTCAAATGAAAAGGATTTTAGTTTATTTTATGAATCAAAGTACAAGATGATGAAGAGGGAATTATCTGGAAACAACACTTACTGAAGCTACTAGAATGGTATAAGTTATTCAGAGCTTTCTCTATCTTCCCGGGCCTCTATTACCATAAAAACATGCCATCATTGGCATACGACTGTTCCGTGTAACGTCCCCTGAGGTATGATTGGTGACTTCTCGTCGTCGCTCAACATTTTTGATTACATAATGCAATCATCGATTTGGAGAATGGTTCGTGGTGCTGCTTTGGATGGAACAGGAGCCTACAGTATTAGCCCATAGGTGGGAGCAGAAAAGCTCGTGACCAAGAAAACTGACGTGGCTTCGGAGCCTTCGGATATCAATGAAAAATCCGCCAATTTTCGCCATGTCTACAAGGGTCCAAAGATTTTAGAAGGGATCAAGTATAGAGAGCGGAAGATTGCATCGATGCTGACCAGATTGGACAACTAGAGATATTAGAAGTAGTTCATCAAAAACTCCACCAGGACTCGAGGAATACCCACAGCAAATTTGAATAGTAAATCAGCAATGCTAGGTGACAACAGGAGCTCGTGCATCTCCGCCGCATCAAGGTTAACATTCTTAGGATGGGACACCTCAAGGGGGCAAGGAATGAAGACATACCTTAGAAAAAGACAAGGTTGGCGTGACTTAGGCCGATAGATGCTCTTGAACTTGAACAATTGGAGTGATAATGAGAGCAGCAAGCTCGACAATTCTAGTAGAGGTCCTTGCTAATGCCATGATTGATGGGACTAAGAAACGCAAAACTTGAGAAGTGGCTAAGGTAGCGAACACAATAGGCGAAGGAAGACAATTGAAAGATAGAACCTGTAATGATCATCCGCTCTGAAGGTGCCTAGCAGTTGGCTTATTGCTACCAAGGTAAGACACCTTTGGTATTCCAGTGTAGTGGATATCATATCTGGCTGTTCGTATCTGTAATGATGTCAAAAGTGTCCTTCCGATGCTACTTCTCTTTGCAGCTTCAAGATCAAGGTCAAATCAGCGATTGGGAGAGGGGGCCATAGAGGATGTTCTTGCAAGAAGAGCAGTTGTGGCAGTAGTGGGCTGTTCTGATGCAGTACGAGGCAGACATACGAATATCAGTTATTTCCATTACATTCCAACCAACTCCCTCACGATTTTTGTTGGGAAATTAAGTTAGGATTGATTTGAGGATATGGATGAATAGCAGTTGTAGCTGGTCAGTGGTAGGTTGGTTCACTTGGAAGGTCCTCGTAAAATAATAATGACAGGGATGGGGATTTCTTCGGAGCACCCGTGATGCACGGTACTGTAATCCTTGCTCAAGCCCTATATTTGGCAAAAGAACTGCAAAAAAAAGTCAAAAGAGGAAAACATACAACAGCAGGTATTCGCTGGTGGTCACCCACCCAACTACTAATCTGCCGATCTGAGGCTTGTGTATGGCAGAGCGGACGGGATGCCCAATTCTCCTCAGTCTATGGTCGTATGTGGTAGTTGAAGTACTATTTGGTACTATGTTTATTGTTCCTCCCCTTTACATAACTTCTCTCCGTTTCCTTGAGATAATTTGTATTAATCTTCTTTCCTACACACCCCTTTTTTCTTTCTCTTATTCGCAGCTTTCGAAGTCTAGAAAAGGTTTCTCTAAGGTTTCTCTTTTCTGTTCAATGTAATAGGCAAACCAAACCATATTCTATAAGCCCTACCTGAGGCTTCTTCCTAACGAAATGCCTAACTGCGCCAACTACACCTGCTACTGTAATTCCATCATGCGCGTCAAGTTCGACAATGTTACAAAATTGCATCTGTCTCAAGCGACCTTCATACCTCTAAATTTCTGTACTATCATATCCTCTGTGAATTTCCTCGTCTTCCTTTTCAGCAAAGCGACAGTCTCCTCCTTCGTCAGCACCGCCTGATTTCTCATCGGAACTAGGCATTCTGCCGCAAGATACTCGTACTCTTTCTGCAGAGTAAGATAGCCAAGCTGATAAAGTTGACATTCTGGACGATCAAAGCCTCCTGATTACTGTATCTGTCCCAAGCTTTGATGAATTCGAACGGGTGATCGCGCCAATGACGGCGTGGGGACAGATGATGTGATGTGTGGTAGCCATCATTCAGACTATGGCGATTTGCCTATGCTCTTTGTGAGCTGGATAGAAGAGTTATGGAACGGAGGACTTGGAATATATATAAAACGGTATATAAAATGCAGCTTACCACAGCGCCGATGAGAGTGACACTGAAACGGAATTTAGATGTAGGTTCCACTTCGTCAACAAATGTGTGTTGTCCCCAATTATTCATCATAACCAGAACTCGCCATTGTATCAGCGGGAGAACCAACGCCGCCATGGCAGCTCTCCCATTATACTTCACCAGAAGAGCGATGAACCCCAAGGAAAGAACCTCCCAGCCAAAGTACTTGAGTCCCATCACCGGCTTGCCCTTCCGAATATAGTACCATGGCAATTCAAACCAATTTAGGAGAACGAATCGTGCGAGATAAATACACAAGTCGGAAGTTGAATCTCGCTGATAACGGAGTGTTGAGCTGAGATCATCTGGACCGTTGTCCTCGACATGATGGTGCTTGTGGTGATAATAGAACGAGTTCCACGTCTGGCCCATTAGTGGACCTAGGATATATGGGAAGCTTGCATCGATGCTGGCCCAGCGAGGAGATAGGATACCTCTGCCATGCAAGTGGTGGTGCATGATGATAGTATACGGACCAAGAAAGTATAGAACAAGGAGCTCATGCAAGACTGCATGGATCCAACTGAAGTGGGCAAATAGAAGTATGAGATTCGGAAGTCCAATAAGACACAACACCAGGAGATGTGAGATGTAAATGATATCTGATGGTCTCCGAACCATATCTTGGGTTTGCCATATGTACGGTTGTATAAGTAGACGATTCAGCCAGGGCGGTGCTTGAGAACATTTCCAGCTCGTAAAGATGAAAGGTTCGAATTTTTCATGATTGGAATCCGCGAGGGATGACTCGTTGAAGACCTGGTGTTCTGTGGGTTTGTTGGCCGGATAATTGTCTTGGGAACCTTTTTGGGGTCGTTCATGGTGTTGGAGGTCACCGAGGACTATAGCCACTGCGGGTTCCAATCCCACCCGTTCAAACATCGTTGAAAGGCAAGACAATCCAGATTCTAGAAATGCTAGATGTGCTATAAAGATAATTTCCAAATATTATTCTGAGCAAAACGGAATAACAGTTAACTATTCATTCTAGTCTTTTATATGCTGTCAGCGTTACATCGTATAACACACCGATAACAATAAGAAAATATGTTATGACGGGTGATCCTGGCAACTGCCATTCCCCTCATGTCAAGGTCAGCATGACACAACACAGCATCTGCCCCAGACGTTTGCCAGCTGCTTACTGTAAACCAATTAGACTTACAGTAATTTGGAAACGCCCCAAAAACTATAACAAGGATTTAATTATCTACTTAATATGTAGGATGTGTTCAATAATCCCAGAACGTTTTAAGAACCTCCCCTCAAATTAATGCGATTTTCGATAAAGCCCATTTACTTCTTGATGACCTGAAGACCTGCAACCTAGCCTTTCAATTGCTAATTATAGGATACGAGTCTCGGATAAATGAGATGAGAATAAAATTCATTGAGCCCGTTGAAGGGACAACGAGAAATCAGACGCTGATAAGCTTACATGGAGTGCAAAACATCATCCAACAGGGTTGGGTTCACGACGGTCTTGCTACTGATTATGAGCTCGAATACCTGAAGAGGTTGGACGATTAGGTCAAGTTTTGCTTGATATCGGAGATTCTCAGATCTTGAATGTGATAAATGTTATGATAGGCAAACAGGATTCTTCCGAATTGGGACACTGAAGAATGGCAATCGATTTATCATCTCGGAAGGATATACATAGGTACCAAGGAGCGCGTGGAAAAGTCTCAAGAAGATTGAGAATCCTTTCTGTTGTTTGATCACAAGACCGGAGAAGGATCTCAATGTAATGCGAAAACTTTCATTTTTTCCTCATCCAAAAATCTAAAACACATGTACATAGCATAAAAAGGGAAAACACCATACCAACAAAAAAATCTCACAAGCTAAGATATTCCATCCCATCCATTTTCGAGTTTAGAAAAAAGATTTTGACACCAAAACACAGCAAAAAAAAACAATAAGGTGCTGCTCAGACTCAAGCTCCAAAAATGCTGGACACCAACTCGCCTCCACGAACAGCAAGAATAGAAAGAAGGGTATCGCTCAACTGGAAAGAGTTGGGTTAGCACGCATTTCCCTCGATATTTCACTAGCCAAGATTGAAAGAAACAGAGAGCTTGAGAGAGAGAAAACTTACGCCATGTGTCTTCTCATTGCACCCCTGCAACCAAATACCAGCCTCTTCCACCGCTCCTTCACCAAACACCACTCCGTAATCTCGTCCGACCGCAAATTTCCCCTCTTCACGCTCAACAACCAACCCCCTAACCCCCTCGAGCATTTCCTCATGGGCATTTCTTCGATATCCTGTCGCAGTGAAAACATAGTCGGCCTTAATCTCTTCCTCAATGCCTTCCCTACAAGATTCAGTGGACGCAAAACGGAGTTTGACGGCGCCACCTTCGGCTTGTTCAGCGCTCGTCATAACGCGGTTGTTGATGATGTTACAACGCCAGGTTGATGGGTCAGGGTTGTGAATTCGCTGCATGTAAAGTTTGTCATAGAGGTGTTCCAGGAGCTCGAGACGGACCACACCGTAGTTGGTTCCTTTCTCGAGAGCTAGAGCTGCAGCGCGTGCAGTTGGTTCTTGGTTATAAATTCCTTCAACACGGTCAGGGTCGAAGATTTCGTTGACGCTAGATGCCTGTTAGTTTCTTTTGATCGTCATCATGAAATTGATGTGGAAGGTAGGTAACTCACAAAGGACTATCATCACTAGGTCTCAAACTCGACCCCTTGATGACAAGTTTTACCTCACTCTCCGGAAATCTTTCACTCAAATCATTATAGATTTCCGCCGCACTCTGACCGCCCCCCAAAACCACAAATTTTGGTTTTCGTCCCTGTTCTCTCTGTTGGATCTGCTTGATAGAAACAGCAAACTGGCTCGAGTGAGCGACATGTTTGAGACCTTGGAGTTTTTGTGGGATGACCGCACGTCCACCGACGGCAATGACAACATGTTTTGCTTTTTGTCGGATTAGATTTCCGTATTGGTCACGGGCTGTAACCTCCCACGAGGTTACTTTCCCTTCTGCATTCTTCTCTCCTACCTGAACACTCTCGACATCCATCCCATAAGCGACCTTCCCTTCCTTCTCGAAATGGCTAGCACACCATCTGAGGTAATCCTCGTATTCCAGTCGACTAGGTAAGAAAGTACCGAGGTTGATAAAGTGATTCAAACGCCCTTTTGAGAAGAGATAGTTGATGAACGTGAATTGAGATCGTGGGTTTCTAGGTGTAGCAAGATCTTTGAGGAAAGAAATTTGCATTCGGGCACCTGGGAGCTGCATACCTGCATGCCACGCGAATTTTGGTTGTTTCTCAAAGAAGAGGACTTTTTTTTCTGGGCCGTTTGCAAGATTGTCTTTCATCGCAATGGCTATAGCGAGAGATGCTGGCCCGAACCCGATACATAGCAGGTCCAACGTCGTATCTGGAGAGGCTCTTGGTTCAACATAGTGGCTGTTGTTAGAAAAGATTTCCGCATTCCCACTAGGAAGAGTTGTTCGTTCGAAAGACTCAGAGGGAGGAGTAATAGCCGAAGGCGCCATTTTTGATTTGTCTCAAGTTTCCGGAATTGGAAGAAACTCTTTTCAAATATTACGTTGAAGATATTAATGCAGAACTCGAGTGGTCTAGTGAGTCGTTAGCCATTGCTCTCCGAATATTGCTGAAACTGTAGCGGTGAAGTTTTGACAGGAACAAATAACAAATCAAGTAATGTGACCAAATAGGTACCTGCGCTAACATGTGTAGTAGTTGAGCAAATATTTGGTACTGTCTCTGTTTGGGGTTGCGCTTTCTTTGCTACCCTTCCATCAGACCACACCACAGAATTATTTTCCTTCGCGGGAGACGTGGATAGAAAAGTGGAAAAATCCTACCAAAACTTGTTTACTACAAAATTTCGACGAATCTTGTTGTTCTTCTCGAATATCACTTTGGCTCAGTACTTGTAACCAAAAATGCCGTCACAGGTACTTATTAGTGCAGTCACTGCTTGCAAATCCCGCGGCTCCTATTGGACAACCTTCTTTTTGGTTCAGCTGTAGCACTAAATGGTGCCAACGCAAACAACAAGTGTTTAAGAAGAAGTGAGACGTATAATTGATAATCCTAATGAGATTAGGTAAAGATTGAGTTGTTCCGTGGGGTGGGGTGGGGTGCTCTGTGTAATCTTGGTACTATTCAGAAAGTCAGCCGCACGCTCGACCGAGTTTCACTTTTATCAGGAAAAAAAGAAATATGCACCAAAACTACCAAAGTCTAGCCTCGAATATTACGAATTGATGACTGGGTAGAAGACGGCGGAAAGGAGTTGTAGTGGAATCAGGCGTCATGTGATGGTGAACAGAGAACTCACTCGCGTTGATCACCTTGGGATGACAGGCGATGAGTTGCTGAAGCTTCTCTCTTCGACTTTTTGCGTTGATGAAGAGTTGTACTAAGCTAAATTTTCTGTTATTTGGGCCGAGTGATCATTTACTAAGGATGAAGTAGTGTAACGCAGGTAATGCAAGGTAAGGTGAGAAAAGCAAATGCGGATGTTAGGGGCTTCATATTATAATGATATGCGAAGCGCAAAGCCACAAGACAGATCCATGGCCACGGCGCCGCAGCTCGCTTGGCTGATGGAGGAAGACAGGTGGAGCAGGAGGAGCAGGAGGTATTCAGGGATGGTATTTCGACGGAGTATATTGGGCCCAGACTTACTGTTTGGGGCAATTGGTTACCATGCCAATCAATGTGAGATGTTCAAAGGCTTTGCTGCGTGTTCTTGAATCATGCCTTGGTCAGGGTATCTCCGTTACTTCCAACTCCTGTAATCTGTACCATCGGTACCATCTGTATAATCTGTACAACTGGCTAGGAGATGGGAAGTCTCCAAGCTGGGAACGGCTAGGTATGGCTTCTGAGTGCTCAAGTGCGAGAATATCGATTTGAGGGATCTCTTCTCAGTGGGCAAATCGATGCCCCTCTATTACTCCATATAGCCATTGAGGGCCGGATGTCGCTTCAAGGCTCGGGTTGATGATTTTTGATACCCCACTCTTCTTACCTAAAACCAATCGTCCCGTGAAGCTGCAGGAACTAGTTGTTCACTACGTAGCACTCTGTTCCATTCACAGCACTAAATAAGGTAGTAGATACTTTGCTTGAGTACGGTAAGCTTAATGATGTCCCATGCAGTACATCATTTTCTTCTTTTGGCTTTCAGTCTCATTCTTTGCCACCGAGGATTCTACTTCGTAATAGCCATGGTAACGACTCGCGGTGGCTGCTCCGGAAGGTCCATTGAACTCCTCCTCCTGCAGGTCGAGGAAAATCTCGAACAAAAAGTGATGACGCTTTCTCCGCCGGCAACCCCTGTCGGCCTTCCACCATGAGACTAGCGTGCCAAGCGTTTTTATCAGATCCGTCGAATCCTTGTGATTTGCTGCTCGTCTATGGCATCCTTGCGAACTGGTGGTGGACTGGCAGGACTGCCCGGTAACGCCCGTTTCCCGACATCGGAAACCAACGTCTTTCGCCTGTGGGAGTTGTTTCGCTGTCATCAAGTGGCTTGCGTGAATCCACAGAGACAAGGGCCGACTTAATCAGATGGAGAGATAATCTTTTCCTTCCACCCCGAAGTTGGACCCCACGTCCACCATACATCACTGATGCATGTGAGGTTGGGATACCATACCTTGGATGAAGTGGTTCGAGAAATCGCGCTATGGCTGACACGGAATGCCGCGGCGGTGTTACGGGAAGTGATGACAAGTTGTTCCAGTTCCTAAGTTGCAACTAGACATATTCTGGACCTGATATAATTGGAGTTTGTGTTGTCAATACGCACAACTTAAATTCGCATCATTGCGGTAGCCCTGGCTCCGAGAGATGAAGACGAGATATATCTTAGCTTCTGAAGGGCAAAGAATATAGTAGAGTCTAAAGAAGTAGATTGAATAGGTACTGAAACCATAGTCCAATGTGTCTTCTATCCTCGTCAAGAAAAGACGAACCCAGTTTGGTTACTTTTAACACGGGTGTTGGACGAATTGACTAGGAACTGTCGACGATATATGCTATTCAAAGCAGCACATTAATTGGAAAGGATACTAAAGAAAGAGGCTGGGTTTATACCCGGCTCAGGGTCCCTGGGATTGGCGGGCAGGGCAATCAAGTGTCGCGACCAGTTCTAGAACAATTGGTGACCTCCAGATATTGGGAGCCCATTCGATGCATCTCTCTGGACTCTAGATGCAATTCTGCGGAGCAGCCGGCATGACCTTGTGTTGATGGTAAAGCCTTTCAATAGCTGAAGCTAGGGAGTGCTCTTTGAGCCGTCAAGGCCTCAACTCATGACTAGGAACATTGGTGAAGGGGTGATACTTGGACAGTACAGTACAATTGATCTATTTTGGAGTAGAACGAGTAATCTCATCGGGAATAGAGATGTTTGTCTTACGCAATAGCTGAAAAAAGGCTTGATTTCTCGGTGGAATGAGAGAAGGGGATCTGCATGGTGTATATTCGAGGGGCTTTACAGCATGCATACATCCCTTGTCCAGCGTCGCCCCACGCGGTTGTGAAAGGAAAGAATGCTTGTTTCTTTTTTGGGTTCCTTGCGGAAAACCCATCTCCCAGAGTCGAACATGGACTTTCTAGATAGTTTGAATCTATACTTCAGAGTTTCAGATACTCGGAAGGGGTGCGCTGGACACAATGCCACCCTTTGATGCAAGGAAATGTCATGATCGTCGCTTGACAACTTATAAAGGAATGAGTACAGACTGGAATACTGGACAACATCTCCTTTACCGAGTGATTTGATGGCTGCAGCGATGCAGGAAGGCGGATGGATGTGGTGACCAGATGGACGAGCATGGACAGAAGGCACAAACTGGTGGGGGGTTGCCAAGACTTTTTATCTGATCTTTTGCATCGGATGATGGGCGGGTACAGTGGAAATAGAGTAGTGGTACCAAATGTGGCAATCGGCAAGGGCCACCAAGGCTTAGCCCGAAATTAGGTTTGGCAATCTCAGGATCTGATAAGATCAAGGCCGAGAGATTATCGCCGAAGTGGATACCTTATAGAAAAATCTTCCCTGCTGCGTCGGCGTCGGCAGAAGCGTGTCTTGTATACAAAGGAGGGGTATATGGTCGTAAAGACGGAGAGGGAAATAATAGGTAAAGCTTGTTATAGCGATATAAAAACATATAAGTTGTATTATATAAGCACTACTAGGGTATATACAAAGGTAGTTAATAGATAACCTCCTTTATATTTAGTTCTAAATCGTTTCACTTCGTTTTTAATTTGTTTTCTATAAAGAATAAAATAAAGTAACAATAATATAAAATAATCTAGAAAAATAACATTAATTCTTATAAATATTAAAATCTAATAGGGATTTTATTCTTATATAACCTTTTAACTAAACTCTTAACTAATTAGTTTATTATATAAAGTAATATTAAAATAAGTACTTGTATTAAAAAACTATAATAAAATTATAAATTAAAACTCTAGCTTTTTAATTATTTCAAGTTATAAGATATTTGTATCTAAAAAAAGTAGGAACCTTATTTTATATAGGTAGTTATTTGTCTTATTTAAATATTTTATCTTATAATCTAATTAATATACGAACATGGAATTAGTACCGCGTTATTTTTTATAACCAAAATGCACACCACAAAAGTCTTACACGTTCTTGATCTACATGAAACCCTCTGGGCGGTCCACGAGATGGATATTTCCGCGACGATTTTCTTAGAATTAACATGTAAATTTACTCGTAACCCAATTGTATTAGGTAAGGGTCGGGTCCCCGTAATTATCTTCCTGTAGCGCGTGGCTACGGCGGCCATTGGAAAATAAAGTGCTCCAACTTCGCGGGATGCACTAGGCACGTACGGAGCACCACTGTCTGCACAACTCATATTCTGTACAGTACTTGTACTATACGAATGCAGAGAAGGCACTGAAGCCCTGAAGATCCTCATCCGGAATGTCCACGGCTCCACGCTCCACGCACCACCAAAATTCGCGTGGGCATGAAACCCCATGGCAGCCCGTGGCAGTGGCAGTGGCCGCCCGATGCGCAGAAGCCAAAATGGTGATGGCATCATCGCTGGGACGAAGCGAGACAACCTACTGTAGTCTGGCCTCCTGGCCAATCACGATACCACCCACCAATGGTACCTCGTTCAATCTCCCCAACACTGAAGAATATACAATTTTTGTCCCTCATAAAACGGATATGAGCATCTCCCAAAAGAAATTCTGAGAGCAAACCCCATGATTAGAAACCCGGGTCTGGTGATTGGCTGCAGCCCCGAGCTATCCAGTTGAATTGGATTCTTTCTTGTTTCGTGACAAAGAAATAGATACCTTTCATCTGGGCTATATCTATCTTGCCCCTTTGTCGTTCGTCAACTGAACTGTTGCCATTCAATATTCTAGGTGCCTAGCTAGCGAGCTCACAAAACACCTTACCACCCCCTATCCCTTTCTCGCTACTGCAGGTATAATACCAATCCAATCATAGCAAGCCCACATGAAGGCCAATCATTCGCTAACCCTTATCCACAGCTACTTTCTTTGTCCACAAGCATTCACTGTACTGTGGCACCCCTTCAACGCCACTTGGCTCATACCATACCATAACTCGACCCTTGATCATAAACCTAGACCTGCCGACATACCAACCTTCATCCAATCATGAGACGGAAATTTTAACCGCCAAACTCCACCATGTCTGACAGTCTCTCCATTCTCAACGACCCGCCCAAGCGGATTGACGGACCAGGGCTTCTCCATCAAATGATACAGTGGGACGATTACAATACTGCTCGCGCTATTGACTTTACTGCCAATGGCCATAGAAGACAATACACGTACGAAGAAGTTCAAATTTGTGTGAGGGTCTTGGCTTCCAGAATACATGAAGCCCTCAGTCTGACCATACGCCCTGTCACCAATCCAATCCACTCACAACGCCAGCATATTGTTCCCGTCTTACTTCCACAATGTCCAGGTCTCTATATTTCTCAACTCGCAATTTTGGAATCAGGTGGCGCCTTTTGCCCAATCACCTTAGATTCCCCAACGGAAAGAATCAGATTTGTGGTGAGCGACGTTGCTGCCAGTTTGATCATCACTACGTCCGAATTTAAAGATGCTGTCTCCTGGGAGGGTGGTCCTATGGTTCTACTCATCGACCAGTTCCCTACTATCCCATCAATCCAACCCTCGTGCTCTGGGTATCGTCTTGCTCACTCCGAAGACCTAGCATATGTTATGTACACTTCGGGATCTAGTGGACAGCCCAAGGGTGTAGCTGTCAGCCACTTAGCTGTCACCCAATCTTTGCTTGCACATCAAAGGCATATACCCCAGTTTCGTCGGTTTCTACAGTTTGCCGCTCCCTCATTTGATGTCTCCGTTTTCGAAATTTTCTTTCCTCTAGTTCGTGGTTGCACACTAGTTGGATGTGATCGGACTTATCTCTTAAACGACTTACCAGGAATGATCAACGACTTAGATGTTGATGCAGCTGAGCTTACACCAACCGTTGTCGGGTCTCTTCTGCAAAACAGATCTAATGTCCCTAATCTCAAACTCCTACTAACTATTGGCGAAATGCTTACGTGGCCAATTGTTCATGAATTCGGAGGCTCTGAAGCAAAAAGCACTATGTTATATGGGATGTATGGACCAACCGAAGCAGCTATTCATTGTATAATCTACCCCGCCATGAAAGATGGCGCGCCGCCAGGAAATATTGGAATTCCTTTCGACACAGTTTCCACCTTCATCGCCGCCCCAGGGAACTCAAACGACACAGAAAACGATTTGAGGTTGCTCGCTATCGGTGAAATTGGAGAGCTTGTTCTGGGAGGTCCTCAGCTTGCGCGAGGCTATCTGAATAGAGAAGAGGAAAATCGACTGGCATTCATCCAAGCCCATGGCACTACTTATTACCGAACTGGTGATAAAGCAAGGCAGCTTCATGATGGCACAATCGAAATTCTCGGGCGCATGAGTGTAGGTCAGGTCAAACTTCGTGGGCAAAGGATTGAGCTTGGGGAGGTGGAGCAGGCCATCTACAAGCATCCTGGTTTGAAATCGGTCGTAGCTCTTGTGACAAATAGCACTCTTGTTGTATTCGCCTTGGTTGGGTCACAGACTGTTGATCCTGCTGATATTCAACGTACTTGCGCCAAATGGCTCCCAAAATTCATGGTCCCTGGCGAGATTGTTATACTTCAAGAGTTCCCCTACCTGCCGTCTGGAAAAGTTGATAAAAAGAGGCTGGAAACAGATTATCAGCAACGGGCAAATGATGGGCACGGCAACTCAGCTTCTCTCACCGCGACAGAAAGAATTGTTCACAATATTCTACAGGATCTTCTTGGTCCATTTTCTCCTGACAGAAGACTCGCAGGAGTTGGTCTTGATTCCCTTGTAGCGATCAGAGTGTCATCAAAGTTGAGGGAACTCAACTTTAACATCACTGCCGTGTCAGTATTACATGCGGAAACTTTGCCAGAACTAGCTCAAGCTTGTGAAGAATCTGTATCAGCCACTACTCCGACTCCGACGCCCAATAGGAAGAGCAACATGAACATGGATACATCTGAATTGATGGCTGTGATAATTGGACACGGGAGCGGCGTTGAATCGGTGATGCCTTGTACACCACTCCAATCTGCTATGTTAGCGGAGACTGCAGCGGACTCAAAGGCTTACCGGAATTGGATCGAGCTGGGATTCTCGGGTCATCCTAGTTTTGAAACTTTATCTTCAGCTATCAATCGACTCGCAGAACTAAACCCTGTCTTGAGGACGGGGTTTGCGGAATCCTCAACATTCGAGGGATTCGCTCAAATTGTATGGAATTCTCTCCAGGGTCAACAGGTGGAGTTGGTTCAAGAGCTTAACTATGGTCTTTTTTCAATAGAACGCACTTCACTGCATCACCCCATCCAATTCCAGATATTGAACACTGCTGATAACTCAAAAGTATTAATACACATCCATCATGCTCTGTATGATGCCTGGTCCCTGGAACTACTTCTTGATGATTTCGATTGTCTTTTGAGAGGGCAGTCTCCAAAGACACGCCCGTCATTTGCCTCGGTAGTTCAGGGATATGCAGATGGCACTTTCAACACCAATCAATGGCTTTCTAAACAATACTGGAAAGACCATATCAATGGCTTGGATCTCCGAGTCCTTCCGAACTTTCATAGTCAAAAGTCCGAATTAAATGGCCTAGCAATACGAAAATACGACTCATCGATCCCAACATCAGATGTTGAATCTGCAGCAAGATATCTTAATTGCAGCTCTCAGTCAATATTTCAGGCAGCGTATGCCATGATACTTAGCTCATATCATGGTTCTTCAGACATATGCTTTGGCACGGTATTTTCAGGTCGAACTTTACCGATCCCAGGAATTGAAGAAATTGTTGGACCTTGTCTCGCAACGCTACCCATCAGGGTCGATACCTCTTTGTTTCTCGACTTCCATACCTTGATCAAAGACATCAATTCAATCAATAGAAAACATCTAGAGCACAGCAATGTTCCTCTACGCGAGATCAAGTCATCCGTAGAGGTTCAACCACAGCAATACCTGTTCGATACTCTGATGATATGGCAACAAACTCTTCATAGTTTTGATCACAGTCGGAAATTTGTCACACTCATCGACACGAGGGATAATCTTGAATTCAATCTCACCTTGGAGGTGATACCTGGGAAATGGAATGTAGTATTGAAAGCAAATTATCGGCAATCAGTATTCCCAGAACTCCAGATAGACCTTCTGCTTCGTCAACTAGAAGGCATTGTTAAGCTGGCCATAAAGGACCATAAAAGCACACCATTGGGAAGCATTTTCGACGATCTTGAGCACGATGTTATGTCCATTGAGAATTCGAACCCAATGACCGATCAAAAGCCTGAAACCTTGTCATCTCCTGTGGAACGAATAGCATTGCAGGATCCAACTCGTATAGCAATCGAGTTCGCGACTGACATCAACTCACAAAATCTAGAATCAACAAGCATTACTTATTTCGACCTTAACATACGTGCCAATCAAATGGCTCATCACTTGCTCTCGCTAAATGTTCTACCGGATGAACTTGTCTGCATATGTATGGAAAAGTGTGTCGATTTGTACTCTTCAATTCTCTCTACAGCCAAAGTTGGAGCTGGCTACCTTCCTCTTACTCCTGACGTCCCCGAGGAACGCCTTCGACGCATACTAAAGGAATCAAAAGCCAGAGTTGCCGTGACGCACTCGTCGCTACGGCCGCTATTCAAGTTGTTTCGTGATATTGAGGCTGTCTACATTGATGAGGTTAATTTCAGTTGCTATCCAAGCAACAACCCTTCTTATGTGTCACGTCCGGAGTACGTGTCTTATTGTGTGTTCACTTCCGGGAGCACTGGTGTTCCAAAGGGAGTTTTGGTGACACAAGGCAATCTTTTGAGTAACCTTGACGTATTAGAGGAGCTTTACCCTGCGAATGAGCACTCGAGATTCTTACAATCTTGCTCTCAAGCTTTTGATGTATCAGTTTTCGAGATATTTTTTACATGGAGAATAGGAGGTTGTATCTGCTCAGCTATTAAGGACGTGATATTCCGCGATATCGAACAAGCTATAAGGTTGTTGGATGTCACCCACTTGAGCTTGACGCCAACCGTCGCAGCTCTGGTAGATCCCAAAAATGTCCCGAATGTAGAATTCCTCGTCACAGCAGGAGAAGCAGTTACTCAGAAGGTCTTCAACGCCTGGGCGGATAGGGGGCTCTTTCAAGGTTACGGCCCAAGTGAAACTACAAACATCTGTACTGTCAACCCAAGAGTCACACACAACGACTCAATTAACAACATCGGACGGCCATTCAAGAATACATCGGTCTTTGTTCTATCTCGACATGGGGAGTTTTCAGTGGTTCCCAAAGGTGGAGAAGGAGAACTGTGTTTTGGTGGTTCTCAAGTTTTCCGAGGCTACATTAATGAAAGCCAGCAGGTTGGAAAAATAATAGAACACCCTCAATTTGGTCGTCTATATCGAAGTGGTGACTTCGGACGACTGATGTGCGATGGTACGTTAGCATTCACGGGAAGAAAAGATGACCAAGTCAAGATCAGAGGGCAAAGAGTGGAGCTTGGTGAGATTAACAATGTCATGTTAACGTCGAAAGAAGTTCATGATTGCGTAACGATCGTCATCGAAGTTGGCGGAAACTCGCAGCTGGTGTGCTTTTGGACCACCAGCGTCAACGCAACTGGCGATCTCATCTGTCTCCAGCCTGACCAGGAAATTACCTCGCTTCTATTCAAACATCTAGAGTCATCGCTTCCGACATATATGATACCTTCCACACTAATCCCTCTATCGCATCTTCCATCAACATCACAAGGCAAAATCGACAAGAGACTGTTGGTGAGCGAATATGAAGCTCTTGACATTAAGTATCTTGAGAAAGCGTCACGAACGGAAACATCCTCTTCCAATCATGAGTGGACAGCTCTTGAAAAAGAAATAGCACAAGCAGTTTCACAAGTTACGAAAATGGAGATCAACCAAATACAGCCCGACACATCATTCTTCACGCTTGGAATAGACTCAATCTCCGCTATACTACTGTCGAGAACTTTAAACTCATCAATATCACGTCAAGTGGAATTTTCACAAATACTCAAAAACCCCTCCGTGGTGAGATTGGCTGGTGTGCTTCATCATGCAGTACCCGTTGTCAGCAGTATTGAGGCTATTAATTTCGATTTCGGATTAGATCCTAAGTTCGTCAATGCTACGATTGAAACGTTCAAGCAAATGGGGAAAATTGTGCAATCCACTGTGCCATGTACACCTTTACAAGAAGCCATGCTCTCAGCCAGCGAGTCAACATCCAAAGACTTGTATAGTAATGAGGTGATACTGGATGTTCACGGGGATATTGCAAGGATCCGGAATTGCTGGCAGGAAATGGTACAGAGGCATGATATTCTTCGGACATCGTTTGTGGCGACTGATGATCCACGATATGCCTATGCGCAGGTAGTTCTGAAAGGACACATGCTGGATATCAAAAATGTCAATGAGAATAAAGAGCATGGAGATAACTCCACTTTGATAAATGGACGACTATTCGAGGATAGAAACTTCGAACCGCCTTACAGCGTCGAGGTTCTGGAATCAGCTACATCCACGCGACTACGTATAACAATGCACCATGCGCTCTACGATGCCGTGGCCCTGGCGATTTTATACGAAGAAGTCGAGAGGTTTTATCATGACGAGGCTCTCCCAATCCCAGTGCCATTTTCTCCTTTCTTACAGTTGATGTCTTCCATGGACATGGAAGCAGCAGACCAGTTTTGGGGGAACGTATTGAAAGGTCATCTTCCAAAACCCTTCCCGCGCTCCGTAGAATCCATTAAATCTCAGCAACCAGCTCAGACATCCCCTCAAATCCAAACTCTGGCGTCGGGGATTTCACTGTCTTGGCTAGAAGGATGTGTGAAGGAAAATAGCACTTCTCTATTGGCAGTTTGTCAAACGACATGGTCTGGTCTTCTATCGGAGTATCTCCAGGAAAAAGATGTTTGCTTCGGCAGCATCGTTAGTGGACGGACAGTGGCAATTGAAGGAATTGAACGTCTAGTCGCTCCATGTTTCAATACCATTCCAGTCCGACTTCAAGACATCCACAAAATTTCCTACCTAGAAGCGTTTCGAAAGTTACAGGCCTTGAGTATTGAGTCGTTGCCCTTTCAGCTCACACCACTCCGTCGAAACCAATCCAAATTCAGTCCCAACGGTTCTCGACTTTTTGATACCCTTTTCATTTTACAACAGCCACCTAGAGAACTAGACCCTTCTATTTGGTCGCTATCGGAGGATAGAGGTGCAATGGACTTTCCTATCGTTATTGAGGTTGTTCCCAGACCGAAAGATGATACACTCAAAATTACTCTACATTCTTATTCCTCTGTTCTTTCTTCAACAGACGCTATCTCTATTCTAGAATCATTTGAAAAGAGGTTAGAGGAGTCACTTAAAACTCCCCGAAAGCAGATATTGTCCCCTGATATCAAGGAGAAGATTCTCGCAAGTTCTGCAACTAGGACTGCTAAAACATCAAGTGTGGCCCAACCAATGTCGGCACAAGTGATGAGTGCAAATGAAGAGATGATCAGAGATGCACTGGCGGATTTTACAGATGTTCCCAGAAGCAGGATTTCGAGAGATGTGAGCATCTTCCGGCTTGGTCTTGATAGTATCAGTGCAGTTCAAGTGGCAACTCGATTACGGAAACTCGGTCATAATATGATGGCAAGCGATATATTGGAACATCCAAGTATAGCTGACTTGGCTGCCCACCTCGAAAATCGCGAGAAGAAACCCCTTAGCGAAAGGTTTTACGACTTTGAACTCTTCGACAAGACTCATCGAGAAGGAATCATCGCCAGCAATGATTTACGTGCTGATACCATTGAGAGCATCAGGCCATGTACAGTTGTTCAGCAAGGAATGATCGCGCAAAGTCTACATTCTCAGGGCGAAGAATATGTCAATAGCATGTGGATGGAGCTTGAACCTACGGTCTCGGTCTCAAGATTACGAGATGCGTGGTCTGAAACTCGCAAGTCCAACGAAATTCTTCGCACTGGGTTTGTCACGACGGATGACCCTCGGAATCCATTCGCGATGGTCACCTATTCCGATGATACACTCCAGCTACCTTTTTACGATGGTGAGAATCCTGTTCAGTTGTTGATCAAGGACCTCAAGCGTCCATGGTTTCTGTCCATAAGAGAAGAAGGTGGGAAGAGTACGATGAGACTTACTGCACACCATGCTTTGTATGATGGACAATCACTTCAGATGATTTTCGAGGATGTCGCCAGAGCTTATACATCGGGGTCTGTTGACGAACGTCCATCAATAAGCTCCTTAATTGGAGCGATACTGTCTACGGCTGGAGAGAATATAGAAGCCCAGAAAGAATTTTGGCTCCTGGAGGAGAATACAGTTGTCATCAACAAATTTCCAGAACTCACACCTCTCCAAGTCGCATCGAACAGAAGCTCGGTTCGAGAAATCATATCGAGAAGCTCCCTTGCTCGGCTCGAAAACGACTGCAGAGATAATGGTGTCACGATGCAAGCAGCATGCCAAGCTGCATGGGCAAGATTGCTCGCTGCGTATACCGGGGAGAGCTCTACGACCTTTGGGATGGTTCTATCGGGTCGCTCGGTTTGTGAAGAAGCTGAGAGAACATCCTTCCCTAGTATGGTCACACTCCCAGTTCGATGCAATATTGTGGGGGCAAACACAGAGCTTCTCCAAAGAACAATGACACACAATTCGAAACTCCAGAATTATCAGTTTTCATCTCTCACCTCAATCCAAAAATGGGCTGGTTACCCTGAAGGAAAGATATTTGACACCCTTTTCGCTTATCAAAAGCTTCCCGAATCTGAGGACCCTATAGTTATGCCATGGAAACTTGTTCGCGAGGAGGCTGCTGCTGATTATGCAGTGTCGCTGGAGGTACAGCCTATGGGTTCTGATGAACTTGTTATTCGGCTCACTTTTAGAGAGGACATCATTCCTATCGAACATTCTGGCATCTTGCTTAGACAGTACGACTCAATTCTGCTTGATATTCTGGAAAATCCGGGGAATGCTTGCGATGTTGCCTTGGGGTTCGGACCTGATTTGTTGTCTATCACGCCTGCTACAGAACATGAGCTGCCGAGTGAAATTATGCTCTTACATCAGTTTGTGGAAAGAGGGGCTCGACAGTGGCCGAACAAGAAGGCGTTTGAATTTGCTTCATCGCTGGATCCTGGAAATACCAAAATCCAATCATGGAATTATGCTGAACTAGAGGAAGAAGGGAATAAGATTGCGCAGTTTCTTGTTGATCGAGGGGTTCAGTCTGGAGAACTAATCGCAATTTCCTTTGATAAGTGTCCCGAAGCGTCATTTGCAATCATTGGCATTCTAAAAGCCGGATGTGCTTACGTTGCTCTGGATCCAAATGCACCCATTGAACGTGTCCAATTTATTCTTGCAGACTCAGCAGCCAGACTTGTTCTCACATCCGGGAAGCCTGGGCAAGCTTTGAAAGGCAATGTCGACCAGGAGATTATACTTCTTGACTCTAATGAAGTCTGGTCTATTTATAGTTCTGAACCTCCAGAACTATCAAGAGAAACCCTACCACAAGATGTTTCGTACTGCCTCTACACATCTGGAACGACAGGGACGCCCAAAGGCTGTCTAATCACCCACGAAAATGCCGTCCAAGCAATGCTCTCATTCTCAAGACTCTTCGCGGATCATTGGACCGAAGATTCAAAGTGGCTCCAATTTGCCTCCTTTCATTTCGACGTCAGCGTACTCGAACAATTTTGGAGCTGGAGTGTTGGAATTTGTGTATCTTCAGCACCTAGAGATGTCATATTTGAAGATATCCCTGGCACTATACAAAGATTGGGCATCACACATATCGACCTTACCCCCAGTCTTGCACGGCTTCTACAACCTGAAGACGTTCCATCGTTGTGTAAAGGCGTCTTCATCACTGGCGGTGAGCAACTCCGTCAGGAAATTCTCGACGTTTGGGGTGAGCATTCTTGTGTCTACAATGGGTATGGGCCAACTGAAGCTACCATCGGCGTCACAATGTACCCTCGTGTTCCTAGAAATGGCAAACCTTCGAATATTGGACCAGCATTTGATAACGTAGGCTCTTTCGTATTGAAACCTGGTACGGAGATACCTGTTCTTCGCGGTGGTGTGGGTGAGCTATGTGTTTCCGGAAAACTGGTTGGGAAGGGATATCTCAACCGTCCTGACTTGACCACAGAAAGATTCCCAACTTTAAAAGATTTTAGGGAACGAGTTTACCGCACGGGAGACCTTGTACGAATTCTTCACGACGGTTCATTCATCTTCCTTGGTCGAGCTGATGACCAGGTCAAATTGAGGGGTCAAAGACTGGAACTTACGGAGATTAATGAAGTGATCAAAAAGGCCGTGGAGGTGTTGCAAGATGTGGTTACTTTAGTGTTGAAATACAGCACCCAGCAAAAGGAACAACTCATCACGTTCTTCGTCTCCGCCACCCAACCAGAGTTGCAAACTCGTGGAGCCCTGATTCAGCAGATGAGAGATTCTTGCAAAGCCCGTCTTCCTGGATATATGATCCCCACACGCTTCATTCCCATCGAAAAACTTCCACTAAATGCGAATAATAAGGCGGACTCGAAACAACTCGCAAAGTTCTACAATGACATGAGTGTCGATGAGCTACAGGCATTAAGCCGCTCGGATCAGAAAGACCTGGATTGGAATCAGAAAGAGAACACAGTGGTGGCTCTCATTGCAGAAGCTATGAGAATCCAAGATATCTCAACCATCACTCGGAGCTCGAATATTTTCGAGCTTGGTCTTGATTCTATTTCCATCATCGGCTTCTCTCGTGCGCTTCACAAATCCGGATTGCAGAACGCCAAAGTGTCTGTGATTAGAAATAATCCAAATATAGTTGCTCTTGTTGCGGTACTTTCTAGTGATGCACATTTGGAGAATGAGATGGAGAATGACTATATTGCTGCCATTCAAAACATCGCTGCATTTGAGCAGAAACATAAAGCTGGTGTGTGTCTGGAACTGGGTATTGAGGCTATGGAAGTGGACTGTGTTATGCCTTGTACACCGGTGCAGGAAGGGATGATATACCGTTTTCTGGAGAGTGACTTTCCTCTTTACTTCAATGGATTTTCCTTCCGAATACAGGAAGGTATTGATATTGAAAGGTTACTTGGGGCATGGAAACGAGTCGTCGATAAAGTCCAGGTCTTGAGAACCAAATTCGTCCCTACTGATGATGGATTTGCGCAGGTTGTTTTCAAGAGCGTTGGGGTTTCATGGGCGGAAGCTCCCATTGATTATTCTGCGATGGAAAAGCTGACTGCCTTGAGATCTCCGTACACTCTTAGGACGGAAAAGGATTCTCACGGTAAAGTTTTGAAAATTCAGATCTTTCATGGTCTCTATGATGGGATCAGCCTCACGAAACTTCTTCAGAAGGTGGTTGAAGAGTTCAAAGGTTCTAAATCAGTGGATTATGGACCGTCTTTCCAATCTTCGTTGCCGTATGGACCTCTCTCAAGGGTCGATGGTGCTCAAGAGTTCTGGGTTGATCACCTCAAGGAATGGTCCTATAAATCAATTCCCACGATTTCGGACTCGCAAAAGGATGTTGTCGCGAGGTTAAAACTTACCAATCTCTCGGGTCTTGAACAGTTCCGCAAATCATTAGCCGTTACACCGCAAGCCCTTGTCCAGGCAGCCTGGCTTTCGGTCCTTCAAACAATCACCTCCTCCAAGGCAACGCTTGGTCTCGTCATTTCTGGTCGAAGTATTGATTTCGAAGACGCCGAAAATGTGATTGGTCCTTTATTCAACACCGTTCCCTTTCACTGCGATATTTCAACATCGCAGAATTTCAAAGATTTGATTCTGAGATGTCACGAGACCAATATGCGGATGCAGAATTTCACCCATACACCGCTGAAAGACATCCAGAAGTGGAGTGGTGCGAAGACGAGACAGCCTTTATTTGAGTCGTTATTTGTGTTTCAGAGGGAGAGAGAGGATGAAACAAATTTCGCGGACGGGGTCTGGAGAGAGGAAGTGGATAAACTGGTAGCCGATTATAAGATTGCTTTTGAGGCTACAATGGGAATTGATGGGGAATCTCTGGGCTTGATTATTGTTGCGAAAGGGGATGTGATTACTATGGAAGCGGCGAATGAGTTGCTGAGAATGATGGAAAAGACTTTGCATGATGTTATTGCCAATGAGGGAAACATGAGTATTCCAGGGAATAAGTCATCAATGACGGAATTAGCACCTGATGTTGAGGGTAAAGTGGGCTCTTCGTCAAATGGAGCATCTAAGCAAGATTTCTCCGACGAAGTCTTCGAATGGACAGACGATTTCAGATCTATGAGAAAGGAGATATCGGAGCTGGCACAAGTCTCGGAGCTTTCGGTTCATCATACATCATCCATATTCGAACTTGGTTTGGATAGTATTGACGTTATCAAGTTGTCTTCTAGGCTGAAGAAAAAGGGGATCGAAATGCCGGTTAGCGCAATCATCAAAGCTCAAAGTATTTCAGAGATGGCACTCAATCTCTCCTCAAAACTGAACCAGGGTTCAAAGGAATCTTCAGCAAAACTTCTCGAGGACATAAGTCAGGCACTTTCGAAGTCGCTAAAAGAATCTGGCAGACTACCCGGAGAACAGGAATTGATTTTGCCTGCCACGCCACTCCAGCAAAGTATGGTCAACGAGATGGTTCGATCTGACTATAAACGATACCTAAACATTGATGCTCTTGAGCTCCGTAGCAACGTCGATTTTGAGAGGCTCGTATCTGCCGTAAACATGGCACTCGATAATTCTCCTATCTTCCGGGCAACGTTTGTGCAGGTGGAAGAACCCAGTTTGTCGGTCAGCTACGCGCAAATCATGCCTCCTACGCAGCATAAATGGTCTGCATGCTACAAGCACACTTTGTTGCCAGAAGAGAGCTTTGATGAGTTCATGGGGGATCTCAGCCGAAAATGCATATCATTCGCAAGGGATCGAGGTGAACTATTCCAGCTACACTTCGTCGATTCTGACGCTGCTCAGTATTTTGTCATGGTGGCTGCGCACGCATTGTATGATGGCACTTCTATGCGATTATTCCACGAGGATATCGTAAAAGCGTATCATAAGAGACTCGAGCCTCGAATAGACTTCACACCCTTCTTGGGCGAGGTGGTGCGTTCTACGACCGAGGAAGCTAAGAAATTCTGGAAGAGCACATTGAGTGGCCTGCCTGTTGCAGTGTTACCGAAGAAGCAGGTTTCTGAAGAGGAGGGTTCTAAAATTTATCGCCTCGAGAAAACATCTCATGTATCATTGAAAGATGCCGAGGACCTTTGCAGATCTTCAAGGGTCACTTTACAGACCGTCGGTCAGACCGCTTGGTCACTCGTTCTCGCTCAATTAATGGGCCAACTTGACGTTGTTTTCGGGTCCGTTCTCGCTTGTCGGGATACAGAAGAGGCAAACCAAGTCATTTTCCCCTTGATGAACACCGTGGCTGTACGATCCGTTTTACATGGTACTTTGGACGAAATGCTCAGTTACATGCAAAATATTAGTGATACTACGAGACAGTATCAACACCTCTCTCTCGGGACGGCTCAGGCGTATGCCTTGTCATCAAGACAACCTGACGATTCGAAGGACACTACAATCTTTGACACCTTGTTCATCTATCAAGGCCGTAGAAGCACGGTACAGGCGGAGAAACTTTATGATAGTGTTTATGGTGTAAGTGATGTTGAGTTCCCTGTTTGTGTTGAGATGGAAGTAGTGGATGGAAAGATCGTCTGGACTACAGCGTGCAAGGCGGTTGCAAGGACAGAAAATGAAACCTCTGTGTTGCTCGACTCATTGGACTTGGTGCTTCAAAAGCTTGTTGAGAATACTAAGGTCCCTACATTCACATCGGATTCGGAGGGGATTTCTGTTTGTGGGCTACAGAAGTTTGAGGTAGCCAGGTCACAACCCAGGATTGCTGCTGTTCCAGCTCAAAAGATAAGTGAAGAGTGGTCGGAAGTTGAACTTAAGATTCGGAGAGCGCTTCATGAGGTTTCCGATGTACCTGAAGAATCTATCCGCAAGGATATGACTATCTTTCACTTGGGATTAGATTCAATCCTTGTTCTCAAACTTCCTGCTCTTTTTAGAAGGATGCAAATCACACTTAGCGTCTTCGACGTTTTACGAGAACAAACAATCGATGCCATGTCCAAACTCATCGCAAGCGCGGAGCCGAAGGTTGAAAAGGTTATTGATGTGGAAGGGATTCTCAAGAGAGCTGTTGATGAGATTGGTGGCGAAGAGGAGTTGAATGCTTTGAGTCAGGAAATTGGAGAAATTGCATATGTTATGCCTGCTACTGCCGGGCAGCTTTACATGATTCGACGATGGCAAGCTTCTAGAGGGGGATTGTTCAATCCCACCTTCACGTACAAAATATCTGCTGGATTCAACAAGGAGCAACTTGAGAATGCATGGAAAGGATTGCTCTCAAGACACGACATCCTCCGCGCGAAATTTCTGGAAGTTAATGACAAAATCCTGCAAGTCATTTTCAAGGAGCCAAAGAACGAAATCAAATACGAAACTGAAATCAAAGATGGGGCCGTGGTGCTCAAGCTCAAGATCCATCACGCACTTTACGACAGCACCAGTCTTCCCATCCTACTCAAAGACCTCCAGTCTCTTTACCTGTCAGAACCTCTAACACCAATCGATCAAGGGTTCCGCTCCTTTGTCGCACAGTCTCTGTCAGCTTCTCAGACAGCAAAACAGAAGTGGAACCAGTACCTTTCCGACGCACCACCCCCAGCTCCCCTTCCAAAACTTGCAAACATCAACAGACGCACCGAAATCTATCATCCCAGTCTCCCACTCAGTAATCTAGGAGCACAAGCACGAAACTTAGGTGTTACAATAGACACCCTCCTACTTGCCTCCGTTGCACGAACATATGCTCAACATTTGGGAACGAAAGATGTGGTATTTGGTATTTACCTTGCTAATCGTGCGGCTTTCGGAGAGGATCTTAGCACAGTGGTCGCGCCTACTCTTAATTTTATTCCGTTAGTTGTTCGTGCGGCGAAAGAGAGGGGACTAGAGGATATAGCGAGAGAGATTCAATCCGATCTTGGAATGTTCCATGAGCAGGAAATGGGATGTGTGAGCTTGGAGGAGGTAGGGAGGAGTGTTGGTTTGTTGGTCAATATTCTTAAGGATGATGAGGGAGAGGTTTATGAGAACGAAACGGGAGCTTTTGAGAGTGCGGATTCTTTTGGGGAAAGTTCCGGGGTTGTGGAAGGTGTTGAGGACGAGAGGTTTGCCGGGCTGGATATTCAAGGCTCTGAAGTTTATCAGGTAGTTTTATTCTCGTTCTCAAGTTGTTTTGGTGAAATACTAATGTTGCAATAGCCAACGATTGATGTCGAATTAAGGTACCGCCCTGCTGGTATGATCGATGTTGGTATTTTTGCCCCGACGGAAATGTTAGATGTGGAAACAGGCGAGGCATTTGTTGATACTTTCAAGGGGACATTTTTAGGTTGAGCATTCTTGTATTCCCCTTTATTTCTTTTCAAGTCAAGTTTAGCGTGCCCTGTATCAGACGATTGTCTTAGATAGCATGGAAAGAGAATCAATTCCCTGTCTCTTTGCTGAGAGTACACTCACCGTCACAGTATACCTAGGTGGGTATTGACCAAACCTGAAAGTTCAACAATCCAAGGGTTGAGATAAAGAGGCCTTCAGCTGAACATTCCCATTTCTTAACTCGTAATCTCCAGATCCAGTACAATACACTCAAGGCAACCTACCTAGGTATTGATCAAGATTGGCTTACAGGCCTGGAGGTGGAATTGACAATAAATTCACTTGATACCTAATTCATATCTAGTCAAACAGAATTTAATTTATGCTTACCTTAGGTATGGACTCTGAAGTGATTCCCTTGGGCTCATATAATATTTGTTGAATCCTTACTTTCGATTTCTCGTCTTCCTGTTTTGGGTAGCTCTGTTACTCTTTTGAGGAGTGTCTCAGGTAGGTAGGTCACAGGACTTGTGAAAGCAGTTCAGCATCTAGGTATAACTTGGTACCTAGAGGTATGTACCTATCTATGCCTCGTTAGGTTATTGAATTAAGTACCTACTATAGGTAGGTAGGTGTTGCTCATGTCCACCTCACCTGCACAGATTTCACCCCCCGCGATCACTTTTCGATGGTCAAAAATGGTGGAAGGTGCAGGTGGAAATGAAGAGGGCGAAGGGGGGGGGGGTTATACTCAGGGCGAGGACAGCAACGTGCATGCGTGCCTTCCCTCTCAGTGACCTTGAGCCCTCGTAATGTCTTGGCCTGAAGTCGAGACCACCCAAACGGGAACGACTGAAAGTGAATGGGGACGGGAGAGAGGGAAGGAACGACAGACCGCACCTCAAGTTGTCACCTCGAGGTCGAGGTTGAGGTCAAGGTGCGTCCCGTCGCAAATTGAGGTTCGACCAAACTGCATCCACTTCAGGCTCGACCATCGACTCGACCCCACCTAGGGCAGCAATTGAGGTCGCGCCTTCCATCCTTCACCCTTCACCCGACTCCATTGACCCCAATTGGAACTTCCAAACCAGGACGCACCTCTTGAACTCACCTCGCCTCGTCGCGGGCTGCAGGTGAGATTGTGCCTGGAGAAACGACACGACCTCAAGCCTCTCCTTACCGGCTTCAGGCTGAACTTTATCTGGGTACCTATAGGTAGATAGTTAGTACCGGGAAGCAAACAAACCGTGGAAAGCATTAATATATGAATGCATGCATTCCAGGTTATCAAGTTAATGGTCGCGTCGCTTACCTTGAGCGAATATTAAAGCCTAAAATGGGTGTACTATAGGTTTCTTCTACTTAATTTGTATTATTTTAAACGATTATTCGCTGAAGGATTAACTAGTTCTCATGTGAATTAGAGGTAGAGGCGTAGAATACAGCTCTATTATTTCTAATACGTTAACCTAATCTAAACTTTATTAATTTGATAAGTCCGTTCCAAGGAATAAATCCAGATAATAATATTTGGGTATATATGTTCTACTATAATAGGTTCAACGATAGGTACTAATACTCAAGAGAGATGGAGAAAGTGAGTTAGTTATACAGCTCAAGAAATACCTACATATTCATTTATTAGTTTAGAAGATATCCATTTAATAATATTACTCGAAATAAACACGAAAATCAAAATAAACTAATGATTGTTAAATAATATGATTTATTCAAAATATCGTCTTTAGTATAAATGTCTAATAAGTAATCAGAAAAGGAAGAAAAGTAACAAGTCTAATGTGGAGGATCTGAGTACAATTAACTGAATTCATACTTGTAGAATACGATATTATTTACTAGATCTATAGCGAATTCCATGGTGCTGTCTTATATAGACATATATATAGATGAGTAGGTACTAGCGGTTCAAATATACTAGATATGTCTTCTTTGACTTTCAGCCTGAATATACAAAGTCCTTTCTTTCTACGACTTTTCTACATTTCCAGAGAATTAGAGAACGTAGACTCAGCTAATAGACTTGGTTCTCTAAGCCATAGTGGGAGTATGGAGAGCATAGTATAGTGGCGTTCTCGAATCTTTCCTTGTGGAAGTAGCTTACGACTTTGTGGACTTTACTATTTTGGGGCTCAAGGGAGAGTACGTAAACTTTGTAATTACATAGCATCTCTAAGATCTTATACGAATCCACAATGTCTTCTAGCCGTTATAGCACTCTTCTCCCTCTTTCTTCTCCCTCTCTTCTCTTTCCACTAATTTCCCACTCCAGTTTCCGGATCGGACCCGTAAGTAGAAGCCTGACACCTGCGAACCCACTATTTTATAATACAATTAGTTTTCTTTTGTTTATAACAAAACGCCGGGGGATTATTAGAGCATATATAGTAGAGTTGATTACGCAGGATCTCGTGGTGAGAATATACAAAGTACGTCCCGCATACCCTCGATATAGAAAATCTTACCTCGTTAGGATCAATCATCTTTCCACTACTTATACACTTCGTAATACCATCAGGATCAAGAAGAGCCTGCTGAATTTTACAATCGCTACAATCCAATTGATTCCTAAAGACATCACAGACAGCATTCGTTGCTGTACTGTCATCTCTCCCCTAACAAATAATTAACGATATAATCTAAACAGAAGGAGAGACAAAGACTTACCTCAGGTATGTTTTGACAGTATGCCCACGAATAACCGGCAGCACTAACACTAGTCGCTAAAGCAGCGATAACAAGGAGATTCCGGAATTGCATATTATAGGTACTTCGGTAGATGCGATATTGCTTTCTTTGTAGGGAAACAAATTGTAGTTTGAAAGGAATACAAAAGAAGTTCTTAGAGTCTTCAGGCAATCCTCTTATATACGTCTTTCGCGCCTAGGTATTCGTCCGACCGGTCCGGACTCTCGCACTTGGCTAAAAACCTACATCGTCCTATGCATAATATTAATAACTTTTACGCCAAGCCGAGCTGTTAGAGAAGTAGAGCATTTCAACATCTCTACAGTGTATTTTGGAGCTTCGACATTGAATGAAAGGATCCGATCAATGCTTGACTTGAAGTCTTGAAGAATTCCTCAGAAGTGGTTAGTTCACAGCCTGTTCGGCTCAAAAAAAATCCTGAATCTAAATCCAGGTTCTACCATACAAATTGAAGTTTAGTACTCGATACGAGCCCTAATTCGCATCGTACGGCATCCCGAATCTACTACTAAACCAGATGACCAAATCTTAAATCGCGAAAGTCACTTTTAAGGTTGTTTTGTAGGAAATCGCAAGTCGTAAATCGTAAAGTGGCTTAGGGTTAGGGTTATATACCTGCGCTGGAATTGAAGGTAAAACTACTCGATATAAGTAAATAAGCTTAAATTGAACTCGAATACTCCTACCCTCGAATATAACTTAAAACGCTCCTTTAAATCCACCCTCACCCCCCGCCCCGGCTAACAAATACCCCTATGTCCCCTCTCGCTATTATTGTTACTATTGTTAATCGTTGTCGCTATCGTTATCGTAAAGAAAGAGAAGAGTAAGTATAAGGGAGAGCGAGTATGAGGGAGAGTGAGTATAAGGGAGAGCGAGTATAAGGGAAAGCGAGGAAAGGTAGGTAGCAAACAACTATTGGCGTAACACATGCTAGCCTAGCCGTTTTAGGAAGGTAGTATTCGGGGGCTGGGAATAAGCGATACACATAACTAAAATATTTCCCTGCTTCAATTCCCCTCCCCCACCCTCTCTCTCTCTCCCTCCCTTCTCTAAGCAACATACTAGGGCACAACCCTTAAAGTGAGAGTAGGCGACAGTGAGGATGGGCGATAGTAAGAATGGGCGACAGTGATACCCGGGGGTAGTTGAAATATACGTGAAAATACCTAGGTACGAGGGGCTAAGAGTGGGGGTGCGGGGGTATAGGTATACAGAATAGTAGTAATAGTAAATATATGGCTTTTGCGATTTGCGATTTGCGATTTGGTCATCTGGTTTAGTAGTAGATTCGGTATGTACGGCATCCTGAATGTACTAAAAGGTCGAATGGAGTAAATATAAATTCGCAAATCGCAAATCGCAAAAGTTATATATTTACTACTACTGTAACAGAGTGCCCATACCCCCACACCCCCACAATCCAAGTACTTACCTAAGAAGGGGGCCTACTTATGTAAACTCGCCCCTCACTATCGCCGCACCCTCACTGTCGTCGAGCGCTTACTGTCGCCGCACCCTCACTGTCGCCCACCCTCGCTGTCGCATCGTTACTGTCGGATAGGGTTGTACCCTAGTATGTTATTTAGAGTAGAGGGAGAGAGAGAGAGAAGCGGGGAAATAAATTAGTTGTACGCGTCGCTTATCGTTAGCCCCGAATACTACCTTCCTAAAACAGCTAGGCTAGCACGTGTTACGCTAACAATTGTTTACTACCTACCTTCACGCCCCTCGCTCTTCCCCGCTCTCTCTTCTCTATTCCTTACAACAGTAACAATAAGCATACGATAGTGAGTACAAACGATAGCAAGCGTAGGCTATAGTAAGAGTAGGAAGGTAGTAATTAGAAGGGTGTATACGTAGAAATGACTAGGCACGCGAAGTTGAAGGGTAGGAGTAGCTGGAGTTGAAGGAGCGTTCGAATTAAACTCAAGCTTATTTACTTATATCAAGTGATTTTACCTTCAATTCCAGCGCTGTTATACAACCCTAACCCTAAGCCAGTTTACGACTTGCGATTTGCGAATTAGTATCTACTCTATTCGACCTTTTAGTACATTCAGGATGCCGTAGGATGCCGTATATCGAGTGCTAAAAACGTTCGGCTTATAAATCGAATTTGTAGTAAATACTACTATAAATATTGTAATCTAGATTCTTTGGAAATATCCTATACAAAAAGTGAAAACGGCTTTTTAGTCATATTCAGAATCCCGTAATCCTAACTCGCTTATCCCACCTAACGTAAACACTACTACTTTATCCACTTCTTTATATATAAAAGTATATGTTTATATATTGGTTATAAAATCTCTTCATCAAGGACGTTAAGGACGTCGTACATGTGATAGAATAGGCGTGGTAGAATAACTAGTAGAATAGGTAAGTAATAGAGATCACACGTCTAAGTACAGTATATATAATAGTAGGAAATTCCATCCGAACAATATCTAATTCGAATTAACTAAAATAAGGCTCCGTGTTACGCGAACAAAGTTTTCGTGGGTTTTATGAATCCTAGGGTAATACCTACGCTACCGAATAATCTAATTCTACCTAATTCGAGCCCAACAGGCCGTAAGTGCCTACCACGGCTAAATTTATTCATTTGAAGACCACGAGAAGAGCACGGGAAGGAACTACTTTCTGGACAACAAACTAATTATTTAGGCTTGTGACAAATTTACTAGATATATTGGGGTAGATTTGCTGTCATGTTTCTATCCCCAAATAATCCGCCAGATTACAAGGACTGCCAATGTGGGGAACATACAACTATAACGGCAGTTAATAGCGAGGTACCTCTGTATACAACAAAAAGTAATGAAAGCAAACTACCTAACATAAACCCAGAGTTCCCATCTGCTCTCGACCCAGCTTCGAAACAATCCAAAGCCAATACCAACTTTCCCAAAAGCCCGATTCCCCGAGTATTCGTCCCCATATAAATGTCCCCACTCCAACCCATCTTCCAATTCCCCGGAGGCCGTCCAGCCTCCAGGCAAAAGTACAACAACTCAAATACGACGCACTTCTTCAACCAATCATAACACAATCCCAACAGCGGCTTTAGCTCACTTGGGAGAGCGCCAGACTGAAGTCCACTTCAGATCACCAATCATCTGGAGGCACTGTGTTCGATCCACAGAAGCCGCAATTCTGCGAACGATAGGTAACTATCGTCTTTCGAACTAACTTTTTTTTTCTTTCTTTCATTGATTTTCTTGCACTTCTTACGGATTGGTCAGAGTTTCGCTGCTTTTGGAGAGATATGTTATCTTTTATCTTTTTTCCTTTTTGCCTTTTTTACTTTTAGGGGAAGTGGAGGTGGGCGTGAATCTGCTGTGGAGATGTAGATAAGTCGGGGTTGGTGATTGGTTGGTGGAGGGGAACCGGGGGATTATTGAGGGATTTAAACTTTTGGGGTCTTGGTAATGGCGGGAGTCGTAAAAAGCTGTGCACGGCTAAGAGGCTTCTATGTAAAACAGATCAGATGTGAAAAAGTATATCTTCAAAGAATTAGAGTTTCTGATTCGCTAGTTTTGCTGGGAAATCAGACCCGAGACATAATATTCACTTGTAGGGTACATGTACTTCGTAATTTCGAGCTGTTCATCCCCTAACCTATACCCGGAGAAAACCCCGTTAAGGTTTTCTAGGAAGGCCTGAAGGGAGGGATTATTAATGAACAGCAAGACAAACCAATGCGCAATTGCCAAGACCATGTTTCAATTGGAATTTTGTGAAAAAAGATAGGGAAGCTTTACGCCAAGTACTATAGAACCAATCCTTTTTTCAAGAGAGAGACGAAAAAGGAATGAAAAGGGTCTCTCTACACACACGTCTCCAAGATATCTTGTGAGAACTAGAGAGAAAAGGTAAGAGGCGGCAATATATAATAAACAAGCATATATTTACGTGTACATTTGTTAGGCTATAGATCTCACATCTGCTATAGTAGAACAGCTCAAGATATTAATACACGACAAGAGTAAACAACATGCGGGCTTATAACAGATACATAAAGAAAACTCGGACCAAAATCAAGTCGAGCAAAATTATCTTCTAATACGATTAAGGATGATAAACTCCATTGAAGAAAACGAGAAACGCAAAACAGACAATAGAGAACTTTTGTCGTTGGCAATGTTTTTATAATTGAGGTCGTTTAAGGAAGTGGACAAAATCTAAGTAATATCTATATAAAAACTGTATAAATAACAAGTAGAGAAAGAGGGGCCTTTGGAGTTATTAGTACTAGCCAAAGTTAGTTTATCTATTAGTCTACCTTGAAGTGCTCAAATAAGCCTAGCTTGAGCACTTCAAGGAAGCCTAGCTTAAGCGATATTTGCTGTCGCATTCTGCTTGAATACCTCGTATCTGAATTCGTACTATATTTATATTCGAAGCTATGCCTATATTAAACATTCACCTTATTTTATTAATACATACCCTCTTCGATACTCGCGTGATATGTAAGAGATAACAAAATATAATTGCTACACCGCTCCCATACTCCGTTGCCTACATTTACCTTCTTCCATACTTATTCCATACCTATTCCATACCAGTTCCATACCAATTCTCTACTAATACCCGCAAACCAAACCTTGCAATAACCTCCGAGCCCGGTTGTATTTACGTTACTAAACCTTATTCCTATTAATAAGAATCGATGGCGAAACCTCTCTCGTAGTGGGTGGACTGGACATGGAATCAAGGGGTGTATTTTTAGTAGAAATAAGCAGTTTGCAGTCGTCCTTCGGGACAGTTTGGGCCAATGGTTATTCAATACAATCAGTTATCCTCTATCTTCTCTAGTAGATTCAATACAGTATAACAGAAACCATATAGTAGGTAGCGACTCACATCCCTACAAAATAAAACATACAACCCTAGTCCACTCAAGTATCCCTAATCCCATCAACCTCTCACTTCCCTACCCTCGCATTATTAAACATCAATACATCGACCCCGAAACTTAGAATCAAATACCGAGAGAAGAAATAAAGAATAATAGGATGCCAGATCTATGGACTAGTAAGCTAGGT